TGTCCTCTAATGATGTTATATTGACATTGATGGAATCGACAGATACAGGAAGTTAGATTGTAACTGCAGGAAAGAAGACGCCTCCCGCTCTCTCCAAATAACACAAACATCTACAGAGATTTCTTCCTCCTGACTCAGTGAGGTCTTTGTTCTGATCTGTTTACAGATTATACATGTTGGAAATGTGAAGCAGGCTGGGAGCTACATGGAGTAAACTGTTATTATTTATCCACTAATAAATCCTCCTGGGAGAACGGCAGACGTTTGTGCAAAGACCTGAGAGGAGACCTGGTGAAGATAGACAGCAGAGATGAGCAGGTATGAAACACTGCTGCAGATTCATTTTCATGGTTAACTTTTTGAAGAACTGGTGTGGACATGTCCGAGCCAACTTTGGCCTGGTGGGGACAGTCACCACCAATCATTTCAATACATAGACCTTGGCAATATGGGAACAATTTTGCTGCTTTTGAAATAGGATATTCACTAATGTATTTTTCTAGATGGATTGATGGGTGGATGAATGAAACTGAAATTTTGTACAGACTAGGGAGGCATGATATATTGCTGTTAGCATTGGCAATTGGCTGTCATTCATCCTTTTTTATATACATTAATGTCTAACTACCTATAAGTCAGGAAGGTTTACCAGATGGGATCTTGTTAGATGCAGATAGTCTTAACAGGTCCAGTAACAGTAGCACAATGTAGTGATGTTAGGCTCATGCAGTCTGGTTGTTCCGGCTTCGAACTTTTTGAAGCAGAAGTGTCTTTGTGATGTGGTATGAGCACACCCCCAGTCAACCCCAGTGACCACTGCGAACGAGGCCTCATTAATATTAGCCTGCATGGGCCCAAAAGTGTTATTAATATCAATTAGAAAAAAAAAAAAAAGAAAAAATATAAATATATATATATATATATATATATATATATATATATATATATATATATATATATATATATATATATATATATATATATATATATATATATATATATATATATGTATGTATGTATGTATGTATGTGTTGGGATATTTTACTTGTAGATTATGAATATTAATTTAGTAGAACTGGAGTTGTACTTAATTATCTAAATCATTCAAAATCAAGGGTAAAATCAATTTAATGTTCTTAGTTGAATAATTATAACTATAACCAGTTTACTCACCTGGATTTTAGGCCTCTTACACTTAGAGTGGCTTCTGGACTGGCTGTTAAAATCCAGTTATTCTCACCAGTTTAGTGACTTAGGCTGGGTGATTTCACCGCTGTTTCCTGAAGTGGGCAAGAACAGATCTGGTGAAGGTTTCCCCTTGCTCAGTGTGACTCGAATTATTCCTTCCAAGGGGGGTAGAAGGACCAGGCTTGTCCAGTGGATCAGGAGGGCATCCCAATACTGGCAGACACTCTGGCGTCGAGGTGGTGACAGTCCGCAGCTCAAGTACTCCTCTGGTAATGACCCAACGAGCCGCACGTGTGCAGTGTGGCCCAACGAGAACAGGGCACCACCTGGTGGTGGAGAGAGGAATTACACAAAAAACAACCCACACAAACTGGAACCCTAACAGGATTATAAGTTGTTTTCATCATCTTCTACTTTTTAGATTTTCCTGGCACAAAGACTAAAAGAATTGATGAAGAATGACGACAAGTTCTGGATTGGACTGACAGACTCAGCGGAAGAAGGCAGATGGTTGTGGGTGGACGGATCACTGTTGAGTGAAAGGTATGACTGATGAGAAATCATGTCTATTTAAGAAAAACGAATCTGGCATTTATCTGCTGCTTACTTTTGACTCTTCTCCAAGTTTCTGGAGGGACCAAGAGCCGGACAACCTGAGTAAAGATGGTGCGTCTCAAGCTGACTGTGGAAAGATGGGGGAGAAAAAAGGAGTGGACGATCTGAAGTCCTGGTTTGATATATCCTGTCTTTATCTTCAGAAAAGCATCTGTGAGAAAGGTGCAGGAACCATACAGAGTTCTTCTGTTTGTGTCTAAAGTCAGGTTCAGTCTATAAAACAGTTTGAGGTCAGGATCAAGCTGCAGAGGTGCTGATTTTATCAGAAAAATGTCTGAAACATTTAGAACTCATTCCAGATTTGTTTAAATAATCATAAAATCAGGGATTTTTTTCTCATCTCTTATATCAACTCATTGTTACTGTCAGGATCAATATGTTATAGATTTTGTTTTGGATTTATTCAATATGCCCTTATGCCCTTCCACGTTCTATTATTTTTGCTACTTGGGGTTTACCATACTGTTTTTTTTCCATCTCCATTTTTTTTTTTTTTTTTTGCTCTCCTTGTGAAAGTTTTCTGACTTAATGTCCATTTTTTGTTCTTCAAATTTTTTTGTAAGTTTGTCATTTTGTGGATCATTAAAAGATTCTTCAGCTCAACTTCTCCAGTGGCAGTCTTCATTTTGGTTTGGAAGTTCAACATTGTGACAGTTACTGGCTTTAAGAAAATCCTTCCCTTGATAATTGGATGTCATTCTCTGGCCCCGCCTCTTTTTAATTTTTGACCCACTAGCCCCGCCCATTCCTTCTGCTGTGTTTTCTAGGTCTACAACAATAAAGAGAGTGAAATGTCTTCTACACCTGGCACCTACTGCTGGGGAGCGTTTTAACTACTTTGACAATCTCTTAGACCTAGATAGACTTTATTTGTAATTTTGTACACACATGTGTATACAAAAAGAAATTTCGTTTAGTGCAGCTCTCAAGACATTTTCATTTTTTTTTAAGTGCAGCCTTGATAAAGGTAAGCAGCAGTGATATTGTAAACATATAACTGTACAGTTCCAAAATTCAGCTTTTTTTTTTTCTTCATTACCCCATTTAATATAACATTCAGCAGTCTAACGGCGGTGGGGAAGAAGCCTGTTCTGGAATCTGGTGGACCTGCATCAGACGCTTTGAAGCCTCTTCCCAGAGGGCAGCAGGGAGAACAGTCCATGGTGGGGGGGTGAGGGGTCAATAATGATGTCACGGGCTCGGGACACGGAGCGCTGGGATGAAATGTTTTTAATGGAGGGAAGAGGAGCCCCCATGATCTTCTCTGCTGTTCTCGCCACTCTCCTCACCTTCTTCCAGTCTGAGGCGATACAATAGATTAGCACCTTGATACTATCGCTGAAGTATAAGTAGTATTATTTAATCTGACATGTGTACTGTGGTAGCTGAAGATAAGAATATGGGCTTTCTATATATAAGTGAATCTCTAAGCACCAGTGGTTTGTTTTTTAACTTTTTTGGAATGTCTTTCAATATATTTCAAATAGAGGAAGTTTCTGTGGTTTCTTCTAAATGAGTGATCTGCTGTCTACAGAGGCTAGTGCTGATTTTTTTTTTTAAGTTAACAAGTTAAAATAAATAGACATTTGATGTGGTTTGGCTAAAAAGTGTAATAACCAATTGTAGCTATATACTAAATTGTTTATATTTACTTATAGTTAAATGGACTCCTACAAAACTGTAAATGCGCTGAAACCCTATGTTACGGTAATTCATGATTAAAAACATATTTATTTATTGTGGCCTTTAACTGCTCTAATCATTATTAGTTATGTTTTTAGTCTGACTTTTATATCATTTTTGTTAAAATCTTTTATATCATTTTTTTTAATTATTGAATTGTTACCTTTATGCAAATGTACTTATTAAGTACTGCAGTGTCTTCCTTCTTGAATATGTTTAAATATTCATGGTAGGTCTGTAAAAGTAGCCTGATAAACCAGACTAAATGTGAGATTAAATGTGTAATTTAGTCTGGCTCTGATGAATGAGACATCGGAAGATTGTTGATGAGAACAACCCGTTGCTTTTCAAACCATGTCTGTGGCTGTTGGCCAACGCTTTGACCAACGAGCGCAACCGAAAGCGCGACAGAAAGCGCCCCACAATGGCAGCACACGGCTCCCAAAGGGGATGGGTTAAATGCAGAGGTAAGCTTCTCTGATGTGAGATCATAAAAGTTCAGTTATTAGTATTAAGAAGCATGCTGCATGGGTGAGCAGTTTGTGCTACTGTTGCTGTCACGTCTTGGTTGTGGTTTAGAGGACCCAAATGCAGAGGCAGAGAGGTTTAATGGTAACACAAACAATAGGGGGCAAAATCCAAAAATCCAACTTAAAGTGTTACACAGACCAGAACCATGGAGACATCAGGGGAAAACAAGCACAAGGAGCCGGGGAGAGACAAGTCGAGAAGACAACAGCAACGACAGGATCAGCAATAACAAGGAACCAACAAAGAGTGAGAGCAGAGGGAGAGTATGTAGCTGACTGAGACAAAGGGAGGGCTAACGAGCTGACAAGGAGCAGGTGTGAGAGGAGACAACGAGGGAGCCAAGGGGAAAGGAACACACACACACACAAGAGGGCAACAGAGGTCAATAGAAAAACATGAGAACTAACATAAATCTAGAAATTACAACAAAACTGGAATTAAACCAATAAAACTAGAAAACAAGGAGCAAAGTAAAGTACAACAGAACCAAGACCATAACAGTTGCCTTGTAACAGGAAGGTTATGGGTTTGATTCCCAGCCTTTCTGCATGAAGTTTGCATGTTCTCCCCATGCAAGAGTGGATTCTCTCTAGTTATTCTGCCTTCCTCCAACAGTCAAAAAAAAAAAAGAGACTGTTAGGTTAATTGTTGCCCTGCAACGGCAACCTGCAGGATGTACCCTGCTTGTCGCCCATAGAATGCTGTGAATAGCACCAGCCCCACCACGACCCTGACGGATTAAGCAGCAGAAGATGGAAGGATGGATGGACTACAAGAAGCAGCAGATTCTCAGTTTTTTATTAAAAAGTTGAATATATTTTTATAAAATCAGCAACAGCAGATGACTTATAACACTAGTCTCTAATTTCAATCCACCAATTTTTCTCAAAAATGACCAGAATGATGAGGAAGAAGACGACAGATGAAGTCTCCTCCTCTTCCTCTTTGTTCTTCAACTTAACAGGAAGTTTCTTTAACCCAGAGCAGATATAAGGGTGAAGGACAGGGTCCTTTATTTGAAAGGTCCACAGAGGGAGAGAAAACAGACTGATGGTGAGTATATATGATTTTCTGTCCCATTCACAATTAAAGATACTCAGGTTTTGAATTTGTTGCTGTTTTTGCTGTTGTTTTTGTCGATATAGTCAAAATTTAATGGAAAACATTGCAGCTATGCTTTAAATATATTAAAATTCGTGGGATTCTTATCAAACATATGTACTTTGTGAGAGCAAGTTTGATTCATATCTGCAGGTTTTAAATTATAAGAATCAAGATTTTGATCTGTTTAAATAAGTGCAGATTTAAATGAATAAATCTTAAAATCTTGTATTTATTCAATATTTTGCTTAGCATATTTGTTTTGCTTTTAGATATTGCTTGTAAACTAACTTATATTTTCTACTGTGAGTATTTAATGACCTAAGATTTAAAGGTCCGAATTTGGAAAGTTAACCTATTTTGGTCTGATCTAATTGACAACCTGTTGTGTGTTTAATGTTTAAGGTTTGAGGGTCCAGTATAGACATTACCCAATAAATAATTAGTAAAAATCTAATGTTTTTTTTTTTTGTCATCAAGTAGCTGATCTGTCTCTATGTTTTTCAGCGAAGAGGCCCCATGATGAGACGTCCTCAGAGCTGTGAAGAAGGTAAGATGAATATGGTGGTAAAGAAGAAAAAGCTGCAATCAGAGCCGAGTCATGTTCATCGGACAGACAACCAGATTCAAGAAAAAAAAAATTTTTTAGACAACATGTAACATTAAAACTGGTGGCAAACAGCTTTATCTACAACTAAAGGATAAATTTAAGGCAGGATTTGGTCAATAATTGAAGATCTCCCTGATCTGAAGATAATTTAAGTGTTTAAAATGGGGAAAGATGCTGACAGAAAGGCGTCAGGAAGTGGTTTAAGTGGTTTTCTAAAGCCGATGTTCTTGATAAACATCCTGTATTAAAAGTTCAGGTTGCCAAAATCTGTGGGGCAAATGTTAGACCTCTTTGTTCTAATAGGGAACAAAACTTCATCCAGAAACTGAAGGTCTATTCAGTCTAACTGCAAAATGTCCTGCTTTCTGATAGGACTTGTGTTATTGTACTGGTCTCCAGTCCTTCTCAGAATCCAGTTCACATCCGCATAGTGTAGACACCTAGAGATCACGACCAAAACTTGAACAACTCCACATACACAATCCACATCGATGGTGTTGAATATTTATTTCTTTTGAACACAAAACTGTGATGTTTGAAAATCAGAGCAGCACAAATCATTGTTTAGTTTAGAGATTCTTAGTTTATCCAAGTTAAAAAAATGTCTGAATGAGCCTAAAATATCTCTTTGGAGAAAGACCTGTACAAACCTCCCATCTTCCACTCCCAACAAAGATCTCCTTTAAATGTTGTTAAGGTGAAGCTGCTTCCTCTCAACATGAAAACCCAACCAGAACCTCCAAGCTGCCATCAGAGAGAGTCGTCCTGCTGGTTCTGGGCTCTCTGCTGGCTGCTGCTCTCATCGTCATCTGCAGACTCTGTGAGTTCTTCCTGATAAATCAATCTCTGAACTAAACATGATAATTACTGCTGTCAACACTTGAGAAGTATGCAATATATTTCAAAGTTTGTGGTATTCATTGATGATACATTTAATTTAGGATGTTTTTGACAATTAAATAAACTAAATAACCCAAAATCTTAAAAGGTGAAAGGTCTTTGTAAGCGGGTAACCCAAGTATGGGGGACCATTTAAGGTCAAAACCATTATTTTTTCTTATTTATACAAAGACGTGTTGGTAAATGAGTTTCACATCCCATCCAGCCGGACTTCATTCAGTCAAACCATTTATGTTTTCAATCTATTGCTACAATTCCAAAAATATTTTAAATCTTTGATCACTGCTGCACTTTTTGGAATAGAAATGCTCATTTACTGTCTGAAAAGCTGCACTAAACGAAATTTTGATGGCAATAAAAACTGTCCAAGTCTAAGTCTACACGCTATTTGACAGAAACCTAATTTTAATTCCTTTGCTTGCGTTTAAAATCAAGAAGATCTTGTTAATCCAGATATATCTTTATCTTTTTTCTCTCTCTCTCTCTCTTTTAATCAGCAACTTATATCATCCAAACAAAGGAGACCCTGCAGAGTCTCACGGAGGAAAACGAAGTCATGAGGGGAAATCTTCCAGGTAGGGCCTTTTAGGGTCAGAACATCTAAGAGCTCCTGAATGAATATTCAAAAAAGATTTAATTCTCTACAGCTTTCTTTACACCAGAAATAAGTGTCATTTGTAATAGTATCGGTATGCAGAAGGATGGGTTTACTATTAATGGGAGTCTGATGTATATGCATCCTGGACAAAATTGTTGTATCCTCTAGTGTTATGAGAGAAAACCCCACAATGTCACTGTCATGATGTTACAAAGTTCAGACCCAAATGCAGAAAAACCGAACAGAGAGATCAGGGAAAAGGTTTAACGGGTTTTATTAAAGCGGTTAAACAGAGGGAAAAGTGTTGCTCTGAACACTGCTCAACTGGAACTGTAAAGTGAGGGGAAGACACAGCAGTTAGTTCAGGCTCAGTGGGGAATCTGACTTGTGAACTTGGAGAAGAGGATTTGGTTTCCAACTCAATTTTCCAGAGAAGTTGTTGAATCCTTGACTCCTGTCTGTGTGCCGTGGTTGCAGTGTTTGTCTGATTTGGTGGAGGGGGGAACAGGGTTTACCCAGAATGCTGTTGATAGGTGGTGAATGGAGAAACTGACCACTCAGATTTCCTGCGGTACTTGAATGGGTCGTAGTGGAGAACAATCCCTTTCTCAGTGTTGTGCCTGAACGCGTTCATTGAACGAAAGTTCATGAACTCGTTCATATTTTGGGCGAACGTGAACTGAACGTACTGCATTACTGCCTGATGAACGTTATTGTGAACTCGTTCATTCTGGTGTCTTTGAACGGCACGCTCTCTCAGTTCAGCTCCGTTCAATAGGTTGCCAGATTTCTATAGAGTCCTCCAGGCGAAACCCCGGCTAAATCACACCGTAAACAAGCCTTAATATGTAGAGGGAAAAACACCCAATCTGGCAACAGCAGCTACCAGTGTCGTAGCCTACAGCCGCGTGCGTCATCAAAACAAAATGCAGCGTGGAAGCCACAGCAGCATGGAGGCTACCGTGGAGGCGACAAAGCAGCAGTATGATCACTTAAAACAGTTTTATGACCAGGTGGTCGGTGAGGACGATGGCAACAAGTTTGCCCGCCGGCTTTCAGTAAAAAAATCCGCACTTCAGTAACCTTAAATTCCTACCTCAGCCTGGTCCCTCAGTTTGTGTTGGTAAAATCTTCTTGAGCGGAGGACTTCAACAGGGGATCCGCGACCCCTAGGGGGTCTACGGAGGTACTGCATGAGGGTCTGCATGGTTAGTTGATATTTTTATATTCCCCCCCTGCAATTTTTTCCCCCACTAATTGAAATGTCTTTAAATACTCATTAACATGAAATCAACACACTGTAGTAAACAGATAAATGGAGACAAAAGATGTCTTTCAGTCATCAATGCACACATTCAGAAATTAATTTCTTTACATTACTCCATCTGTAATAGAGTGACTATAGGACACAATTTCATACAATATATATAAATAGGGGGTCCCCGCTCCATCTCGCCATCAGTTTGGGGGTCCTTGGTCTGGAAAACATAGAAGACCCCTGTTCTTGAGGGTTTTACTATCCATGTAACTTGTTTGTTAAACCTGCCTGGTATAATTTTCCAGGATTCCAGTATTCCTTTTTAGTATGTATTGAAATGGAATTTCAAATGGAAAAAATTATAAAAAAAAAAAAAAAAAAAACATTTGCACCTTAAAGACTACTTTCCTATTTTTCTTTTAATAATTACTGATAAAAAAGACCATTCAAGCAGCACATTTTTCCTGATGTTTTTGAGAATATACTGTAGGGGTGAAAGCTGCAGCTGCTACTAGTGTGAAGTGAATGTACAGCAACAAAGCGTTAAAGCAACAATGGGGAAATGCTGTCCCCTCAATGCTAATGTAAACCCTGGTTGGATAAGGATTCAAAACTGGATAGGAAGATGAAATCTGACGCACAGTTTCAGAGTTACAACTGATAAAATAATTGCTGTCTGTGGTTCTACAGTAGGCTATGGTGTAATTGAGCAATATATGGAAAAAAAAAAAGAACTATGAACTAGTTCATTTTTTGGTTTTGAATTATGAACTATGAACTGAACTAGTTCATTTTAAAATGTGTGAACTGAACTTTGAACTAGTTCACGTAGAAAGAGAACTTTCCCAACACTGCCCTTTCTCAGTGAGAAGCTCAAACGTTCTCTTGGGGAAAGTGGATCCAAACCTCCTGTTTGAACCCCAGCTCAGTTTGAAGCTCAGTTGATCCTTCCAGGGAGTGAAGGTCCGAAAAATCCAGTTTGCAGGATGACTTCCTGCCGAGAGGCAAAGACAAAAACAAAGTTAAACTCAGGTTGACAAGAACTCAGTTTGATGTGTGAGGAGGCGGACCAGAACCAGGCGCCTCCTGGTGGATGAAGGGAGACAAACACAGACACACAAACACAAAAACAGGAGTCCTGACAGTCACAAAAATAATCTTAGGAATAACAAATAAAAATGATATTTCCATGAACAGATAAAGGTCAGGCATCGCTTTTCAACCATGCTTCAGCTAAATAATATAAAACTATAAACTCCTGAAACAGACCTTGACTAAAATGATGGTTCCCCTAGAAAAGAATGAAAATCCTTTATTGTCCCACAATGGGGAAATTGAGCTTAAAAAAGGTGTATAAAAATATTAGAATAAGTGACAGAGTTAAGAAAATAAACAAATAAAATATTTTTACGGTATAAATACTGTGCATCTGGAGAGTAAATAATAAATAAACAGCTGTGGACATTTTTTACAGTAATGGATATGTGAAAAAAGATTCCCTCAGCCGGCACTCTAGGTCCTAGAGCAAGACCCTTAAACTCACACTGCTCTTGACGTGGCAACAGGAAGGAAATGAATGACAAATCAAAGAGACACCTAATATGAATGCTAACAAAAAAAACAGAAAATCATATAAAAAGATTATAAGTGAAGTTCGAACTTCAATGGACCTAAACACATCAGCTATATATTCACCAGTGGAGAAATTAAGCAGACAAAGAAGGTCCAGGGGTCCGTACCCAGTCAGGGATTTGAATGAGAACTGGAACAGGCGGATTCAGGGTTCCAGAATTCCTACAGAGGGTTCAGGCAGGACGTTCAGATGGGAACAGGGAAGCTCAGTGGTTGAGAGTGTCATGATTTTATCTAAAGCTCGGACCCACATGCAGTGAAGCCAAACAGAGAGACACAGAGTAAAAGTTTCAACAGGTTTTATTGAAGAGTATTTTGAGTTCGTTGCAAAGTTCCTCCGAACTCTGCTTGGCCGGGAAACTGGAAGACGAGGGGAAGACAGACTGTTAGGTTCAGGCTCAGTGAATTGGAGTTGTTAATCTTGAAGGAGAGGATTTGTTGCCACTCACGTTTCTGGGGAAGAAGAGACACGTAGACTCCAGTCTGTGTGTTGGTCTTCCAGGGTTTGTTTGATTCGGTGGAGGGCGGAACAGGGTTTACCCAGAACTCGGACGGAGTGAAATGATGCAGCCGCTGGTTGCAACTCAGTTTTCCTGTGGTACTTGAACAGGTCGTGGTGAAGATGATTTCCTTACTCAGAGAGTGATCTCAGCGTGCTGAAAGGTGGATGGATCCAAACCTCCTGTTTGGAGTCCGTCGCTCAGTGTAAGACTCAGTTGATCCCAATTGGGAGAATGCGGTCCGAAAAGGTCCAGTTTGCAGGAAGGCTTCCTGCTGAAAGGCAAAGAACAAACAACCAGTGTGGTGCAGTGCCAGGCAAACAAAGCGGTGGGTGTGTCTTGGAGCATGGATCAGGGTAAAAAAGGAAAACAGCTGATGAGAAAAGAGGATTCAAAGAATGGACGAATCATTTGCTTTCATTATCAATGTGGAAGCATTGCCTCCATTTTTGTTTTGTATGAAGAGGTTGTCAAAAAATAAAATTTGGAAAGGCATTTCCAGGGAAGGCAAGCTATTGTGCAGCCGATCAACAAGTTGGGAGTGAGATAAAAAGTGTGGTTGCAGAACTTCTGGATAAATTAGAGGAGAGCAAAGATAGATATAAGAAGTGTATTGCATCTCCAAACTCCACTACTGATGCTAGTATTGTTGCAGGGATGGAAAACCGTCAACAGATCAAACAGGCAGCGCTCTGATGCAGGGATGTGAACTTCTTAAATTGTTTTCCCCAAATCCTCAAAATATAAATCACACCAAGGGACGCTGGTGACGAAGGATGTGGGATTTTGGAGTTAGAGAGCTCTGCTCTGGTGGATGTCAGTTCCTGCTTGGTTTCTCATGATTCAATGAACTCCTCCCACGTCCACCATAGAAAGATTTCTTTATCGTGTTTCTATAATTTCATCAACGCAACAAAACCTAAACCGTGCGGTGAAGGGCGGTGAATCGGCGTGCGGTGAAAGTGTTCCCTGCTCCTCCCTCACCTCATGCTACTATGTGACATTTGCTCCAGGATAAACATTTCATCATGAATGCTTATTATATATTTAAGCCCATATAGTCCTTTTCTATAGTGGGCTAAAACACTTAGAGCCCGTGTTGCCATACAAAGCATATATAAGACTTTTACATTTTGCGGCCCCAAACTGTTTTATTTTTGGGGGTTTTTTGGTCCAATATGACTGAGCAGTTTGGGTTGCTGACCCCTGTACAAGGGCATCAGCAATGATTTCAACCTCAATAGCTGGGACTGGGCAGTATATAAAGAAGCAGGAACAGGTGGATTAGATGTGTGGTAACGGGAAACAGGGCAGAGTTAAGCAGGTGAATGAAATGAGCAATTAGGCCAGCTCTCAAAGCCTTGATCATGACAATCAAGGGATTTTATCAAGGGAAATGAGCTTGTCAGTGTTAGAAAGCTTGGTCTCAATCGCAGGTCATGGGTCTTCAACAGGACAATGAGTAAGAAAAACATATATAGAAGCTAATAGAATCACATCTAAGAAAACTGGAGCAGTTTACCAGGACCAGAATACCTGCTGAAAGGAGCAGAAATCTCATTAAGAGTCCTATGCAATTTCATCAGCAGATGGTAAATGGTAAATGGCATGTACTTATATAGCGCCTTTATTCAAGTTAGGAGACTTGACCAAAGCGCTTTACACCACATTCATTCACCCATTCACGCACACACTCACACACTGATGGTGGCAAGCTACATTGTAGCCACAGCTGCCCTGGGGCTCACTGACAGAAGCGAGGCTGCCGTACACTGGCGCCACCGGGCCCTCTGACCACCATCAGTAGACAATGCAGGTGAAGTGTCTTGCCCAAGGACACAACGACAATGAAAGTCGGAGTCGGGGCTTGAACCGTCAACCCTTCGATTTCAGGGCAAACTCCTACATGAAGATTCTGAATATGTTAAATAACTAGAACTGGAAGTAATAGTTAATGAATAGGTCATTCAAATCAAGGGTAGAACAAATTAATGATTATTAGTTAAATGATTGTAACTGTAATCTGCTTACTCACCAAGGTTCATTAGTCTTTTAACCAAGGTTGGACTGTTAAAATCCAGTTATCTTTCACCAATTCAGTAATTTAGACTGTGGTTATCAGTAAAGTTATTAACCTACAAAAAGAAATTGTCTCTGTTTCTTTGTTTTGACCATAAAGACCTCCACAAGTTAATGTATCTTTATCTTTATTACCTAATAATCCCTGTTACAGTATTATTATATATAAAACTATGCAAACACTACCTACTACTGGAAATACACCTTTTTATCTAGTTGCCTAGTTTTACTTATTAGACCAAAAGTCTTATATAAATCATGTCAAACATTGCGCAATGCTGATGTTCATCTTAACATGTTGAGGACCACTCTTTTAAAGATCCAACTTCTCATTTTATTTTTGGAGACCATCCGTTTGAAAATTTTAGGGAAAAAAATCACATAAAGACCCGAAAAAGACCCCAACCAGTCTGAAAGCTTCCCTCAAAGTATTCTTAGAGGTTAGCAGATTTTTTTGATAAATTAAAGTCAAAATTTTTATCTTTAATTGGTTGAGTTGAGGATCTCCACATTGAAGCCTGTGTTGCAGTGTTTGAAGAGGAGCCATCCTGTGAAAAAGACTGGGTCAGGTTTGAAGAAACCTGTTATTACTTTTCCACAAATAAATTTTCCTGGGAGGAGAGCAGGAATAGATGCAGGGAAGCAGGAGCAGAGCTGGTTAAGGTGGAGACCAGAGAGGAGCAGGTATGAAGCATGTTGGATGAAAAATATTTCACTCCTTCAGAAGAATTGAAGTAAAGCTTTAACATCTTCTCTCCAGTATTTTCTAAGGAACAACCTTAACCGGAAAATGAAGAGTTTCGATGACATGTTCTGGATCGGACTGACGGACTCAGAGGAGGAGGGGAGATGGGTCTGGGTGGATGGCTCAGAGCTCAGTGAAAGGTCTGACCTCTTGTGAGAACACTTTCTAAATGGGAAGGTACAAACTTTACGGATCTGGTACTGTTCTGCAGTTTGATGTTTTGGAACGCACTACAACCTGATAACTGGGCCAAGGAAAACCCTGCAGGAGAGGACTGTGTGAGGGTCGGGATGGAGGGAGGAGGAGGAGGACCGATGAAGAATTGGTACGACAAAGACTGCAGTGCTGCTCAGAAGAGAATCTGTGAGAAACTCAGAGACACCACAACTGAATAAAAGTGAAAACGTTTAAATAAAACTTAAACATGATAGAAATTTGTATGTTTCATGTTTCACTTTTTCTTTATTTCTGTTGGGATCCTGAGGCTTGCCCACCAGAGGGCGCCGAGGATCCCCTCCTGATTGTCTGTTCAACGGTTTGGTTCTGGAGATCCACCTTTCTCCAGCAGAGAGCGCCCTGGGTCTCCTGAGAGGAAGCCACCTACACACCTGCGGCTCATCCACCTGATTAGGAGACCAGCTTTATAAGCAGTGGCCAGACCTGTCTTCGGGGCCAGAGTGTTGCCAAGTTTTGGAAAACCCGTTTGAAGCCTGTAGCTCTGGAGGAGCTCATGTCAGGAAACCCGCCTGCCTACCCAGAGAAGCCAAACTGAAGATCCTCAGTCCGTGTCTCCCGGTTAGTTCTCTGGAGAGAACTAGGAGAACCACTCAAGGTCTGAACCTCGCTAGTCTGAAGCTGAACTCTGCCGTTGCTAGGCTCTCGGCTGAACCCACAGCCTCTGGACCCAACCGTTTCCCTCACTCCACCGATCAGTCTGAACCTCATCAGGTACAAGACTCTATCTGGATATCACTGTTACCTGGCTAACCAAACAAATACCTCTCTGCAGATTAATCTGTGAAACCAGTCCCGGACCAGTACCAGAACCAGTGCAAACTTTACCCTGTGTGTGTTTTACCTTAATAAACTGTTGAACTTTTCCCCCGGACTCCGTGGTGTGTTCTGCATATGGGTTTAATCTGAAAGCCTTAAAGACAATTTCTATCTGTTGGATAAGCTTTATGCCAGATCAGTGAAAGGAAGCACCAGTCAACCTCAGATAATATACATGAGATAAATAATCAGCTGATTAACCTCCATTTTAAAAGTGTGCAAAATCTCCCTGAACATATTTACATTTTATTTTGGGTTGTTTTTTATGCTAAAGTCTTCAGATTCACATGTGATGGTTAATAACCAGACTTTTGAAAAGGTGTTGAACAAAAGGAGGTCAGTCAGTTTTCTGATTCAAATGAGTTGAAGCATGATATAGGGAACTTTGACCACAATGGCATAGTCTGTAGATTGAAAGACTCAACCATCTTATGATTATCTTCTTAACAATCAAGGTTTCCCATGGCCTTATCTCCAGTACTTTCCCCCATCATCTAGTTTTCCCTTGATCATTTTGTGTTTCTTAGTCATCAATCTCTTTCAAATTCAGCTTCCAAGTTAGATTTAAGCACTGTTGTATTTATTGATTGCTCTTTGTCGCCCCCTAGTGCCACTTTCCTTTTCCCTCAGTCCTCTTCCAGCTCTCTCTGTCCAAACCTGCTCTAAAAAATAAAAGGAACATGTAAACAACACAAATTTACTTCAATTAATTCACACCTCTGTGAAATAAAACTGTCCACTTAGGAAGTGACACTGTGTTGTGCAACTCTACCAGAATTTTATATTAAAAATATTAAAAACCTAGAAATGGAAAATAAACCCAAACCATTGTATTTTCATCCATGGTGAAAATGAACACAAACATAACAGAAGGCAAACATTGCTGAGTGGAACATTTAAAACTAAAGATGTTTTAGGACACAAAAACATTCAAAATTAAGCGTAATTTTTAAGTTAAAGCAGAAAGGAAACAGTGTGACAGTAAAGACTGAGGGTGTTGCATCATTTTCTATGAGCTGATAAATAAGTTGATAAATAGATGTCTTTTCCTGTTCAAAATCAGAGTGGTTTCCTGTGCTTTCCCTTCCCACCGCCACTGCATTTAGAAGGCAAGAGCCTTTTTAAAGCATTGAACAGCAGTTCTGCATCTCCATAGGTTTATTATTAGTCTATGGGCTCAACTAGACCAGAGACCTTAAATTAATATCTGCTAAAGGACCACAAACATCCTCTGACAGGCTCTGTGAGATTATGGGTATGAAAAGATATATGACTTAAAACACCTACTAATTGGTCAATAAAAGCCTTAATGAAAAATGTAGAAAAAAAAGTCAACTCAAGGGCAGCAAGGAGGCTCAATTTGTAGAACTGTTTCCTTGCACACAACAAAAAATGTCTTCTAAAAAATAAGAAAAAAATATAGTGTTTTAAGTGAATAATTGCTTATTTTGAACAAAATAATCTGCCAGTGCAGCAAGGAAATGAGACTTGGTAAGATTTCTTAAAACAAGAACATAATATCCGAGTAGTAAGCATCCAAAAAAACTTAAATCAAGTAGAAAAATATATTCTTCTTTTACTTGTCAAGATTTTTTTCTCTTATTTTAAGCAATGTATTCTCATTTATTAGTCATTATTGCTTGGAATTAAATGTCCTCTAACTGATTATTGCTCAAAACAAGCAAACAACATGCTGAAAAACAAGGCAAATGTACTTGATAACAGTTCATTTAAAGGCTTAAAACTAGTCTGTTTTTCTTAGCTAGAATTAATTTAATTATTTAGGTGTAGTGAATGACAAAAACTTCAAAACATTTTTTTATTAATATTTTAGCAGAAATGCAACAGAATTAAGCGAAATACAATCTCAATGACCCTATCAATTTGAATGCAATCAGATTTGAATAGCTGGAATATCTTAATGAGATGGGGTCAGTTCTTAAAACAGGTTAATGTGGATTGTCTTATTGTCTTGAAACAAGTAAAAATGTACCCACAGTCTGAATGTTAACGCGACTCAGTCCGCAATGTGTGATATTTTAAGAAAAAAGCTGCTCAGAATTAGTTGTATTATCTAGTTAGGATTAAAAAAAATAATTTTCTTAAAACAAGTAAAATAATCTTAACAATATTTAGTCTTACTAAGAAAAGACATTGAAAAACAAGTGTAATAAGACCAAAATGCTTAATTCAAGTTTATACACTTGTATAGATTTTCCTTTTTTGCAGTGCAGTAAAAGGTCCTGGGTTTGAAACTCAGACTGGGTCTTGAATTTGATGGACTTTGCATACTCCTGTGTACTCTGAGGCCTGTACTATGAAGCTGGATTACTGGGTTAGCTAGACAACTTAAGCCTCAACCCTGACTTTCTGGTACCACGAACTGGATTAATGTTTAAAAGTGACCATGACAACATATTCTGAACTGCAAACCTGCTCCAGAGCAGGTTAGCTAGACTGAGACTGATTTATTTTGTCATTTTGTATACACGAGTGTAAACAAAAAGATTTTGTTTAAAACAGCTCTAGACCATTTTTACATAAAAAAAAATAGCAATATAAATATATGACTGTAAATTTACAGTTCTAACGTTTTTTTTTTCATCTCTACTGGACTGTGTGCATCAATTGGTTTATTTAGATTTTTTGACTGCACAGCCTTTGTCTGGAGATCTTGACCGCTCTTTTCTATTGTTTTGGTGAGTCTGATGAGTGAGTGAGTGAGTGAGTGAGTGAGTGAGTGAGTGAGTGAGTGAGTGAGTGAGTGAGTGAGTGAGTGAGTGAGTGAATGAATGAGTGAGTGAGTGAGTGAGTGAGTGAGTGAGTGAGTGAGTGAGTGAGTGAGTGAGTGAGTGAGTGAGTGAGTGAGTGAGTGAGTGAGTGAGTGAGTGAGAGATATGTTGTGAAGTTCTTATGAGATTGTTAAGTTCTAGTTTTGCAACCTATTTTTTGATACAATTAATAATTTCCTTGTTTCTTGGACTTACTGTTTATTCTCCACCTGTGCAAATAAAAAACAAATATCGCCCATCCTTTGTGTTTGCCTTGGTAGGCCTATATCCTCTGGCAAACTATCCACAAAGCGTTTGTGTTTCATACCTCCAGCTAAACTCCTAAACAGCTGCAAGAATCCATCAGGGAAGAGGCTGAAAAAAAAATAAAACACTGAGCAGATCGGATGTTTCGCCTGCTTCGCAAAATTTTGATAGCAAAGTGTTTCTGCTGAATCATTTATCAGACATGTTGCGCAAATTAAACCCACAAAGCATTGTCACCCATGCTGTGGTTGGCGCAACATTTCCGTTCTGAATATTCCATCAGTAAACATACACTCTTGTTGCTGCTGAGATCATAAAAAAAGCCAAATTTGGACAGAACGGCAACAACGCCATCAGTGGTAGTTTCAGGCGCTGCCGGATTTGTATATGCATGATCTATTTCCTCTTCCCCTTCCAGCATTATTTGGTATTTCCCCTTTTTTCTGTAGACATCTAAGTAGATCCAGAAAATTGAAAAAAATTCAGTTCATTCAAATACATTCAGACGATGGCTGTAATCCATGGAGGAGCTAGTTTCTCCTTTTGAACATAACACCCCACCCCCCCAGCTGGTGAATGTGTTTCTGTGATAGCTGCTTTAAATAGCTCAAGGAGGATCCCTGTTTTCCCTTTAGTACACTGTTAAATGAAATTTATTATTGATTTTTCATGTCACACTCGAAGAAATTGAAATCTAAATAAGTCATTTTTTCTTAAGATAAGTTTTAAAAAAAAATCTTGAATTACAATAAGGAGGTAAGTGAGAAACTTTGCCAATGGAAAAAGACAATTAGAATTTAAAATAAGAAAAAGCAATTGCATTGACTCAAAGCTATTTTTTTTTTCATATTTCGGTTTAAGCATGGCTTCTCATATTTGAAAAGATAATTGTATGCTAATAAGGTAAGGAACATGTTCCATGCTTATTTAATAAAGCTCTCCATCAGCTGAAAGATGCTATATTTGCAGCAGAAGGTAAACCAGTTGATTGCACAAATCATTGACTCAAAGGCAATACCTCACACCAAGCATGCTTGTTGTGACAGTGGGGAGAAAAACTCCCTTATAACGGGAAGAAACCTCCAGCGGAACCAAAATCAGGCTGCAGGGGGCGACTGGCATTCAAGACGACAAGCCGCTATAGAAAAGAAGCAGAGATAGCAAGAAACTGGCAAAAAAGAAAAGGCAACTGTCAACCAGCTCCACAGGCGGCCCCGTCCAGGAAACACACAGCCAGGCAGACGAGCTCCGAGCCAGCTCCCATGTCAGAGGATGAAATAGAGCACATCCAGTTAGTCAGAATCCATCAAGTTAGAGAACCAGGACTACGCTGAAATACAGGCCAAGCTCCTCACACACCTGCTGATGGTTTCCTTATTAACTGAGTGTTCTTAAGCTGCTGACTGCCACTACCTCGATGCCAGAGTGTTGCCAGTTTAGGGTACTCTAGCCAAGCTGAGTTTTCGCTGAGTCAAGCTAAGTTTTTGTCAACCTGAGTTTAACTTTGTTTTTGTCTTTGCCTCTCGGCAGGAAGTCATCCTGCAAACTGGATTTCTCGGACCTTCTCTCCCTGGAAGGATCAACTGAGCTTCAAACTGAGCTGGGGTTCAAACAGGAGGTTTGGATCCACTTTCCCCAAGAGATCGTTTGAGCTTCTCACTGAGAAAGGGATTATTCTCCACTACAACCAGTTCAAGTACTGCAGGAAATATGAGTGGTAGTCAGTTTCTCCATTCACCACCGCATTCTGGATAAACCCTGTTTCGCCCTCCACCGAATCAGACAAACACTGGAACCACGGCACACATACAGGAGTCAAGGATACAACCACTTCTCTGGAAACGTGAGTCGGCAACCAAATCTTCTTCTCAAAGTTCACGATTGAAATTCCCCACTGAGCCTGAACTAACCAATGTGTCTTCCCCTCACTTTACAGTTCCGGTTGAGCAGTGTTCAGAGCAACACTTCTACCTCTGTTTAACTTCTTCAATAAAACCTGTTAAACCTTTTCCCTGGTCTCTCTGTTTGGTTTTCTGCATTTGGGTCTGAACTTTGTAAAATCATGACACTGACAACTAAAAGATCTGCCTCCCATTCTATTTTCAGAAATTCTAGGAACCACTACTAAACCTGCAGATTGAGAGCGAAGTGCTCTGTTAGGAACATAAGGAACAATCAGATCTCTAATATCAGATGGAGCTTAGTGATTTAAGGCTTTATATGTGAGAAGGAGGATTTTTAATTCTATTCTGGATTTAACAGGAAGCCAATGAAGAGAAGCCAGGATAGGAGAGATATGATCTCTCTTTTTCATTTTCATCAGAACTCTGGCTGCAGCATTTTGGATCAGCTGAAGGCTTTTAACTACAGTTTGTGGACTTTCTGATAGTAAAGAATTATAATAGTCCAGCCTTGAAGTAACAAATGCATGGACCAGGGAAAAAGGGGTAAGGGAAGGGATCTGAAAGAGCTATTTTGAAAACAAAATGTCTCCCAAAATGATTCAATTCAAATTTAAAGGTAATTTCAAGAGGATTGTATGAAGAAAATACCAGATTAAAGCCCATAACCACTTTCAATTATCAATCCTACCAAAGTAAAGTACTCTATTTTCAACGTCTGTGTATTAGAAGTAGTGTTGCACCGATGCCAATACAAGTATCAGACGGGTCCCCCGATCCAGCACTAAAATGGTGGTGTCGGTATCAGGGAGTACCAACAAATAGGGCACTGATACCATTTTGAGAGCCAAAAGAACTATTGAACTTGAACTATTGTCATCCATTCCAGGTAGGCAATAAAAAGTTCTACTGGATTCACTTTGTATTAGTCTTTTTCCTGCTTCACAAAGGTAGGCAGCCGCTTGACAAAGCCATGATGGCAATTATTTTACATCCAAGTAGTATGCAGTTCTTCATATATACACACACACACATCGATTTCAAACAAATAGAATCGGTATCGCCAACACTGCACAGCCAGGTATCTGTATCAGATGCATTACTGCACAACGCCTTCAGTCCAGCTACTGGTCGTAAAGAAAACACACAACTGGTTTTCCCTTTATTTCAACTGGTGACCAACCACACATAAATCCCTAAGCATGAAAACATTTTTTACATCAACCTCGATCTGACCAGTTAAACTTAATAGCTTTGTGACTCATTTACAGTACAAATAAAACTGTTTAACACTTGAATGAATCTCTTATTTTAATCATAAGCAGGTAAATCTCATATCTTCAGCACAAAAAGAGACTGCGAGAGTCAAAAGTTGTTATGTCCTGCCTCTACTGTGCGTCTTCTGACGTCAGGAAGTTTCATAAGGCTGACAGGAACCACTGGGCTGTAGTTCATCTTTAGACTCACAGAAGGGAAGGATGCCTGAAGCTGATATAACGTACGCTGATGTGAAGTTCACTCGACCGAGGCCCAGAGGTGAGCATCAACCTGCCTTAACTACAGAGGTGTCAAAAGTATATATGTTTATTACTAAAGAAGCATAAATCCTACTATTAAAAATGGTTTTGTAGAAGTTAGAGGATCAACTTAAGCTTTTTACTCCAGTAAAAGTGTAAAACTATACATTTTTTTCCTGCTCTAGAATAGCGCTCTAGAGCCTTTATTTGTTTTTAATGCCACAAGGCCATAACCAAAATGAGCTCAAATTAAAACAAAAATAACAAGTCTATTTTCTAAGCAGTAGAAGTAAAAAGTTATCTGAAAAATAATAACTCTAGTATAGATAGTCAGAATTTTGACTGAAGGATAACGATGTATTATACTTGCTTAACTACTCATCCATCCATCCATCCATCCATCCATCCATCCATCCATCCATCCATCCGTCCATCCATCCGTCCATCCATCCTTAGTTAGAATGTACCTAGAATCTGTGCAGATCTCCTCCAGATATTTGTTTCTTTGCAGAAAATGTTGCTTCAAACGACATCACTTACTCTGAAGTCAGGATCTCAAACAAACAGCAACCAGGTCAGTAAAACATTCATTTCAATCTCCAAAAAGAGCAAATATGAGTCTGAAGTCAATAAGATTTATACAGTTTTATTAAAAAGTGTTTTAATTACATTTCTCCTGCATGTAGAAAAAAAATAAAATGTCATTATATTTATTATGTTTATGTTTAGGCAAAAAATTTTAATCTTAAGCTAAATCCCCTCCGTTTGACAGTTATCTGGAAAGATAACTCACATAGTAACAAAAATAAACCCCAGAGAGTGTCATTCAGAGTAAAGATAAGACCTTCATTTCTCAGAAAGTGAGAGGATAGTGTTTACTGAAAGACGGTCTGCTCACGTCAAAGCCCAACTTGATAAGATAACCACAAGATTTTTGATAAGTGTTTGATAACTAATGCATAAAACCTTAAAGGAGCAATAACCAAATTTGTCTGTAGACCAAACCCTTCCTTCTATCCTTTTCTGCTTAATCCATAAGGGTCCCGTGGAGCTGGTCCATGGGCTAAAGGCAGGTTACGTCCTGGACAGGTTACCCGTCCGTCACAGAGACACACAACCATGCACACATACTCAAACCTAAGGACGAATTAGAGACACCAATTAATCTCGTTGTTCTGTTTTTGGATTGTGGGAGGAAGCTAGAGTTAACCAAAGAGAACCCATGCATCTATGAGGCAAACATGCAAACTTTACGCAAAAAAAAAACCTTTGCAAGGAATCGAACCTAGGATCTTTTGGCAACAGTGTTAAAAACTGTTCCACCGAGCAGCCTTGGAACATCATGACACAAGAGGTGATTAGGTTACACCTGTAAATTATATTAATACACCTTTTACTATTTATGATGATAATAATAATTGTAAGCATGTTGTACTCCATCTGCTTTTCCCTCATAAAACTAATAAGTGCTAGATTAGATGTTTGTGTGAATTGCTTTTTGCCCTCTGTGTCTTGTTAAGGAAGAAATTTCTAAAAAGTTAACTTTGGAAAAAAGTTTGGCTCTCTCTCTTCCTCTGGATCCCAGGTCCTCTCGGCGGCCACGTGTGGCCACTAGGAAAACAACAATGCGTGTTGACGTCACAGAATTACAGAGTTTAATCCAATATAAGACAATGCATAAACTTAGAAGTAAGACAATGCACAAACTTACACCAGAAACTGCAGAACAACGGAGACATACATTCAATTACCTGACATAAATGGAGAGAAGGAAAGAAAGCAAAGACGTACAAAGACATCTTTGGAGAGTTGCAAGAGCAAATCTGATTTGTTACTTCTGTGTAGAAAGTTTTATAATGTAGGTGTGTCTTTCCTTTTAGTATATTCAGTTAAGGCGTCCCTCCGCTTGACCAATTGGAAGCTACCTTGGACACTCAGAAAAACTTAGAACTTCCCCTAATTTACGGCAAAAATCTGGGGCCATTTGCTACTTTGTTTTAACAAGAAAAAGCGGAGAGCTTGTCCGGGCCTCCAGGAAATCTAAGGTCATCTGGCTAAGGAAAACATAAGATAAGATTTCACAGATAGCTGTGGAATGCGGGGCCTCTCCTGCCATCCTGACAAACAACCGGAGCCTCATTGCGAGATCCCCTTTGATCTACATTTTCCTTCCTGTACTTTGAATACTTACCCATCAATAGTTTAGTTTTTAAATCATTAACACAAACTTGTTCAAAATTAAGAAATATGTTCAAAATGAGAGTGTTCAACATACCTTTTACACATGCCATAAGATTAACTGTATTAAAAACTAAAAATAATCATTTTTCTTTAACAGTCTAGTGTTATACCCCGCCTCTTGCCCAACAGGCACCAGCAGTCCTGTCAGATGGCCGCTTTGGACAACAAACTGATGGATCTATTCAATATCTCTTACCAGCTTCCTTCCCCACAGCATTTAACTGCCACCACCATGTTTTACTACGCAGATATTGGGTTCAATGTTGATGAGCGACAGTAATTTTCCTCAGCACATAGTGTTTTGTATTTGCCAAAACTAGTACTATTCAGGGGCGTTGCTAGGCACAAAGCTTTACTGGGGCACTGGCCCCCTAGTGCATATGCCCCTCCTTCCATACCCAAATACAGACAAGCACACTGCCCAACCCTGATACATTCCTACCAAAATTACCAGTTGAGATATTAATGAGTATAAGAGCATATTTGTTTTAACAAACATGAACATTTTCAACATTGCAGCTATAAAAAATAAGACATCAACAACTTTGACAAATAAAAAGTTTCCTTATACACATTCTGAAGTAATCATTAATTCCTCGGTTACAGAGTTTTAGTTCGGGGGAAATTTTAACTCATCCTGAGCTAAATTTTCCTTTTATTTTTTGAGCATTAAAGTGTACCTCCTATTTATCATTTTTGCAAAGTGGTCAATCACTTGTGACTCAGCTTAGAAAGTTCTTCCTTTTCAACTGATAAAATAGCCAGATGATGGAGCCTGTCTTGTCCCATTGTGCACCTCGGCCAAGTGTGGAGCTTTCTCAACACACTGAATGACCTTTCACAACTCCAGCTGTAGACTGGGATTGTGAGGAGATCTGGATGACCTGTGTTAGTGTTGGGAATATGATGTTATCAAGCAAGTTGAAAACACACTGCATATCCTTGATGAAAAGGCTTTCTTTTTTAACCAGGAAAAGCTCAAACCATTTTGAATTAAATGAACGTTTTTTTACTCCAAATTTGTGCTGGGGATGGTGGGACAACTTCACTTGTTTAGGACCATCATGCTTTCCCCCTAAGTCACTAATGTCCCCTTCTTGTTTGTGGACGCTGGTTGTTGCATCCTCATCACCTTCATGGTCCTGTCTCTCCTGTCCTTCTCCTGTCTCTTGCCTGTCAGTCTCGCCTCCTCCTCCCTTTCCTACTCCAGCACCTGCATTCTCATTCTCTACAGCAAACATAAAAAAAACGCAAATGTATAATTATGTAAATATCTATCATATTACTTATAATGTTCCTAATGTAACTGGTTACATTAAATCACTAATTCATTACGGGACCTTACCTCCCTCTCTCTCATCTTGTTTTACTGCTTCCCTGTCTCTGCTTCGTGTGAGGAATTTCCTGATATCCATCTACAAACCAATGCAGTAATTTTCAGTTAGTAGCCTATAAATCATGTGGTTTCACTGGGAAAATAATAAAATTGACAGGTAAGAAACATTACCAGAACTAAAAATGCGTCGCGGCCGCACAGTGTCCCATCCAACTCAGTTGAGAGCAGCGTGTTAATTTACCTGCAGTTCATGCAGTGACATGCGCTGACGTGGGGGCGCTAATACATCCTCAATTTGGAGTTACCAACACACTTGCTGCGCATTTGAGTAGAAATATACGTCTCCTTCCGTTGGAAATATCTAAATTGATGCGTTAAAAAAATGTATCACTGTTGCAAATATTCATGAGATTTATACTGGGGCACAGCTCATTTATACTGGGGCACGTGCCCCAGTAAATGGGGTCTGGCGACGCCGATGGTACTATTGGTCTACTCTGACTTTAACATTCACTCAGTGACAGGTACAAGAAAGAGATCCATGTTATGCACTTATTGGGTTTTACTCAACATATTAACAAGAAATGCACAAACTGGCATTTATTTTGGTATAGATATAGAACCACTGCTCAATGTGTATATTATGCAGAACCAGAACTTCTTTTGACAACACGGGAGGCCATTTGTCTCTGTCTGGCCACCTCTGTGAAAATGTTCTGGCTCCACCACTGATTGATACCCTCGTGTCTTTCTCCATCCTAACCTGTGCAAACTGTTCAGCAATCAACCAAACATCTGGGTCCATCAGGAGGTCAAAGGTCTCCTCAGAACAACTGGTTCTGCTGGTTCTCCTTTCATTGCTGGTAGCTGCTGTCATTGCTCTTGGAGTCACCTGTGAGTTTTAACATTTTGTGTTTTTTCTTAATATTATGCCTTTGCAACTTGCATTGTTTTTTTTCTGTAAAGATTTTAATACACGTGTTTAAGTTTGTTTTGCGTCATTTGTTTTAGATCAACTGTAGCAAAGGTGAATGGAAGATATTTTTGATGTGCAACTCACAAAACACAATTCATATACTTGTACTTAAGAATTTAAAGAGGTGTAATTTTTTTTGTAATTGTAACAGATTTAAAAAAAATCTGCAATTACAAAACAAAGTTAGAATGTACAAAAAGTTTTGCAACAATAGTTCTGGACAATTTGGAGCAAAACTGAGAACATAAGAGGTTTTTGATATTCAATTCAATTCAGTTTATTTATATAGCGCCAAATTCACAACACATGTCATCTCAAGGCACTTTACAGTTCAACCAGATCATACAGTCAAATTGATACAAAGTTTTCTATCTAAGGAAAACCAGTTGATTGCATCGACTCAAATACAATCCCTCACACTAAGCATGCTTGTAGCGACAGTGGAGAGGAAAAACTCCCTTTTAACAGGAAGAAACCTCCAGCAGAACCAGGCTCAGTGTGAGCGGCCATCTGCCGAGGCCGACTGGGGTTCAAGGAGACAGAAGCAGAGATACAAAAAGCAGCTGTAAAAGGCGGCCCCGTCCAGGAAACACACAGCCAGGCAGACAAGCTCCAAGGCAGCTCCCATGCCAGAGGACGAAGAGAGCACATCCAGCCAGTCACGGTCAGAGAAACAGGACCACACTGGAAAACAGGCCGATCTCCAACATCTATAAACAAGGGTGTTGATGGAAGCAGCACAGCTGATGTTTCTTTCCAGGATGACGTCACAGCCAAACAGGAACAGACGAGGCAAAGCTACTCTGAGGAAAAGCAGAGAGAGCAGAAGGTTAGAGATTGAACTAACAGATTCTGCAGTTAGGAGAACAGAGAGAGAATGAAGCAGAATGATGAAATGGGGGTCCCTATGTCCTCCAAAAGTCTAAGCCTATAGCAGCATAACTATAGAGATAGCTCAGGATAACCTGAGCCACTCTAACTATAAGCGTTATCAAAAAGGAAAGTTTTAAGCCTAGCCTTAAAAGTAGACAGGGTGTCTGCCTCACGGACTAAAACTGGTAGTTGGTTCCAAAGGAGAGGAGCCTGATAACTAAAAGACCTGCCTCCCATTCTACTTTTAGAAATTCTAGGAACCACTAGTAAACCTGCAGATTGAGAGCGAAGTGCTCTGTTAGGAACATAAGGAACAATCAGATCTCTGATATAAGATGGAGCTTGGCCATTTAAGGCTTTATATGTGAGAAGGAGGATTTTAAATTCTATTCTTGATTTAACAGGAAGCCAATGAAGAGAAGCCAGGATAGGCGAGATATGATCTCTCTTTTTAATTTTCATTAGAACTCTGGCTGCAGCATTTTGGATCAGCTGAAGGCTTTTAACTACAGTTTGTGGACTTCCTGATAGTAAAGAATTACAATAGTCCAGCCTTGAAGTAACAAATGCATGGACTAGTTTCTCAGCATCACCCCTGGACAGGATATTTCTAATTTTTGCAATGTTCCTCAGATGAAAGAAGGAAATTCTAGAAACCTCTTTGATATGGGATTTAAATGACAGGTCCTGATCAAAAATAACACCAAGATTTTTTACTTTATTATCTGAAATCAGTTTAATCCCATCCAAATGAAGTGACTGGCTAATCAGTTTCTTTTTCAGAGACTCTGGTCCAAAGACTATAACTTCTGTTTTATCTGCATTCAGAAGCAGAAAGTTAAGAGTCATCCAGGTTTTTATGTCTTCAAGACATGCCTGTAATCTATGTAATGGGTTAGCTTCATCTGGATTTATAGCCAGATATAGCTGGGTATCATCAGCATAACAGTGGAAATTAATCCCATGCTGTCTAATAACTCTACCAATTGGGAGCATGTATAAAGTAAAGAGAATTGGTCCTAGCACTGATCCCTGTGGTACTCCACAGGTAACCTTTGAGCGTGTTGAAGATCTATCATTAACATGAACAAACTGAATTCGATCAGATAGATAAGATTTAAACCAGTCTAGTGCTGTTCCTTTAATTCCAACAAAATATTCAAGTCTTTCTAAAAGAATATTATGGTCAACTGTATCAAATGCAGCACTAAGATCCAACAGGACGAGCACAGATACAAGTCCATTATCTGAGGCCATGAGAATATCATTAGTGACTTTCACCAGAGCTGTTTCAGTGCTATGATGAGCTCTAAAGCCAGACTGAAACTCTTCAAAAAGTTCATTATGGTGTAAGTGATCGCAAACTTGTTTGGCAACTACTTTCTCAAGAATTTTGGATAAGAAAGGAAGATTGGATATAGGTCTATAATTGACCAAGTCATCTGGGTCAAGAGACGGTTTCTTAAGCAGAGGTTTAATTACAGCAACCTTAAAAGCTTTAGGTACATATCCCTGTAACAGAGATAGATTAATCACATCTAAAATGGAGGAGGAGATCAAAGGGAATACCTCCTTAAATAACCTGGTTGGAACTGGATCTAACATACAAGTTGAAGGCTTAGATGAAGACAATAATTTTGCTAATTCAGAAAGTTCAACTGGATCAAAGCAGTCTAAACCCGGTTCAGATTCCATGACTACCTCAGGTACAATCGCGGATAGAGGAGTGCTTATGATTTTATTTTTAATAAGATCAATCTTATTTATAAAGAATCCCATAAAATCATTGCTGCTAAGAGCAGGTGGAATGGACGGTTCAACAGAGCTATGGCTCTGGGTGAGTTTGGCAACTGTATTAAAAAGAAATCTAGGATTATTCTTATTCTTCTCTATTAATGAGGAGAAGTATGCTGCTCTTGCTTTACAAAGGGTCCTCTTATACAGCATTAAACCATTTTTCCAGACTAGGAAGGACTCCCGCAGGCCTGTGGAGCGATATTTTCTCTCCAGTTTCCTAGCATTTTGCTTCAAAGTACGCAGCTCTGCATTAAACCAAGGAGCAAGCTTTCTATTTTTAACGGTTTTCATTTTCAAAGGAGCTGCGTTGTCTAAGGCAATACGCAGAGAACTAGCAACCCCATCAACAAAATCATCAACCTGTGAAGGGGAATAAGCCAAGCTTTTGCACTCTGCAGCACTGCTCAGCGACACAGAGGAGAGAGAAAGTGAAGCAGATTCTTTAAAATTTATAACTGCACTATCTGATAAAGATCTACTAAAATTGAACCTTCTTTTGGGGGAGGAGAACTCTGTTAAAGTAATCCTGAAGGTTATTAGAAAGTGGTCAGAGAGGACAGGGTTGTGAGGAAATACTGTTATTTCTTCACATTCTATGCCGTATGTCAGCACAAGATCCAAAGTATGAAAATGAGAATGTGTGGGACTATTCACATTTTGAACAAAGCCAATAGTGTCTAAGATAGCATTAAAGGCTGCTCTTAAGCTATCGCCTTCAATGTCAGCATGGATGTTAAAATCTCCCACTATGATGACCCTGTCAGTATTTAATACCAAATCAGAAAGGAACTCTGAAAACTCATCTAAAAATTCAGAGTAAGGACCTGGTGGACGATACAAAGTTACAAAAAGAAGAGGTTTTCTTGCCTTGAAATTTGGATCAGGGAAATTAAGGGTTAAATGTTCAAAAGAGTTGAAGGTATTAACTGTTTTGGGAGTAATCAGTAAGTCAGACTGGAAGATTGTTGCTACTCCTCCTCCTCGCCCAGAACTTCTGGGTATGTGAAAATTTAAATAGCTTGAAGGAGTTGCCTAATTTATGCTCACATAATCCTCTTGCTGCAGCCAGGTTTCTGTAAGGCAAAACAAGTCAATGTGATTATCACAAATCAAGTCATTAACTAGTAGACTTTTAGAGGAAAGCGATCTTATGTTAAACAGACCGCATTTAATTGTTTTAACTTTTTCCCCAATTGGAGTTATTTTGATTTTAATTAGATTATCATGATTTACTCCTTTGGGAATCTTTGCTAATTTATTAGATTTTGGTCGTGGACAAGACACTGTCTGGATGGAGTAAAGAGTGGGTAACAGTAGAGAAGCTGCAGAGATGTGTGTTAAACTACAACTCTGCTTCCTGGTCTGCACCCTGGGTGGTCAGGGTTTTGGAGGACTAATAAATGTGGCCAGATTCCTAGAAAGAAGAGCTGCACCATCCAAAGTGGGATGGATGCCGTCTCTCCGAATCAGACCAGGCTTTCCCCAAAAGGATTGCCAATTATTAATGTAGCCCACGTTGTTTTCAACTTGTTATGCAACTTGTAGAACAGAATTTGTTTACTTGTACTTAACATTTGAACAGGTGTAAATAAAAATGTGTGCTTTTATTCGATGAATACAAAACTTAAAGGAAAATTCCGGTTTTTAACACTTTTAGCCCCTTTTCTGTAGTGTCCAGGATGAAATCGAATGATCGACACCAAAATTTTGACGATTGGTCCTGTCTCTGCTATTTGGCTCATGCAGAATCCCCCCCTGGCTGCTTCAGAATGGCTTCCATAGTGCATGTCCGATAATGGCTCTGTTCGAAAACCTAGGACGGGTCCTCCAAGGACGCGGTCTACCTAGACTGGATCCTTCTAAGTCCTTGAAAATAAGGAGACCGGAAGAGTTTTGGCTGTGAATTCGACCAGGTCCACCCTTCGGCGGGTTTTACCGCCGTATGCTCTGTTGCTTAGCAACCGTGAACGTTGACACACAAAGCAGGAAAAGAATGAATACAGAAGTTTTCAAAACTGTTTATTTATTTCTTTTTTATTGTGAAGTGAACAAAGACTACACTCACAAGAATCCAGAGTGGAATAAAGGTTCATACCACCGGGAGCAGGAACAAATAAAATCAAATGTAATGATAGAAACCTTAGTCAGTTAAATAAAATGCTGCTGTCATTTTGCACATCTCTGATGCTGCTGCTATTTTCTAATATCCATTACTGTAAAAATGTCCATAGCTGCATATTGGTTATTTATTCCCCAGTTTTATATTGTTAAAACACTTTACAGTATTTTATTGTTTATATTTTAACTCTTCCCTATCATGTTATTCTTATACATTTTTCTAAGGTCCACATTTGTGTGACCATTTTCAATAATCTTTCTGCTGCTGTAAATTTTTCCATTGTGGGAAAATAAAGGGATTTTCTATTCTATTCTATAAAAGGGGTAGAAAGATATAAGTAAATCTAAACAATATATTTATAAAAAATATATCTGCAAAATCTCTAATATTCAACAACAAAAAATACGAAGTTAAGCATATTGTGCAAAACAGCAATAAAAAGATAAAAATCCTATCAGATTTATAGTCCCCACTCTGCAGATTTATTAGAATCTGTCCTTAAATTACAGCCAAACCCATTTACACAGTAACAGACTTAAACCTTTAGATAAACCAAACATTACCGCCACATATCTGACTCAGTAACCATTAAATAACTATTTTCATTCATTTCAGACGGAACTATTCACAGAGTTGTATTATATTAAACTGAACTTCCAATTTTCACCACTGTTCGGCGCCAAGTAACCTTTCCTCTGATCACAGCTTGCTTGGTCTCGCAATGAATCCTGGGTAAACCAAGGATAGCGAGGATACATCGGACCCGTCCTTCAGGCAAAAAGAAGGACGCATTTTAAGGCCGCATAACGAGGACTCTTGGAATCCGACCAGACCTCGGCGCCGCGCTATGACGTAATCAGCCTTCGAATCCGGTCTTCTAAGGATGCGTCCTAGGTTTTCGAACAGAGCCATGGTCCTTAAAACAACCTTAAACGTTCTTTTTTTAAAATATGCTACTCACCGGGTCGTCAGCGCTGTTCAATGACGTTCCAAAAAAAGTTTCGTGAAGAAAAACCGTTCCTGTCTTGTTTGACACCTAAATGTACTGAGTTGCCGCCATGTGATTGGCTGCTTAGAAATTAAGTGTTAACGAGCAGTTGGACAGGTGTACCTAATAAAGTGGCCGGTGAGTGTATATTTCTCCACCTCCTGAAGCAAAAAATAAGTCCAGGATTTATTCTTGGCCTCATTTCTGTCCTCTAAAGATGTTAAAGTGACATTAATGGTGTCATGTTGGGGTTCAGGTTTCTAACCCACATGCAGAACACCAAGGAGTCAGAATAAAAGTTTAACAGTTTATTGAAGATAAACACAAGGTTAGTTGACAGATACTGGAATCAGATCCGGGACTGGTCACAACAGGCTCTCTGCAGAGAGGGACAGTTAGGTTAGCCAGGCAGCTAATGATCAGATAGCTGAGAGAATGTGCAGATCTGTACCTGTTCAGAGATTCAGGCTGAGCGGCTGAGGGAGGGAACCAGGAGGGTCTAGAGACTGATCGACGGCAGAGGGCTTGGCAGCGACAGGACCTGGCTTCAGGCTTGTAGTGTTCAGAGCTTCTCCAAGACTTTCTTGGAGGAAGGTAGGGAGATCCAGACAGTTTGATCTTCAGGTTTGTAACTGAGAGCAGGCAGGCAGGTTTCCAGTAGAGATGCTCTTCCAGAGCTTCAGGTTTCAGTCAGGTTCTTCCTAGGAAGCAGAGAGGACAAAAAACTGATTAGGTTCAAGTCAGGCTTTCGGGGAGTCAGAGAATCAGGCAGGCTGGTTGGCTCAGGCTCGCTAACCGTAACTGGCTTAACACTCTGGTGCTGAAGAGTAGTCCTGTCGCTGCTTATATGCTGGTCTCCCTGATGAGCAAATCAGCCGCAGGTGTGGTAGTCAGCTTCAGCTCCAGGAGACCTAGGGCGCCCTCTGCTGGAGAAAGGTGGACAGATCTCCAGATCCCAACAAATGGGCAGACAGACACAGTTAGTTCAGTTGAGACTTCTTCATTCTGACTCAGTGAGGTCTTTGTTCTGATCTGTTTTAAACTAAGATGTATTCACACTTACAATGCACAAATAGTTTTGAAACAAAATAACCTTCATAGATTTTCCTGTTTCAAACCTTCCAACAAACCAGACTTGTTCAATATCTGTCTGATTTTCTCATTTTGTTAATCTTCATGATAAGGCCTATGCAGATTACATGAACAACTTTCTAACTGACTTACTATGATTTTAACTATTTTGGTTTTGTCTTTTTGATCAAACAGGGTCCTTTATGAATCAAAGAATCCAAACCTTAACTGAGGAGAATGGAGCTCTGAGGAGAAATCTCTCAGGTGAGATTGTCAGGATTTTACGGTTTCTTAAATGTTTAGACTGAACGTTTCGATTCAAAACCTTCAGAACAGAGGCATTTATTATTATTTTAGGTTAAACTGTGAACCAGTTATTTAAAAACTGACCATTTGTTTTTGTTTTATGATAAATCCCTCATTAATGTTTTAGTTTTGTTCTATGCAACTGCTCTGCAAAAGCAGAATGCAATTTAAACTTTTACCTCTTTCATAAAAACAGACTCTGAAACTAACAATTCTACACGTATATTTCTCCACCTCTTGAAGCAAAAAATAAGTCCAGGATTTATTCTTGGCCTCATTTCTGTTCTCTAAAGATGTTAAAGTGACATTAATGGGCAGACAGACACAGTTAGTTCAGTTGAGACTTCTTCATCCTGACTCAGTGAGGTCTTTGTTCTGATCTGCTTTAAGCTAAGATGAATCCGAAGTGTGAAGCAGACTGGATGGCACATGGAGGAAGCCTTTATAAGTTCAACACCATGAAGTCCTCCTGGACTGAGAGCAGATATTCCTGCATAGCTCAGGGAGGAGACCTGGTGAAGATCGACAGCAGAGAAGAGCAGGTATGAAACACTGCTGCCGGTTCATGTTTTCACGGGTTTTCCCATCATCATGTTTCTTCATGATGATGCTAAAGACAGAAAAGTCTCTTAGATACATTTTCATCAATTTCTTCTGTTCAGATGTTCCTGTTAGAAAATCTCAGAGAAATGCTGAATGAAGGCAAGGAAAAGTTCTGGATCGGACTCAAAAACTCAGGGACAGATGGGTGGTTGTGGGTGGATGGATCACCTCTGAACGAAAGGTTGGATTGTGGTGAAAACATGTTTGTTCATTTCCAGTATAAAAGCCACAGTTTTTATTTCTGCTGTTTCTGTTCTTTATCTTTTAGTTTGACATCTTGGACTAAAAACAAGCCAAATAGCAGAAAAGATAACAGTAAAGCTGGAGAAGACTGTGTAAAGATGGGACTTAAAGGAGGAACTGATGATTCAAAGTGTTGGGGTACTAATCCGTGTAATTCTTCTTACAAGAGTATCTGTGAGAAACCTTGTCAATAATCATCCATCTGTGTATAAAGTTCACTTCGTTCTATAAAACTGAGAGAAACACAACAGCAGCTGCAGATGCTTGTTTTATAAAATGATGGGTCCATTTCAAGAAGCAGTTTCAGCAAAGTCAGCATCAAATGATTACTCTGAAATCTTGATGGGTTCCTGAAGTTAAGGCAGCTCTTTTGTTTCCCGTCTTCCTCTACTGAATGAACTAATTAATCCAGGTGTGCCTGGCCTCAGTAACAATGAAGAAATTAGTCAAAGAGCCCATTTGATCCTCATGTAAAGGACATCCCATGTTTGTGTTATTAACATCTAATGTGTCTAACAGACCGACTGATCTTTTTTAAACTACAACAGAACTCAAACCTTTGGCTTTAAGGAGGGCAGAGACAGAGGACACTCTGTTAATTTAGGAAAACCCGATTCTGACCAGTTTAGCTCAGGCGAGAATATTACAATAGTACGGTAATAATAAACACAGACACATAGGTTAAAAATGCTTCCTTTGTAATACAGAAAACTCAGTTTTCATGATTTCATGGTTAACAAACTTAAACTGAGACTGGATTTCCACCCAATACCTGTAGAGAACTATATAAGGATTACGCCATATTATATCAGTTTCCCAACATCTGTAAGATGAAAAAGTAGTGGACTCAGAATTTTCCTAAATGCACATTGAACAGTATTGTACAGATATTATCACTAGAGGAGCAGATATGTCCCAGAATGTTTTAGACATGGTCTCCCCAAAAAGTATGATTAAGTTTGTTTTGGAGGCGAGAGAAAACAAAGATGGTGCAGGAATCATGCAGGGAGCCAGAGTCATGTGACCAACTGGAAATGAAAAGTAGGGGTCATCTGTCCAAGCGGTCAGTTAACTGAATGCCCTAAAAAGTCCACTATATATTCCCCCGATCTATATGGTAATTGAAGGTTTATGGTTCAGGGTGGATAATCAGACACTGCCTTTGATTTTTCTTTAAATCGGCTTCGTGAAATTGACCTATTGTCACAAACATTTAAAGATCCCTTCAGGCACATTAAAGATCAAATTCTCCAGTTTTTGTATTATTATTGCTTTAGTTGTTCCTGAGGAGGAGAACACCAAGAGATCGGCTCAGAAGCTCTGCGTTACAAACAGGAACCGGATCTGGAAGAACCTGCAGCAGAACATGTCTGTCAGAGTTTTACAGAGGATTAAATCCTGCTTCAGATCTACAGGAGAACAGTTCATATCTTCCTCTCTGTTTCCAGCTGCAAACTGAGGTTCTAACAGGTTTGGATCCTTTATAAGAAACAGAACAGCTTCTCCTCTGGTTTCACTGCTTTAGCTTCCTGATTAACAGAGTTTAGAGAAATCCTCATTAACAGAAGTTTAAACTGAATCAGTTCATGTTCACAGTTCACCTGCTGAACATTTGGAACTAAAGTCAAAGTCCCAACAGGAAGTAGTTCCTGTTCATTCATCCATTCATCTATAACATAAAGTCACATGTATAAAATATGTAGGTGATGATGTCATATGGATCATGCTAACTGCAGCATGACATGTATGTACTTCTGCAGCATTTGCAACATGGCCTCTGAGAGCTCAGGTTTTCATCTCCATGTAGAAAAATAAAGATCAGATCCACCATCAGAGCTCTAGCATTCATATTCTCAGCTTAAAGCACAGCAGCTGTTGATGTAACTGTCAGGATTATGAATAAAGTTTTATTAAATGTAAGAAATTCTAAAACTGTTAAACTGAATTGCTTCATAATGCATAATAAAAATTATCTTATAAAAAAAGAGAGACTCCAGATTTAATGGATGGATGGATGAATGGATGGATGGATGGATGGATGGATGGATGGATGGATGGATGGATGGATGGATGGATGGATGGATGGATGGATGGATGGATGGATGGATGGATGGATGGATGGATGGATGGATGGATGGATGGATGGATGGATGGATGGATGGATGGATGGAAATAACATTATCAACATAAAAATCAAGAAAAAGGAACACACTACAAATTATTCATTTCCAGCGAAGAAAGATAACTAGTCTTGTTTTAGATGTTAGTTTCTACTTTTAATTATCCAAATAACACTAGAATTTTAATTAAAGAAACCTTGTTTACTGAATTAATTTCGCTTCAAGGAGACACCCCCCTTCCCCTAATTGGCAATTCAGAACACAATTTTGTCCTCTAAAAGTCTCAGCACACCCCTTTTGTCAAAAGACAGCCAGCAACAGCAGGCTCCATTAGGAGATGGTCTCCTGAGATTGAGGAGGTCCTGAGACACTGCATGGAAACCACATCCCATGAGGTGGTTTCCATGCAGTGATGGGCATTGAGGGGCAGTCCCAATGCATAACTGACAAATTTAATGTATTTATATAGCACCAATCCAGAACACATGTCCTCTCAAGGCATTTTACATAAATATTACAATCAGATTGGTTAAAAGTTTCCATCAAATAAAAACCATTTGAATGCACAGAGTAGGGATGGGCGATATGGACTAAAAAATTTATCACGATAATTTCTAGGTTTTACCACGATAACGATAAGTGACGATAAAAAACAAAACAAAAACACAATATCAGCCTAATATATCAAACCAATCAAACAAGCCTGAAATATGAGTACAAATTTCACATTTATTTAAATGCTACACAGCAAATACAACTTGGCTTATAAAAGTTTCAAAGTAGTGCAACTGTAAATACAACCTGATAAATTGAGAAACAGAACTTAAAAGTATTTCACTGAAAATTAAAACTAAAAAATGTGCAAATGGCAGGATAAATAAAGGGAAAAAACTGAAAAATTTAAATACTAAAATAGAAAAAAGGTCAATAAATTCCAACAAACATGTAAAACCTGAAATACTTTGTGCAAAAATTTAAAAATAAGACTAGCAGCATCGTCGGCATGTTAAACAATGAAATAAAAATAAATAATTTCAATAAACTTAAAAAGAATATAAAAACTGAAATACCTCTCTGTGCAACAGTGTATAAATAAGGCTGACAGGAGCATCTGTATGTGCCTTACACCTTTAGATTTTTGGTTAGAAAGACCAGCATATCAACTGTGGCTGGTTTCAGAAGAGATCGCTGGCAAGTTACCACATTACCTCCAGCACTGAAGACCCTTTCTGAGGCTGTACTTGTTGCAGGGATGCACAGGTACCTCTTTGCTAACTGACTCATCAGAGGGAAATTCACCTCATGCACTTTCCACCATGCAAGTGGATCGCTCTCACTGTCTGCCAGTTGTCCAAATAAATAACTGCTTAGTTCGGCCTCAACTCTGTCACTGTAAGAGACACTGGTGGAGGCTTCAGCAGCAGCTGCTTGTTTCAGAAAGCTTCCCAGACTCTTCCTCTGTTTCTTCCTCTGTTGTCTGTCCTCAGTTTCTTGACCCTGGCCTGTTTCAGCAGACTGAGGTGATGTTTCAGAGGCGGCAGCAGCAGCAGCAGCAGGGCCACTTGGCATGGCAGACACAGGTTCCCCCTCTGTGACCACTTTGGCTTTGATGACCTGGATCTCTTCCTGACTTAGGTGCTGTGTACGAAAGCGTGGATCCAGAAATGGTGCCATGTTGATCAGCTCCACAACATCTGGGTCACTGTATTTTGTTGTAAGATAGTCCAGTACTGACTTTTTGATGGTTTCGATGAGATCAGAATCTTCATCCTTCTCCTGTAGAAGCTTGCTACTGAAAAGGTAAAGAATAGGCGTCAGGCATGACACTGTCACATAACTCTCTGAGGAGAGGGCATCTGTGAAATCAAGCAGAGGTCCTAATGCCTTGCTGACAGCATCTTGCCACTTCAGCACCAGATGCCTGGTTGACCGTTCAGCAGCCAGGACTTGTGTGATGGCCTTTTCTTGTTCAAGAAGCCGCTGAATCATCCTCTGCCTGGAGCCCCATCGTGTTGGAGATTCGGTCACCAGTTTATGTTGAGGAAGTCCAAGCTCCTCTTGTGCAGCTTTAAGAGCACGTTGCCTTTTCCAGCTATGTGAAAACAAGCTGACTATCTTCTTGCTGACTCCCACAGCTCTGTCAATCCTGCTGTCCCTCATGCTTCTCTCAGGGGGAAAACACACACACAAAAACCAAAACAATGAATGATAATTCATACATGCTTCCAGAATTTTGAGATATTAATCATGTCTGTCAGTAGATTGATTTCCTAATTTCTGATTGGGCGATATGTTGTTAAACATGGTAATATTACACATCACGATTGTAAAAAGAAATGTAAAAAGGGCAAGCAGAAATGTAAAAAAAAAAAAAATAAAGGACAAAAAAATAAATAAGGTAAATATTACAAAAGCAAATAAATAAAGAAGCTAATTAAAAAGAGTTATATACAGTTATGTCTCACTGTATAATTTAATTTCTACTTATATTTATTTGTTGATTGTGTTTTTGTTGGCAATTTATTGTATGCTTATATATTTATTGAGCATTTATTTCTGTATTTATTTTTAAATATGGCAGAGTTGGTCCTCCATATGTACCAGCGTCCCAGTGCAATGGAATTCTGCTCATGAGGACACAGGTTAAAAGAAAAAAACTTTTAGCTTCAGCAAAAATGCTCTTAACAGAGGCTTTGTTAAACCTCTCATCTTGCTGTTGTTTAGCAACGGTAGATGCCAAGACTAGATTAGAACTTTGGAGTGCGCAGGAAGAATGATAAAAAAAAAGAATCGATAGAAAACATAAGCTGTGACCTTAAACGCAATTAATTGCAAGTAGTACTGTTGAATAAAAATAATGCAAGCACACAAATTAGAACACTCAGAAATAAGAAGGAAGGAGACATTACGAGATTTACTCACCAACAGCAATGTGCAGATTATGTCCGAAGCAGGACAGCCTTGTCCACTTGTTCAACGCGACTGCCTTGACAACGTTGGCCCCACTGTCCGTGGTCAGGCACACCTGTTTGGCCTCGTCAAGTTTCCATTCTTGTAAAAATTGTTTCAAACCACTCGCAATATTTTCACCCGTGTGGTCCTCCGGGAAAAAACTCGTCTGTAGGCAGCTGCTATTTAAACTCCAGTCATCTGTTATGTAGTGCACCGTAAGACTGATGTATGGCTCAGTCGCTCGGCTGCTCCACATGTCTGTGTTTGAAGCAAAAAACGTCACTGTTGATAGCTTCGCTTGTAGCCCATCACGCCACTCGTCATACATCTTAGGCAAGGCTGTCTTGGAAAAATATTTCCGTGAAGGCATCTTATATCGTGCGTCCATTTTGTGGACCATACGCCTGAAACCCTCCTTCTCCACAGATTGAAGCGGCAACATATCTTTAGCCAGGCAAAACGCAACGGCCTCTGTTAACTCTTTCCATCGCTTGCTTTGGCTATCATACGGTGTGGAATGAGAAAACGCGTCGGCAAGTTTTGTTTGATTTGAAGTTGGTTTCTTAAAAGAGGTTTTCGTCTAGGCTTCTGCTGCATCGCAGCGCATCTTCTGACTAGCTTCATATTCCGGTTTGTGTTTGTGTTTTAGGTGGGGAAATAAATTTGTAGTGTTGCTGTCCTTTGTCGTCACAGGTTGTCTGCAAACTTTGCATAATACGACTTTCTGCTCCGTATCAGACTTTTTGAATCCAAACCAGTTCCAGATAACGGAGCTGGAGCCTCTTTTAGGAACCAGGTCTTGCGGCACTTCTCCTCCACCTTCCGCCATGTTTGTTGTTTGCGCATGGATCGCACGTGGGTTGGACTGCAGGTGTGTCACGCCCAGTACACGTCACCGGCGGGAGTTTATCGTTTTTATCGCGAGATGACAAATTGTTACCATGAGGAATTTCTTTGACGATATATCGCACACGATAACATATTGCCCATCCCTAGCACAGAGTCAGCATCATGACTACCTGAATGTCTGGTGGATGTAGTCTCTTCTGCTAAGACTATCCGTTTTACCAGACAAAGCTTTACTCAGTAGGAAAAAGGTGGTCTTCCAGAACAAAGACAGAGAGACAATTAGATCAGCAAAGGTGGAGGTGAAACAGTGACTTAAAGAGGCTAAACACACCTACAGGGGGAAGGTGGAGCTGTAGCTTAGGGTCAACAACAAGAGGGAGGTTTGGCAGGTTTGAACAACATCACAGCCTTCAGAATAAAATCCGGAACAAAGACTCAGCCTTCTCCTCACCGAGTACATCTCTGACTTCTGTTACAACTATGAGCTGTTTCACATACACTAGTATGCAGATGACAGCCATCATGGGGTGTATCCAGTATGCCAGGGAGAGCTAGAACAGGAATCTGGTGGACAACTCTGTTGTCTGGTGTAGAGAAAACCATCAGCAGCTCAATACCTCTGAGACAGAGGAACTGGTCATAGACTTCAGGAAATCTGGACCATTCCCAGTTCTGATGGAGGCAGAGGAGGTTGTTCTTGTAGAAAAGTATCCCAGGCTGTCGCTGGACAACAAGCTAGATTGGGCATGCAACACATCTGACCTGTACAAAAGCTCCTTCCTTCAGAGGCTCCGGTCACTTAACATCTTCAGGAAACTTCTGCAGATGTTCTGCCAGCCGGTGGTTGGGGATGGGGAGCAGCAGAAGGGTAGAGGTGGACGGTAATGCTTGCGATACAGCAGCCCAAGAACATCTCAATACCTGCCCCCCTCCGCTGGCTGGTGCTTTGGCCCGCCGGAGCATTGGTGATGCTCTGTGTTTGGGGGTAGATGCCTGGTTGGGTGCCGGCGTATTCCTGGCAGCTGCTTCACAGGATCTGTTCCCTTGGGTCTCGGTTGGGCCTCCCACCGGGGGGCAGGACGCCCCTGGAGTATTGGGGCCCATGGCTAGTTCCACTAGAGGGTGACTGCCGGCAGAGCCCAAGGGGCTCCCCCCTCCTGGGGGCTTCGGCATTGAGGCGGCAGGGGGATTTCCTTGGGGCTGTCTTTCTTCTTCCCTTGGTGGGAGGGCAGATTTCCTGTGTTAGCCCCTTCTGGGCGCCTTTGCTCTGGGGGTTTATTTGTGCATCTGGGGTTTTGGGTTCCCTGGCATCTGCCTCGGTGCACTTGGAAGGCTGGGTTTTTTTACATATTTTTTCCTTTTTCCTGTTATTCCTTTCTTCTTCTTACAATGCAGTGTCCATATAATCTGTAATACTCCCTGCATGAATTATAATAAAGATATTTATATGCATAAATCAAGCGGAATACCATGGCAAAAGCCGTACTGCTCCTCTTGTGAAAGCAAAATCTGTTGGGTCCTTTTTTGGCATCAAGACAATAATTCTTATTGCCACATTGCCAGACAGGACACTGTAAAAAATAAAATAAATTTAAAAAAAAGAGATCTATTATCAAGCTTTAAAACCTGTATGCGATGATCGCTTCAAAAGGTTGTCGTATTGATACACAAAATTTATACTATGACCACATTTGTGTCCCATTTATTTATTTTATAACAATTACATAACAAATATATAACCTATAAACAAACTATCACATTATAAAGCATAGTATTATTATTTCAAAATAATAATGTTATGACTACTACACAGTAAATGTTGCAGTGTAAAACACTTGAAGAGTACATTTTGTCCCACACTAATTCAGAGTGGGACCAAATGTACTCTTGAGTGTTACTTTGTCATTAGTTGTGACTGTGAGTGCATGATTGTATCTCTCTGTGTTACCGTGCGACAAACTGCCAATCTAACCAGGTCTTGTTTTCTTGCTCTTCGTTTATAGTTTATTTAGAGTTCCGTAGGAGTGATTGTGTCTGTCTTTGCTGTGTTGTTTATAGAAAAACTATTTCCAAGCTACAAGCCAAAGGTAAGTTACATCTGAGTCTGAGTTTTTTCTTGTTCTTACATACCTCTTTTTTAAAAGATGATGCAAGGACCAGATATATTTGCTAATTTACGCCTCAAGGCATCAGATAAACCCATCATTTCGTTTTATAGAGTTTAGAATCTTGCGGTTTGCAAAGTAAGATCCTGTTTAGAGCAACTGCTGCTTGATCAGATACCAAATTCTGCAAACTGGAATCTTCTGTTAACTGCAGAGAGCAAGGAATAAACTAAACATTTATTGCATGTTGATCACAGCTGATGAGCGAGATGAGATAAAGTAGAGGTAAACACATATTGATGAGTTGAGTCCACAGGAACATTCAGGATATATAATGTTAAAACCTGCAATTTTATCAACAACTTACTGGAGATAAGCAGCAGTTTATATCAAATTCTAGGACTAATATTCTAGAATGTATAAATTGTAGAATATATTGATATATTCTAAAACTACGCTGATCAATATGACTGCATGTAAGAGTAGCTTTGCTCTTTTAAAGTTACAGCAAAACATAATTGAAACTTTGATTCAACACTATTTTAAATCATTTCAGATTATCAGTATCTCTTGAAATGAAACGCAGCACCATTTTTATTCTGACTGTTTAAAACCAGCTAATCTTCAATGATTAGTGTTCATTAGTGTTCATTAGTGTTTGAATTCAATCAAAGATTACCTGAACTGAATGTAAAACAGTTCAATGTTTGTAAATTATTCTTACAAAGAGCCTCATTATAAAAACATCTGACTAGGAAGAAGACATAAGATAATCATATAAACCCGCCCCCCAAACCCTGCCGCCCTTAAAACTCTAATAGATGAAATGGCTTTGACAAAAGCTGTGAACCAGGAAGCTTTCAAAAAGCTCGTATTAAAGGTTCAGAGAGAGACAGGAGGCCTTTGAAAAGTTTATCTGACGTCCAGACAGGGGAGAGGACCCACCGATGGTGAGTTTAAATTATTTTATTTTCCAAATACTTAAACTCTGCGCTGAGTATTCATCTTTTCATTCCCTCATTTGACTCAGGAAACTGATTTTCTAGTTGAAACTTTTTTTCGACTATTTATTAATGTAAGGCATCGGACTGAGGACCCAAAATTCAACCATACACATTGTAGGCTGTTAAACTATTTATTCACTGAGCTATACAGGCAACGCAGGGAACTGATCAGCAACAGATTCATGAAGCTATGGAGACTAGAGATCAGGTTAGTGGCTGAACTATCCTTAGGTTTTAATGGATCAATAAGAAAATAAGACTTTAACCTTCTCAAAGTCCCAAGGGAGGAAAGGGGACTAGATATTGGCTCCTCTGTGAGTCTCAGAGAGAGGGTATAGACAAGGCATTGGTCAGGAGGCAGAAACAAGGTCTAAGTCCAAAGATCAAAAGTATTTGTATGGTCCAGCAAGAGCCAGACAACCATGAGGCAGAAACATGCTCAGAATCAGGTAAGGCAGAGAAGCAATGCTGGATATCTACTAGCCGAGAACTTTCAGTTATCTAGCACTGTCAGCATGCTAGAGACCTTCTTATAAAGGCTGGGTGACAGGAGCGAACAATGACTGTTAATGAGGTTAGGATTGAGTGGTGCAGTGGAATGAGTTTCCAATCACATCCGGAGACAGAATATGGAAGTGAGCAGAATGATGAAATAGGGCTTTTTATGTCCTCCTGCACTCTAAGCCTATAGCAGCAGAACTATAGAGATAGCTCAGGATAACCTGAGCCACGCTAACTAGAAGCTTTATCAAAAAGGAAAGTTTTAAGCCTAGCCTTAAAAGTAGACAGGGTGTCTGCCTCACGGACTAAAACTGGTAGTTGGTTCCACAGGAGAGGAGCCTGATAACTAAAAGATCTGCCTCCCATTCTACTTTTAGAAATTCTAGGAACCACTAGTAAACGAAGAGCGAAGTGCTCTGTTAGGAACATAAGGAACAATCAGATCTCTGATATCAGATGGAGCTTGGCCATTTAAGGTTTTATATGTGAGAAGGAGGATTTTAAATTCTATTCTGGATTTAACAGGAAGATAATTAATCCAGGAGAGAGATATCTCTCTTTTTATTTTTTTTTTATCAGAATCATGTAATCAGAACACAGGAACACTCAAATAAGTCTCACCAATCGCTCGAAATTATTTAGTACTGAAGACTGGTCTGAAGGCTTATCTGATCCACCACTAATGCTGGGGGATCAGATAAGCAGGTTATGAGAACTGGGCGGAGCTAAGCAGGTGCGGGAAATGAGTAATCAGACCAGCCATCAGTGCCAAGATCATAAAAGTTACATTAATTTTGAAAAAATGCAGATTAGGATAAATAATTTCCTGGCTGAAATTTAAAGGCTAAAACTGTTTGAAAAAGTATAAAGGATGGATGGGGCCAGATATTAGGATAATGACCCACCTGTTCTCAGCTGCATTTACGTAGATTTTGTTCAAAATTTAAAATTTGCCGCGGCAGACCAAACCAGATGAAAGTGCGCATTCAGCTCGGCAAAGAACTCATGCTCTTCCTCAACACTGAAGTCCTCAGGCATTTTTCTTTCGTTGTTTCTTTCTTTGCACAGGTAAACAGCAAATTTCTTCTTCTACGCTTGCATTATCGGCAGAGCAGACGCTGAATGCGCACTTTTGTCTGGTTTGGTCTGCCGCGGTTTCCGTAGACTCGTGAACTCGCAGGTGCGCGCTTTTAGGAAATCCTATACACTACTGTTTATGCTCTAAAAACATTCTAAATGACTTCGTTTCGAGTAAATTATGGACGCTACCCACTCAGGACACTTGGAATACATTGGACGAGCAGTATGGAGGAATATTGACACGTTTTTTGTGGACTTTTATGGACCTTTCTGCCTCGGGCACCATAGACCTCCATTATTTGAATGTCAGCAGACAGCAAGAAGCCTCACAGATCTCCAGATGCATTTGAGATATCAAAAAAGTACTCCAGAGTGTTATTCAGCATGGGGGTGATTAGAAAATGAAGGCTAATCATGTTTTGGGTGTACTATTCCTTTAATTGAGGTAATATTGCATTAATTCGTTTATATACTATACGAAAAAAGAATAACTTTTTTCAATTTACATTGTTTACATATCTAATTAAAATATTACTATCATTATGAATCCTGCCATAATACTGGCTTCAGAGTCAATGGTAACAGTGACCAAGATTGATAATTAATTTGATAGTTCAACAGCAGTAGCTCTCATCGTACTCGTACTCCTCATCTCCCGCTTCATCTGGGATAGGGTTGCAGGGTTACCAGTCTCAGCAGAGACTCCCAGACTTCCCATTTCACAGACACCTCCTCCAGCTCTTTTTGGACAAGCCCAAGGCACTCCCGGACCAGCAGAGAGACATAGTTCCTCCATTCGGTCCTGGGTTGTCCTCTAGGACTCCTCCCCATTGGACGTGGCTGGAACAACTCCCGAGACTAGGGTTCCAGAATGACTGAGTTCCTCACCTCATCTCTAAAGAGTATCCAGAATCTCTTTTTTGGGTCATGATCCAGATTTCATGACCATAGGTGAGAGGAATATTGAGAGGACAGGTAAATCGATCACATGCCTTTTAATCAGCACTCTCTTTACCGCAATAGAACGGTGGGGCAGCCGCACCAATTAGTCTATTAATCTCCTGCTCCATTCTCCTCACAGTATTTAACAGAACCCCAAGATACTTGACCTCCTCCACTGGAGGCAGGAACTCTACTCTAACATGAATGGGACAAGCCACCTTTTCCATTCAAAAACATTGACCTTGGACTTGAAGTAGCTGATTCTCTTACCGGCCACTTCACATGGATGCAAATCGCCCTAATGCCTGCTGTAGGTCTTGGCAAAAGGGAGCCAGACCACATTATCCGCAAAAGCGTAGACAAAATCTTCTGGCCCCAGAACCAGACCCTCTCAATCCCTTGGCTGTGCCTACAAATATTGTCCATAAAGGTTATAAACAAAACCAGTGACACAGGGCAGCCCTGTCGTAGTCCAATATGCACCGAGAACATGCCCGACATAATGCCGGCAATGTGGACCAAACTCCTAATCTGCTTGTATGGAGATTGGATCGCCCCTAGTAAAGGGTACGAACACGAAGGGTAAGAACACAGTCTCTGCCCCCCGTTCTTATGCAGAGGAATCCCCAGCCAGGTCTGCCAATCCAGGGGAACTGTCCCCAAACTCCTCTCAATATTGAAGAGGTATATCATCCACAACAGCTCCACAACATCCAGAGCTCTAGGGTACTCAGGATGGATCTTGTCCACCCCTGAAGCTTTGCCACCATGGGGGTTTTTTAACCACCTTGGTTACTTCAGCCTGGCTGATGAACAAATGCAATCCCAGGCATCCACCATGCCGGCTCATCAGTTTGTGGGATGGCTTCGCATCAGTCCTCGGGCACAGCCGGGTCCTATGAGGAAGAACCTGACCACCAGCCACACACCAACAAACTCAAACCCCAGGCCTGGCTGCAGGGTGTGGTCCCAGCTCTGTAGTATCAGGTGAAATCACACGTTGCAACCATGGGCATTTAAGCCCCTGACAACATACCCTCTGGGATTATCCAGGCACTAAAATCCCTCCACCATGTTAAGGTGGCGAATTAAGGAGGGACTCTATTATTGTATTTCCAACCCCATAATTGCTCAATAATGACAGATGTATATTACAATTTCTTCAAATTTACTTTTGTTACTGTATAGTTAAATATCCATCAAAAAAATGGTGTAAAACCCAAATTTTATTGGTAATACCTGGGGTTTTTTAGCATTTGGGATTTCTAATAGAGGGAACGAATTGATTTCCTCTAAATAGTCTGTCTCTGTGTTTGTCTTCAGAGTGAAGTGTCCCCATGATGACATCTCCTCAGAGTGAAAACGGTAAGAAGATAAATGTGGTGATAAGGAGAAAGATGAGGGAGAAGCTACAGATAAAGCTGAGTGGGCATCATCGAACAACGACAAGACTGAACTCAAACTGCTTATTTAGCATCTGACCTGATAAAATAAAAAGCTTTATCTGAAACTAAAAGACTGTTTTACTGCAGGGTCAGGTCAAACCAGTCATATTTCCGTAAAGGAGAATGACTGGTTCGTAAACCTGCTTCGTGAAACAGACCGCAGATCAGGATTTTTTCTAAAGATTCCATGAATACAGGTATCAGCTTAAGGTGGATGTCAGTATATGTCAGAGAAAATGAGGTACCTGGTGGAGGACTTCACACTCCAATTGCTTTTCTAGTAGAGATAAATCAGGTACAGATTCATTGTTATCAGATGAGCCATAGTGATCCACTTGAACTGTAGCACTAACACAAGAGTGATGTCTGAAGCTACCCATTAAACACTGCAAGACTAGACAAGACCCAAAGTCAATATCAAAGCCATTGTCCATGAGCAACAACAACCTGTTGCTTTGTCTCATAGTGGTAAAGACTAACTGTCTCTGCTGAAAAGTGGCAACTAAACTGGTCCTAATAAGACATAATGGAGAAACTGGGAACATTGTGGGAGCGCTGAAAGGAGAACCAGTGGAAATCACCTTGAAAGATGATGAAAAATCATACAATGTAGCAGAGCCATGGCCAGTTCTCATTCTCCTTCTATCTAACACGAAGTCAAAACGAACACGAAACGTTAATATTTTCCAGAACGTTTGTCGTAAAGACGGAGACGTAAAATAAATGTGATCGTCCACACGAATGCATGAAAACGCTGCAAAATGTATGCCAGGCCTGTAAGTGGCGCTGTGGTGCCAAAGCAAAAATAGGCGACGAAATGTTGGGCATGCGCACTAATATTTATACATGGTTGCCCTGTGGGTCCATTTTCGTGGTTAAGTCAAATTCAGGTGCTGAACTATGTGGTCGATATTGCTCTGTTCTTCCTGGAGATATTCCAGAAGAAGAAGATTCTGTTGTAAGCCCGACAGCAGGGTGAGTAGCATTAGCAGCAACCATTCAACACAGTACGGCGCCATTGTTGTTGTGATTCTGTGTCGCGCATGCGTGTTTAGAGGCGACGCTATGACGCATGCGTGTAAGAAAAAAAATGTGGTTAGAGCTTAAAGATGGAAACGCGAAAACGGCGTTTCAAAATCTTCCCACTCTGAAGGCTTAATAAAAAAAAGATCGTTTACAGACCCCCGAAACGCCGGCTTCGTATGGATGAGAGGCTGGTTTGGTGAAAAATGTGTGCGTTTAGGCCAGGGTTTGGCTTCGTGTGGACGGGGTCTTAATCTTCCTCAACCTTGAAGTCAATTAATCACCAGATCTATCTGAACTATGAAACCAAATGTTAGTTGATGGAAATTCTGAGAAGAATATGAACCCATGTCCTGTTTTAAGGGTCCATGTTAGTCAATAATTATTTAAGCAGTTAAGCAAAAGGAAATTATTAAATTTATAGGAGGATTGTTGTGGACTGACTAAGAGTGAACTGGTGTGAAACGACATGATGGGATGTGTCTTTTTCTCTTAAAATCAGGGGCGTGCATACATAGACACTAGGTGGTGCTAAAGCACTAGGAAGTTTGCCCTTTATCAAAGAAAATGCCCTTTTGAAACTCGTTTTTTTTTTATTATTATTATTAATATTAATAAGATTTTACTGAGGTCGGTTTTGAAATGATCTTTTGAAAACCTGAGCCATTAAAAACGACTGAAACAATGCCCCGAAATGAGCTACCTACTTGCGCACAAACGACCCTCTCTCACTTCCTTTGTCACGTGACCTCGCGCGGTCGTCCGCAGGGCATGCCAGATGCGCAGCATCATAGCAGTTCAGTAGCATCTTCAGATAGCAGGTCGCTGACAGGCTGCTTCTCCCGTGCCCCATTAGCCAGGTAATATACAGATCAAGCAAAATCATTTTGTTGTGCATTAAAATGTCTCATTCAGCAGCACCAAACACGCATTTTTGCCGACTGGTCACCTCATAAACTAGTTGTCTCCTTGTAAGACGCTATTTTACTTTTTATATTTTATATCCATATTTTTATCTTAAGTGTATATATTAGTCTATTTTATTGCATGCTATATACCCACAGTTTTTAGATATTTTTATAATTTTATTTACCTATTCCATATTACCGTATATGTTTCATGTTGCACGATTGTACCACAAAAAATTCCTAGTTTGTGAACTCCTTCACTAACAATGGCTATAAACCTGATTCTGATTCTGAAAGTTTTACACTGTAGCCCAAGTCAATGACAGATAACGTGAGGACGACCACATAGGCTACAAATAATTTAGGTAGAGTTTGCAATTGCAAATACGGAAGAGGATTAGGGCCACTGGAAAAAAAAAAATTAACTGATTTTTAAATTTTATTTCAGTTTAGTATGGGAAAAAAGTCAGAATTCTGACTTTAATCTCAGAATTCTATTGTATAGGTTTTGTTAGGCAGACTAAATTAACACATTTTGGTCTCTTTATTGTCTTAATTGTATATTGATTTAGTAATTGCAGTACAATGCCAAGAAAGGAGGGTTAATCGTTTTGAAAAATCTTAAAAGCTGTTCACATTTTATTTTTAAGTGGTTTGTGAAGCAGGTATTAAAATAGCTATTATTTTGTAGGCTACCATAAGTCATATCCACGTGACAAGCCTTCCAGTCATGTTGCCCTAATAGCCCATTATTTAAACTAATGTGGCATATTTGTTAAAGCTATTATTATTATTATTATTATTATTATTATTGTCATGATGGTTATTATTATTATATTGTAGCCAGTCACAGCAGGGAAGCTCTATACCATCAACATCCACCAGGACAGGAGATGAGGAAGAGTTCAGGGAAGACACAGAGACAGAAAAAGACCAGGATGAGGGAGAACAGCAGGATGAGGGAAAACGGGGAGATGAGCCAGATGACAGAAAAAGAAAGATAAGCTTTAGTCTGTTCTGTTGGTGGTGTGACTTTTTTTCATTGAAAACTCACGTTTAGAGAATGTTACAAATAAAAGTCAAATTTCATTCAACATGCGTGTATTTTTTTTATAATTAAGTGTTCCACGTGCGCTAAAAAGTGCCCCCCCCCCCCCCCCCCCCCTGAGCACCTGCCCCCCAAAATGTCTGTGCACGCCTCTGCTTAAAATGAACTTTTATCTGTAGTGCAGAGTAAATCTACTCAGAGCTGCAGATTCATAGAGTTGATGTCAGATTCAGATGTTTATTATTTGCTGTGAGTCTGTCTCCAGGTTCTGATCTGGTTCTCCTCTAAATGCTCCTCAGCTGAAGCTGCTGCCTCCCAACATGAAAACCCAACCAGAACCTCCAAGCTGCCATCAGAGAGAGTCGTCATGCTGGTTCTGGGCTCTCTGCTGGCTGCTGCTCTCGTCATCATCTACAGACTCTGTGAGTTCATCCTGCTGATGTTTGACCTTTACTGGATTTTAGATTATGAGATTTCACCATAAAATTTATTAATGTATGTAGATATTATTAAATGAACATCATCACATTTATTAAAAAATTACTGACAGATTTGGATTATTTGTTCCAATCAGTTTTTGATAAGATCCAAACCAATCAGATGATCCAAACCCTGAAAGAGGAGAATGAAGCTTTGAGGAGAAACTTCTCAGGTGAGACTGTCAGGCTTTGAAGCCGTCTATCAGGTTCGGCCTGAAGGTCCCATTCAGAACCTTTGAGAGATTTGGGTCTTTTTTATGGAGCAAACTTTGGGCCTTTTTTAAACTTCAACTTCAACTTTATGATGCTGATTTATTGTTTTTTTTGTTTTAATCTATATGAAGGTTTTGGTTTTGTTTTGGTCAATTGTTCAGTAAAAAAAAAAAAAAAAAAAAAAAAAAAAAGAAAAGCAGAAGTCATATAAAATTACAAAACTTTTCATCAACTTTTTCATAGAAATGGAACCTGGAACTAAAATATCTGCACCTACACTACATGTCCTCAAACATCTACATGTCCTTCACCGCCGAAAGATGAAAATAAGTCCAGGATTCTATCTTCTGTCCTCTAATGATGTTAAAGAGACATTGATGGACTGACAGATGCAGGAAGTTAGATTGTAGCTGCAGGACAGAAGACGCCTCCTGCTGCCTCCAAATCTCTCAAACTTCTACAGAGATTTCTTCCTCCTGACTCAGTGAGATCTTTGTTCTGATCTGTTTATAGAGGAAATGCGTCTGAATAACAGACCAGAATGGGAGAGATATCAAGGAAAGTGTTATAAGTTCAACACCAGGAAGTCCTCCTGGACTGAGAGCAGAGATTCCTGCAGACGTCTGGGAGGAGACCTGGTGAAGATAGACAACAGAGATGAGCAGGTATGAAACACTGCTGCAGGTTCGTGTTCTATCAGATTTTATCATCATCATGTTTCTTCATCTAAGCCCAGAAAAGTCTCTCAGAGTCATTGTCATCATCATCTTCTGTTCAGGTATTCCTGGAGATCAGACTGAGAGACTGGATGGAGGAAAGTGAGGACAAGTTCTGGATCGGACTGACAGACTCAAAGAAAGAAGGCAGATGGTTGTGGGCGGATGGATCACCTCTGAATGAAAGGTTTGATTGTAGTGAAAACATGTTGGTTTATTTCCAGTATTAAAGTCAGTTTTTATTTCTCCTGTTTCTGTTCTTCGTCTCTTAGTTTGACGTTTTGGAGTAAAGGTCAACCTAATGACGGGAACAAAAGGAATCCAGCTGGAGAAGATTGTGTGAGGATGTGGCTGAGAGGAGGAGCTGGTGATTTGAAGCGTTGGTTTGATATGTCCTGTGGTGCTCATTACAAAAGTATCTGTGAGAAATCAATAGTTCCTGGTCTAAGACCATCTGTCTGTAAATAAAGTTCAGTTCAGACTATAAAACAGTCTTAGAACAGGATCAAGAAGCTGCAGAGATACTAGTTTCATAAACATAATGTCACAAACATTGAAAGATCCACTCCAGACGTGTTAAAGACCAAAATTCTTCACTTTTCGTATTATTTCTGTCAGCTTTAGTTGTTTCTGATCTTTGGATCTTCACTGGAACAGCAGGAGAACATCAAGAGAGTTTTACAGAAGATTTATTCCTGCTTCAGATCTACAAGAGAACAGTCACAGGAGTAACAGAAAGTCAAAGTCCCAACAGGAAGTAGTTCCTGTTCATTCATCCATTCATCTATAACATAAAGTCACATTATAAAATATGTAGGTGATGATGTCATATGGATCATACTAACTGCAGCATGACATGTATGTACTTCTGCAGCATTTGCAACATGGCCTCTGAGAGCTCAGGTTTTCATCTCCATGTAGAAAAATAAAGATCAGATCCACCATCAGAGCTCTAGCATTCATGTTCTCAGCTTAAAGCACAGCAGCTGTTGATATAACTGTCAGGATTATAAATAAAGTTTTATTAAATGTAAGAAACTCTGAAACTATTGAACTGAATGAGAGAAATATGGAAACGTGTTTCTGTCTGGTTTTATATGCAGACCAGGCGGCTGGAAGGTGGAACTAATTTAAGATGTTTGTTGATATTAAAGTTGATGCTGATCAGAAATAAACTATTCCAGTTAAATTTTTTAATTTTGTCTGACCTTAAAGGTCACACTCATGTTTATCAGAAAGACTATAGATGAAAAACAGAAGTCCAGACATTATTTTATTTTAAATACATACATATAAACTGCCTAAAACCTGCTTGCTTCTTTAAACCAGGACTGAAAACGTAAATTTTTACTGCATCATAAGACAGAAGTTAGAGGTACTATCAGCTCTTAGTTTGTGAAATGTCTCTTATTAGTTTTCAGTAGGTTTTCTATTCAACATTTTGAATTATTTTCTGTGTGAATTGAGCTTTACTAATTCATCTCCTTCACTTAAAATCCAGATTGTTTTTATTCATTTTTATTCCTTTGAATTAATTGTATTTCCTTTATGCCACTCTAATATACTTTTCTTTGTTGTCATGTAAAGCTCTTTGAATTGTCTTGCCTCTAAAATGAACTATATAAATAAAATTTCCTTAAATATTCTGTTTTTTTATTTATTTATTTTTAATAGCATAAAGAAGGATAAATACATATCTTACTGAACCACAAGGGGGCAGCACATCTCCAATAATTTGACTGTGAGAAAAATATTTCACATAAAATATGAACGAGCAATAGCCTTTTTATAACACTAGAATCTAAGAATATTTTTCTTCAAAATAAAGAGAATTGTTTAAAAGCAGGCAGCAGATGAAGCTTCCTCTACTTCCTCTTTGGTGATAAACTCAGTAGGAAGCTTTTTTTTTAACACAAGGCAGTGAAACATGATGGTGAAGAACAAGATCTCTAAGAAAGTTCATCAGGAAATATATTAAATCTCATCAAGAGAAGAATTAAAGTCAGATTTTAACATTTTCTCAGCAGTTTTTTCTGAAGAACAAGCTGAACTGGAAAATGAAAACCTTCAAAGAAATGTTCTGGACTCAGTGGTGAGAAACTTTAATCAGTAGAAGGTCTGAGCTTCTACTGATTGGAGTTTGGAGGCAAACTGGAACCAGACAGCTGGACTGAGGAGAACCCAGCAGGTGAGGATGGAGATGGAGGGAGGAGGAGCACCGATGAAGAACTGGGAGGAGGAGGACTGCAGCTCTGCTCAGGAGAGAATCTGTGATCAGGCTTTTCAACCGATGCTGTTTTGAGGCCGTTCTGCTTCCTGAAGGTGTTTCTGAGCAGGTTGTAATGTTACTGTGAAATGGAGCATTGATCATGTTTATCCCTTTCTGCCTGGTAGAGCAGAAAGTCTGCATGAGGCTGAAACAAACATGCTGGTCATCACTGGAAGGTTCAGTTAAGTAGAAAAGATCATTTCAGTTTTGTCTGCATTCAAAAACAGACACTTTTGAGTCATTCAAGTTTTGATATCTTCAAGATATGCCTGTAGTCTTTGTGAATAACTAAGAGTATTTTCACGTATTTTGCAATATTATTAATATCTGTTTTTCTATGTATTTCTTGTTAATTTTAGTCTTTCTCATGATGCTGCTTTTTCTACCTACAATTTCACCTGGGGCCATTTCAAAAAAAAAAAAAACTACGAAGAGAGCTGTTTACCATCAGTAATAAGAAGCATTCTGCCCTGACACAGCTGATGTGTAGAAGACTGAGGAGAGCGAACCCCAGAAAGGCCCCAGGCCCCGATAACATACATACCTGGGCGGATGTTTAAGGAGTGTGCAGATCAGCTGGCTGGTGTCCTCATGGACATTTTTAACACCTTGCTGGACCAATCCATAGTGCCAGCATGCTTTATGTCTGCCTCCATCATTCCGGTCCCAAAGAAGCCTCATGTCACCACATTTGATGAATACGGGCCTGTCGCACTGACACCAATCATGATGAAGTGCTTTGAAAGGCGGGTTAAAGAACACATCGTCTCCAGTCTGCCGCCAACATTTGACCCGTTCCAGTTCGCCTACCGATGGAGGCGCTCCACTGAGGACGCCATCTCTGCTGCTCTCCACCTGAGCCTTGCACACCTGGAGGAGAAGAACGCCCAGGTGCGGATGCTGTTCCTGGACTTCAGCACCATCATCCCACAGCATCTGATGGGCAAACTGGAACAGCTGGGCTTCAATTCATCCCTCTGCTATTGGCTGCTAGACTTCCTCACCAACAGAACACCTCTGATGTCATCATCCTAAGCACAGGCTCGCCTCAGGGCTGCGTCCTGAGCCCCCTGCTGTTCACCCTGATGACACATGAATGCATCCCCAGGTTCACCACCAATCATACGTGAAGTTTGCAGACGACACCTCGTGGTGGGCCTCATCAGAGACGACAACGACCTGGACTACAGCTGGTGGACTGGTGCAAAGATTCTGCAGCAGCTTTTTCCCCGCCGCCATCAGACTGTTATTGAACCCTAAACTGTACTCTGCATCACATTATTTTGCACTTCCAACGTAATGCACTACAACTCAGTCTTCAACTGCGTTTTGCACCATATTATTTTGCACTACACTGAACTTTTTCATATTAATGTAGGGGGACCATATTTTCATTTGGGAAAACCAGGACACCTTGGAGCGGGGGGGGGGGCGGGGGGGGGGGGGGGGGGGGGGGGGTTTGGGGGTGATATTGAAAGAACAAATGTCTCATCACCGGGATTTGCTCCGTGATCAGAGGAAATGTTACTTGGCGCAGAACAGTTGTGAAAATTTGAAGTTCAGTTTATTATAATAATACAACTCTGTGAATAGTTCCGTCTGAAATGAATGAAAATAGTTTTTTAATGGTTATAGAGTCAGATATGTGGCGGTAATGTTTGGTTTATCTAAAGGTTTTTATCTGCTACTGTGTAAATGAGTTTGGCTGTAATTTAAGGACAGATTCTAATATATCTGCAGAGTGGGGACTATAAATCTGATAGGATTTTAATTTTTTTATTGCTGTTTTGCTCAATATGCTTAACTAAGTATTTTTTGTTGTTGAATATTAGAGATTTTGCAGATATATTTTGTAGATACATTGTTTAGATTTACTTATATATTTCTACCCCTTTTATAAAATAGAATAAAAAAATCCCTTTATTTTCCCACAATGGGCAAATTTACAGCAGCAGCAAGATTACTGAAAATGGTCACACAAATGAGGACCTTAGAAAAATGTATAAGAATAACATAATAGGGAAGAGTTAAAATATAAAAAATACAATTCTGTAAAGTGTTTTAACAATATAAAACTGGAGAATTAATAACCAATATGCAGCTATGGACATTTTTACAGTAATGGATATTTGAAAATAGCAGCAACATCAGAGATGTGCAGAATGACAGCAGCAGGTTATTTAACTGACTAAGGTTTCTATCATTACATTTGATTTGATTTGTTCCTGCTCCCGGTGGCTGGAACATTTATTCCACTCTGGATTCTTGTGAGTGTAGTCTTTGTTCACTTTAACTTTTTAATAAATAAATAAATAAATAAACAAAGAGTTTTGAAAACCTCGGTATTCATTATTTTCCTGCTTTGTGTGTCAACTTTCACGGTTGCTAAGCAACAGAGCATACGGCAGTAAAACCCGCCGAAGGGAGGACCTGTTCGAATTTACAGACAGAACTCTTCCGGCCTCCTTATTTTCACGGACTTCGAAGGATCCAGTCTAGGTAGACCGCGTCCTTGGAGGATGCAGCCCAGGTTTTTGAACAGAGCCTCTGATTAAGAACAGGGCTGCCCGCACTGACGCGGCTTAGGGATTACGTCACACGGAGCGTCGTGCGCAGTGAAATCAGGACATTTCCTCACTTTCTAAAAAAACCCGGGACGCCCGGGACAGGACGTGAAATACGGATATGTCCCGGGAAATACGGACGTTTGGTCACCCTAATTAATGCCTTTTTGTTATCTCTATTTTACACATTCTTCCTCCATTGTTATGTTCTATCACTGCTGCACTTTATATTTTAATGTTATCTTTTTCCAAATTCAATCTCGTTACTCTGTTATAAGCTGTATGCAAAACAGAAATGTTGCACTCTGTGCATACAAAATAATAAGGTTTGTCTACGTCTAAGATATGGTGATGCAGATCTATATGCATCAAAGGGATGTGCTCTAGGCTGCACTTTTAAAAAAAGATTAAACAAAATTTATTTTTGTTTTACACTTGTGTAAACAAAATGACAAATAAATCTGTCTACATCTATCTATATATATATCTATATCTAAGGTTGGACCTGAAGGTTACTGCTCTGACTCCTTCCTGCTCCTGTTCACCACCTCCCTGATAAAAGCCAATCGATTCAATGGGAAATTGATTCGAGCTAAACCAGGATGAAGACTGGTCAGGCTGTTTAGCATTGGTGCCAACTTAAGGGAGCAAAGGGGCTTAGAAGCTACTCAGAGGTTTCCACCTCCGCCTGGAAACGGGCAGGTAAACAGTGTGGAACTAGACCAGGTGAATATGAGTTCAACACTGACTGGCCAAGAGGAGTTAAACTTGCTGTGAACTTTAATGCTACAAAATTCAGGAAGTGAGTTTGTATTTCTACACTACAGAACTCCCTAAGCTATTATATCATTATTAGAAACCACATAGTGTCATGACCTTATCTAGAGCCCACATGCAGAAGACCAAACAGAGAGACCAGGGAAAAGTTTAACAGGTCTTTATTTAGAGTGAACGAGATGAGTCAAGTGCTGCTCTGAATACTGTTGAACCGGAACTGGAAGGTGAAGATATTGCGGTTAGTTCAGGCTCAGTGGGAAATTAGTGTCTCTGACTTGAAGAAGAGGAATTAGGTTGCTGACTCACGTTTCCAGAAAAAGGTGTCTCTTATTGAATCCAGTCAGTGTGGGTTGTTCCAGTGAATGACTTGTTCTTTGGAGGGTGGACAGGCTTTACCTAGATGGAGGTTATTCCTTGTCGAACGGAGAAGCTGACTGCCGCTTAGTTTTCCTGCGGGACTTGAACGGGTTATAGTGGAGATGAATCCCCTGCTCAGTGAGAAGCCCAAAACAATTCTTGAGGGGAAAAGTTGATCCAAACCACAAACTTGAATCCTCAGCTCAGTTTGGTACTGAGAGAATCCTTCCAGGGGGGAGAAGGTCCAAAACATCCAGTTTGCAGGATGACTTCCCAAAACTGGCAAACACTCTGGCGTCGAGGTAGTGGCAGTCAGCAGCTTAAGGGTCCTCCGGTAATGAGGCAACCATCCGCAGGTGTGTGAGGAGGCCAACCAGAACCAGGCGCCGCCTAGTGGAGGAGGAAAGACAAACAAAAACACAACCCACACAAACTGGATTCCTAACACATAGTATATCTTTTTATGCCACCAGATCAAATCTGGTTTAAACCTACTGTTCCTATTGGTGCAGAATTATTTCATGTTGAAGTTAGCATCGTAACCAGAAGTTAAACATCTTAGAAAGAAAAGATGTATAAAACAGGGGGAGGTGTTGGCCTAGTGGTTAGAGCAGTGCGCTTGTGCTCTGGGAAGGTTGCAAGTACCAGGTTCATTCCCCAAAGCCTGAACTCTGGCTCTCTGAGCAAGACCGTTAACCCCACAGTGCTCCCTGGGCGCTGCACAGTGGCAGCCCACTGCTCCCCAAGGTGATGCGTTAAAATGCAGAGTTCATTTCTCCATTGTGAGAACAATAAAATTCAATTTCTATCTTTTTTCTATTTCTAGTTATTTATTCTATTTATGCTAGTTATTCCATATGTTCTGTGGATGGATTATTTTAGAAGAATTATTGATTTGATGAAAAAAAAGTTGTAGTTATGAACCCTGTTCTTTATCAACAATCTAAGATTTGCTTTATCCTTTATAAAAACTTAAAAGATGTGTTTTATTAAGTCAGTTTTGGTCCCCTTGGACTCCTGATAGTGGCTCTAACCTCCTCATCAAACTAGTTGCCATAGACTAAGCCAGTGGGTTTTTTTGTTTTTTTACCACTACTATTTGTCGTAAATGCTCTAAACAGTTCTTTTTATTCTCTCCCTGTCAGGATCTGAGATGTTTGGGTTATTTTGTGGTTGTTGTCTTTTGTTTCCTTGTTTCTATTTTTGATTAGATTGGTCTTTTCATAGTTATTCTAGTTTAAGTATTCATTGTCTGTAATTTGTTCTTTGTAAATGTTAAATTTATTTTCCCATTTCCCCTGTTTGCTCTCCATCACCCTTTGCTGCCATTCTCTCTCTCTCTCTCTCTCTCTCTCTCTCTCTCTCTCTCTCCTCTCACACTAACATACTACCAACCAATCAGCACCGATTTTCACATTTCCATTATTAAACTCCTCTCTTGCTCTCACTCTTCACTTCTTCTTCTTATCAACCTGGTTAAGTTTTCCTGCTTCTGTGGATTCCTGTTTCTGTGCATTGCTGAATCCCTGGGATTTTTGAATGTTCTCTACTTGCTTCCATTTATAATCCATCTATCTTGGTAAATGGCCTGTACTTATATAGCGCTTTTTCAAGGCAGGAGACTTGACCAAAGCGCTTTACACTACATTCAGTCTTTCACCTGTTCACACACACACTGATGGTGGTAAGCTACATTGCGCTGCCCTGGGACTTGCCGACATCCTGGCTGCTGTACACTGGTGCCACCGGGCTCTCTGACCAACATCAGAAGACAATGCAGGTAAAGAGCCTTGCCAAAGGACACAACAACACTGAAAGCCAGTATTAGGTTTATTCAATGACGATTATAAAATTAATGTGTGTGTGCTTATGAAACATTGGAGCAAGGAGATGCTTCACTCTGCCTTGTGATTCAATCAGTGTAGCATCCTGTCTTATGACCTGATCAATTGTCCTTTCAGAACAATACTCTGTTTTGTAACCATGTGTTATGTTCTGTTAATAAACAAGGCACTGCAAGGAGGGGGTTCGGAGTAGTGTTGCGCCGATGCCATTTTTTGGCCCCGATACCGATGCCCGATTCCTGGCTGTGCAGTATCGGCTGATACCGATACCATAATAATAACAATAGTTGAATAAACTTTTGACTCTCAAAATGGTATCGGTGCACTATTTGGTGGTACTCGCCGATACCGATACCACCATTTTAGGGCAGTATCGGGGCCCCGTCCGATACTGGTATCGGTATCGGTGCAACACTAGTTCGGAGAGAGAGTTGGAGTGTTGGGTGCGGCTCTTCCCCCTTCTGCAGAAGCTGTTGAATCCCTTTCTGTGTGAACTCAGTCCTTCTTTTACGAACCTACATTTTTTAACCCAACAGCCAGATATTTGATTTCAGGGTAAACTCCTACGCCTGATGCCACTGTCGCCCTGCATCAGGGTCCAGTGGGGTCAGTGCATATCTCCAGCAGTCTATGGGCGAAAGGAGGGTTATACCTTGGACAGGTTGCCAGTCCATCATTGTGTTTTTATTAAATATCCAAAACGTACTGCATTAGTCTCTCTGCATTTGGGTCCGACCCGATACTACCTTTTGACACTCGCTGATTACTTCTTCCCTGACTGAATGTCTCTTCCTCTCCAAGCTATTCAGGTCAGACCTTTAAACGGTTCTATGGCTCAGAAACAAAAGGAGAAGGGCAGAGTCTGTCTGCTTTTTCCTAATCGTTCCTAATCAGTCTATGGGGGATTCAGAAAGGCAGATCTCCAGTTGAGATGCACAGAATCACTGGTCCCTCCAATCTGCATCCAGTAAGCAGACCAGCACCAAGGTCAGTCCACCAGGAACCATCAAGCCTGGATGAGCCACTGATTACCCCAGGAGTAACTTTGGTAGGTCAGCTTCTCCTGGGAGGGTTCACCGCTGCTGCAGGTTTGATCCAGTTCTAAGGTTCTCCTGTGGTTCTTTAAAGTCCCAAATTCCAAGACATGGGTTTGAAGCCATTTACTGGCTGATACACATCAGTTAAATTTTTTCTGCTGTTTTAGAAAAATTTTTACAGTGTTTTGCATGAAAGGGTCTTTCAGTTGTCTGAGAGGTTCTATTTAAATATTTTATGTCTGCAGATCAGATAGGAATCAGGCCTTGGTTTGGCCTGTAAAGCTTAGCTCATCAGAAACGCTGTTTAACTGCAGTTAATTCCTGTTTCAGCAGGGTTGGGTAATATTTGTTAACTGTTTTTTTTTCTAAATTTCTGAAATCATTTAGAAAATGCTTCCTATTTCTATCAGGTCATTTTCATCCAATAATAAAACTTGTATGAACTAAAATATCAGCTGTAACCAAAAAGCAGAGAACAGATATTCCTTAGAGCTTCTCCAGGCTTGAAAATTTAAGTAAAAAAAAAATTGTACTTCTGCTTTTAGGTTATTTTAGGATGCCCTGCCTCCTCTGTGTGTCTTGACTGTTTTAAGGAAGCTTAAGAACCTGAGAGGAAACTGAGCTGTAGTTCTCCTTCAGACCCTCAGCAAAAACATGCCTGAAGCTGATCTAACCTACGCTGATGTGAATTTCACACGACCAACATCTAGAGGTGAGCATCAACCTGCCTTAAATACCTTCCATCTATAAAGTTTGATTCTACCCAGACTATGCACACGTCTTCTTCGGATCTTTGTCTATCTGCAGATGTTGTTGCATCAGATGACGTCACTTACTCTGAGGTGAAGATCTCAAACAAACAGCAACCAGGTCAGTAAAACATTTTCATTTAAATTTCCAGAAAGAGGAAATATGTGCCTGAAGTCAGTGCAACTGCAGGCAGATTAATTATTATTATTATTATTATTATTATTATCTGCTTTTGCCGTCTTTTACAGCTGCTTTTTGTATCTCTGCGTCTGTCTCCTTGAACCTCAGTCGGCCTCAGCAGATGGCCGCTTTCTTCCTGTTAAAAGGGAGTTTTTCCTCTCCACTGTCGCTACAAACATGCTTAGTGTTTGTATCAATTTGACTGTACGATCTGGTGAACTGTAAAGTGCCTTGAGATGACATTTCTTGTGAATTGCCGCTATATAAATAAACTGAATTGAAATTGAATTGCAGTTTTCAATAGGATGCATGTTCATTACATTTTTCCTGCATTGAAAGAAAGCAGAACATCCATCCCTCCATCTTTTCCCGCTTATTCCGTCAGGGTAACGGTGGGATTGGTGCCTAAATCTGACAGTATAAGGGCGAGAGGCAGGGTCCACCCTGGGGAGCTCACCAGTCTGTCGCAGGGCAACACAGACACACCACCATGCACACTCACACCTAAGGACAATTTAGAGAAGCCATTTACCCTAACAGTTATGTTTTTGTTTTTGGACTGGGAGTACCCAGAGAGAACCCAAGCATGCACAGGGAGAACATGCAACCTCGATGTAGAAAGACCCTGAGCTGGGAATCAAACACGGAACCTTCTTGCTGCAGAGCAACAGTGTTACAGATGGTGAAACAGTGCAGCCCTAATCAGAACATTGATCTAAAATGTTTAAATTTTTGTCTTTAGATAAAACTTTGGTGTCAGATTTTCAGATATTAAAACGTTGTAGTTAAAATAAGTTTTATTGGAGAATTTTTGAGTCCATTAAGATTTTAATCATAATTTCATCTCTTCTTGTTTTATATCGATATGGAAAATAAAGTCATAATAAACTGCATTAGTATATTTCAGAATAGAGATAGGATCTACATTTCTCAGAAACTGGGCAGACAGTGTTAACTGGAATGAGGAAGTTACAACAGAGAATATTTTGAATGATTTTTAAATTATAGATAAATCCTAAAGATTTAGGATTTTTAAAGAAAATCTAATGTTGAAATCTAACGATTCCTAAAAGGATAACTTCCTGTTCTGTGTGTTGAGTTCTGCTTATCAGTCCGATGATTACTTTGCCAACCAACCTCTCTTCCAACCTCTCTGTGTATAGGATTTCCTGAAAGCGCGCACCTGCGCGTTCACGACGCTACGGAAGCCGGCAGACCAAACCAGATGAAAGTGCGCATTCAGCGTCTGCTCTGCCAATAATACAAGCGTAGAAGAAGAAATGTGCTGTTTACCTGTGCAAAGAAAGAAACAACGAAAGAAAAATGTTTGAGGACTTCAGTGTTGAGGAAGAGCATGAGTTCTTTACCGAGCTGAATGCGCACTTTCGTCTGGTTTGGTCTGCCGCGGTTTCCGTAGCGTCGTGAACTTGCAGGCGCGCGCTTACAGGAAATCCTATACACTACTGTTTATGCTCTAAAAACATTCTAAATGACTTTGTTTCGAGTAAATTCTGGATGCTACCCACTCAGGACACTTGGAATACATTGGACGAGCAGTATGGAGGAATATTGACACGTTTTTTGTGGACTTTTATGGACCTTTCTGCCTCGGGCGCCATAGACCTCCAATATTTGAATGTCAGCAGACAGCAAGAAGCCTCCCAGATCTCCAGATGCATTTGAGATATCAAAAAAGTACTCCAGAGTGTTGTTCATCAAAGGGGTGAGTAGAAAATGAAGGCTAATCATGTTTTGGGTGTACTATTCCTTTAACTTCAACAGTCAAAGGCAGAACAAGGTGAACAAGTCTCTCTAAATATAAGTGTGTTTGCAGAGCTGCCAGGGGGAACCCTCCTTTGCAGCCCTCCCGCAAGTATTTAGAAGACAAATTTATTCATCTACTCTTTAAATCTGACCAGCTTCAACTTCCACATCATTACGCTACCACTACCATGCCTTATTGTGTGGAAGTGGGGTTTAAGGTTGTTTTACAGTAACACTTTTTCTAAAGGGTCTGATCTAGAAATAAACCAAGGAAGGAGTGCTAAATAGCAATGTCCCAAAAAAAGTGCATATTTGTATTGCGAGTGATCTACAAAGGCTGCACTCACAAAACATAAGATGTGAAGAACAATTTGGTTCCACCCTATTAAAATAGGAAGCTAGCATGTGCTACTGGCAGTTTGAGAGAAGCCTTAAAAAAGATAGAGTTCTAAGCCATGAAGTTTTAGGTAACAGTGATAAATGTTTTCTATAACTGTCAGGATTAGGGTGAGGTTTGTGGACCCAAATGCAGAGGCACGGAGGCAGAGGTGAGTTTTTGTAGATTTAATGTGAGGTAAAGAAACAACTTAGGCAGGAATCCAAAAAAATCCAACAAGAAAAAAGTGAAACAAACCAGAAACCATGGGGACATCAGGGGAAAACAATCAAGACGAGGTAAGACACTGTAAGACGGTGTAGGTCGGAGTTAGACGAGGAACCAGCACTGAGGAACTGCATAAGGAGTGTATTTATGGGACACTGAACAAAGAGAGGGCTAGCGAGCATATTGGGAGCAGGTGGGAACAAAGCAGACAGAAAAGGAGCTATAGGGAAAAAGGAGAACACAAGAGGGCAGCAGAGGGCAACAAATAAAAACCTGAAAACTGAAAAATAACCAGAGAACACAACAAAATAGGAATTAAACCACTAAAACTAGAAAATATGGAGCGAAGTAAAACTGAATACTCAAAAGCAAAAATTTAACAGAACTAAGGCTGTGACAATAACGAATAGTGATGATACGAAATATAATTTATTGTGCTAGCATAGCAGCCTTTCTCGGAGTGCTACAAAATTGCGATAGTTGAAGAAATATATAATATGTGTATAATATATATATTATATATATGTATAATATATAATATCATAAAATATGGAATAATTATCTTTGTTTATTGATCCTCTCCACCACCTCTCCCAAAAAGAACACGTTCCAATGCCAGATCTTCAGTAGATTCCCCAATAAACAGCAAATTAGAGATGCACACTTTCATCTTAGTATGGGATACCTGTTGCCATGGCGCTCCACATGAGCCCCAGGTGGTAGTGCAGGAAGTTGAAGAGGTTTTATCTCACTTAGTTGCAGTGGGAGAATTAGGGTTGCAAACTGTCATGTAAAATACAGAATTGCCCTTTATTTGGGAGTTAAATGTTGCTGCTGTATTGAATCTATGAGACATGAATTGTTGGTATTTTAAGACATTTCTGATACTGTCTGTCACATCAACATAAACAATAAAGTATAAAATAATTAACAAAACAAAATGCCTACCGAGGCCAGCAAAACTGTAGTGGCAGGACCTCATGGGGCACCATGTGTGCTGCTGTTATTGTTGCCTAGAGACGGACATCGCACTCAGTGCTACAACACAATCTGAAATAAGTGCTCTAAAAATACAGACATGATGTCAGCACTAAGAAAAGATGTATCGGGGGAAGCAGTTAAAGAAAGATTCTTAAAAAAAAACCCTTGACTGAATTTTTTTTATCGGCATGTTTATGATAAAACAACACTGACAAACAGAACACACTGTGTTACATTACATGAGCAAAACAGTTTGCTCATGTAATAAATGGGGCAGAACAGAAACGGCTCTCATGTCTTTACTTATGTCGGAAATCTTTGTAAATCACAGTCAACAAACCCATTTATTGCTCTTGCAGATTTTTCTTTGCTCAGTTCAACTCAGTGCTACTAACTTGAATTATTTTAAGCTCAGGATTTAAGTGTTTATAAACTTAAGAACCGTTGAAAAAATATTTTATTTTAATAATGGAAATTAATGAGAATTCACAGGACCGATACAGGGGGAAAAACATGACGTTGGATCATAAGATAGAGAATACAGCTACATTAGAAAAACATCCCATCAAAAAAAAAATAAACTGGGGAACTGATGCTGGTGAAGATTCTCAGTCATCCAGGTCATAGTCATTCCTAAAAAAAAAATTAAAAACAATCCACTGGACTTGGTTTTCAAGTTTGAGGTGAATTGTTTTTATTTTTTTAGAATGACAACTGATGAACATAGAGACTGCATGACCAAAGGTAGGGGAGAAACTCAGGAGGTGATGTGAGCAGACTGGCAGCAGGAGTGCAGGAAGAATGAGTTTTCTAACCAAGTGAAAAAGATAAACAGTGAACATTAACACTAAGGCTACGTTCACACTGCAGCCTGAAGTGACCCAATTCCGATTTTTTTTGCCCATATATGACCTGTATCTGATCTTTTTATGACAGTCTGAACGACACAGATCGGATTTTTTCAAATGCGACCCAGGCCACTTGGATATGTGGTCCTGAATCCGATACGTATCTGATCTTTTCAAATGCGACCTGTGTCTGTACGGCCAGGTCGCATTCATCCGACCTACACGTCATTGATACTTGACAAATGTTACTAAACGTTACTAATCTGCGTCCTACTAAGCTGAGGCGGGAAAAACTAACAACCATGGCGGAAGATAACACAGAGAGCAGTCAATGGAGAGAAAGTGAGGTTGCTGACTTAATTCATATTTGGAAAGATAGCTCGATTCAGACCAAACTCGAAGGGTCTTACCGGAACCGGGGGAGGGTCTTTCTTTTTGATCTTCTTAAAAAGATTTCGTTCGTAATGTGACTACTCCTGTTGGAGAAGAACTTAAAGAACGCAATATACGCTGCGGTATTACGAGTCATGTTTACTTCCGCAAACACTGAGGACGCTTGCTACATGTGACGTCATCGCGTCATCGAGTGCGCATGCGGGACACTTCGGTTGAACGCTTTCAGTTCACATAGTAGATCACATACAAGTCGCATATACTTGGAAGTGTGAACGGACACGCAAAAAAATCCGATTTCACAAAAACTCGGAATTGAGCATTAAGGCCTGCAGTGTGAACGTAGCCGGTTTCTCTCTCCATTCCAGCCTGTGCAAATTGTTCAGCAAATATCCAACAATCTGGGACCATCAGGAGGTCAAAGGTCGACTCGGTGCGGGTGGTTCTGCTGGTTCTCGTTTCTCTGTTGGTTGCTGGTCTCATCGCTTTTGGACTCACCTGTGAGTTTTAACATTTAAGCATTTTATTTTACTGGCTTATCAAACTTTAAATGTTTTCTCTGTAATTATTATTTTTCTGGTTAATTTCTAACTGGTTTTCCCGACCTGGTACCACTGAGGCACTGATGTTCTCCAGCCTCTCTCAATGTCTTGGTTCATCTGAAGCTCCTGTTTCTTTCTTTTATTTCATTTTTCACTCTGGATCAGTCATCTGGTCTCTAAAACCCGCTTTCTTATTTTTTTCACCCACAGAAATGTTTCCTACTCTAACTGAGGGACTTCTGCCTCATGCTCTCCATAGATGCTCATGTTCACTCAGTGTCGCAGCTTTTTTCTTTTTGGAGTAGTTAATAGTGGTTAGCAAGTATTTTTCTTTTGTCCTTCCATATTCAGTCACTTCCTGTTTCTGTGGGAGACAGGAAGTGACTTAATTTTAATGTCAGCTACATGAACTTGTGTAACTTTTCAAGAGAAGATGACTTTTGAAGTTTTGAAATGTTTAAAGCAGATTTCCTTTTCTTTTTAACTGAATTAATTTCTCATGACGTAGTTTAAATTATACTTAAATACTCTTCTGGGTACTCTACCCACCCTGACAGGTCTGCATGAGTTCATCTTTTCCATGATGGTTTGTTCTGTTCGTCATTATCTATATCTCATATCTTCTTTCCATTGTTTCTTCCGTTCATTGAGGCTTGCAGCCATGCGTTTCTGTACAGCTCTCTGAAGGTTCCTGAGGTTCCAGAACAGCATTTTAGTCAGTTTTACTGTAGGTCTGAACTTTAAATAGGCCAGAAATACTCCTTAACATTTTCTCTTTTCAGCAACTTTGTTGTATTTTCACAGCTTTTCTTTCTACAAACCTCCTATCAAGTTAGACTTGTTGAACCTCTTTCTGATTTTCTAACTTTCATGATCTTCATGGTGAGGCTGTGCTGCTGCCATCAACATCTTTGTTTATAGATGTTAGAGATCGGCCTGTTTTCCAGTGTAGTCCTGTTTCTCTGACTGTGACTAACTGGATGTGCTCTCTTCATCCTCTGACATGGGAGCTGGCTCGGAGCTCGTCTGCCTGGCTGTGTGTTTCCTGGACCAGGCCGCCTTTTACAGCTGCTTTTTGGCTCCATGAACCAGTCGGCCTCAGCAGATGGCCGCTCACACTGAGATTTCTTCCTGTTCAAAGGGAGTTTTTCCTCTCCACTGTCGCTACAAGCATGCTTAGTATTTGAATCAATTTGACTGATGTCTAAATCTGACAGTATAGGGGCGAGAGGCAGGGTCCACCCTGGACAGCTCACCAGTCTGTCGCGGGGCAACACAGACACACCACCATGCACACTCACACCTAAGGACAATTTAGAGAAGCCGTTTAACCTAACAGTCATGTTTTTGTTTTTGGACTGGGAGTACCCAGAGAGAACCCAAGCATGCACAGGGAGAACATGCAACCTCGATGTAGAAAGACCCTGAGCCGGGAATCAAACACGGAACCTTCTTGCTGCAGAGTAACAGTGTTACAGATGGTGAAACAGTGCAGACCTAATCAGAACATTGATCTAAAATATTTAAATATTTGTCTTTAGATAAAACCTTGGTGTCAGATTTTCAGAAATTGAAACATTTAATTTAAATAAGTTTAATTGGAAAATTTTGAGTCCATTAAGATTTTAATCATATTTTCAGTTCTTCTTGTTTTATATCGATATGCAAAATAACATCACAATAAACTGCATTAGTATATTTCAGAGTAGAGATAGGATCTACATTTCTCAGAAACTGGGCAGACAGTGTTAACTGGAATGAGGAAGTTACATCAGAAACTATCTGGAACGATTTTTAAATCATAGATAAATCCTAAAGATATATGTCTCCTTGAACCCCAGTGGGCCTCAGCAGATGGCCGCTCACACTGAGCCTGGTTCTGCTGGAGGTTTCTTCCTGTTCAAAGGGAGTTTTTCCTCTCCACTGTCGCTACAAGCATGCTTAGTGTGAGGGATTGCTGAAGAGTCAATGAGTCGATGCAATCAGCTGGTTTCCCTTAGAAAGAAAACTTTGAATCAATCTGATTGGATGATCTGGTTGAACTATAAAATGCCTTGAGATGAGATGATGTGAATTGGAGCTATAGAAATAAACTGAATAGAATTGAGGCCTCTAGCATCTATGGAAAGGGAACCTGAGAGGTTTACATGAAAAACCTTCTTATTAACTTTCCATGATCTTAAATGTTATTTTTTTTTCATCAAACAGGGTTCGATATGAATAAAAAGCTCCAAACATTGAAAGACGAGAAGGAAGCTCTGAGGAGAAACTTCTCAGGTGAGGCTGTCAGAGTTTGAAGGTTTCCAGAAAGTTCAAACTGAAGGTGTCAGTCAGAATCTTTAGGTTATTGATATTTATTTTTTATTTTTGGAGAAAACTTTAGATTGATTAAAACATTGTTTAACTAGATGATAAAAATGTATTGTTACTGTTTTATTCAAGTAAATAGTTAAGTTATTTTCTGTTCATATGTTCTGCTAAACAAAGAGTTGACTCTCAAATAAAAACTTATTTTCATCCTTTTCATAGAAATACAACTTGGAAATAAAACTTGTCTACCTACATGTGATCAAACATCTACATGTCCTACAACCCCGAAAGACAAAAGTAAGTCCAGGATTCTATCTTCTGTCCTCTAATGATGTTAAAGAGACACTGATGCACTGACAGATGCAGGAAGTTAGATTCTAGCTGCAGGACAGAAGACGCCTCCTGCTGCCTCCAAATCTCTGAAACATCTACAGAGATTTCTTCCTCCTGACTCAGTGAGATTGTTGTTCTGATCTGTTAATAGATGAAATGTGTCTGAATAACAGACCAGAATGGGAGAGATATCAAGGAAAGTGTTATAAGTTCAATACCAGGAAGTCCTCCTGGACTGAGAGCAGAGATTCCTGCAGAGCTCAGGGAGGAGACCTGGTGAAGATAGACAGCAGAGATGAGCAGGTATGAATCACTGCTGCAGGTTCATGTTCTATCAGATTTTATCATCATCATGTTTCTTCATCTCAGTCCAGAAAAGTCTCTCAGAGTCATTCTCATCTTCTTCTTCTATTCAGATATTCCTGGAGATCAGACTGAGAGACTGGATGGAGAAAGATGAGGACAAGTTCTGGATCGGACTGACAGACTCAGAGGAAGAAGACAGATGGTTGTGGGTGGATGGATCACCTCTGGATGAAAGGTTTGATTGTAGTAAAAACATGTTGGTTTATTTCCAGTATTAAAGTCACAGTTTTTATTTCTCCTGTTTCTGTTCTTAATCTCTTAGTTTGACGTTTTGGAGTAAAGGTGAACCTGATGACTGGACAGGTGAGAATCCAGCTGGAGAAGACTGTGTGAGGATGGGAGAGAAAGGAGGAGCTGATGATCTGAAGTGTTGGTTTGATCAATCCTGTGATGCTCATCACAAAAGTATCTGTGAGAAATCAACTAAGACCATCTGTCTGTAAATGAAGTTCAGTTCAGTCTATAAAACAGTCTCCCCTCCAGATGTGTTAAAGATCAAATTCTCCACTTTTAGTTTCATTTCTATCTGCTTTACTTGTTTCTGATCTTTGGATTTTCACTGGAACAGCAGGAGAACACCAAGAGAACAAATCAGAAGCTCTGAGTTACAAACAGGAACCTGATCTGGAAGAACCTGCAGCAGAACATGTCTGTCAGAGTTTTACAGATTATTTATTCCTGCTTCAGATCTACAGGAGAACAGTTCATATCTTCCTCCCTGTTTCCAGCTGGAAGGACAAACTGAGGTTCTAACAGGTTTGGATCCTGCATGAGAAACAGAACAGCTTCTCCTCTGGTTTCACTGCTTTAGCTTCCTGGTTAACAGAGTTTAGAGAAATCCTCCTTAAAAACAGTTTAAATTGAATCAGTTCATGTTCACAGTTCACTTTAATTTGGAACTAAAGTCAAAGTCCCAACAGGAAGTAGTTCCTGTTCATTCCTCCATTCATCTATAACATAAAGTCACATTATAAAATATGTAGGTGATGATGTCATATGGATCATGCTAACTGCAGCATGACATGTATGTACTTCTGCAGCATTTGCAACATGGCCTCTGATAGCTCAGGTTTTCATCTCCATGTAGAAAAATAAAGATCAGATCCACCATCAGAGCTCTAGCATTCATGTTCTCAGCTTAAAGCACAGCAGCTGTTGATGTAACTGTCAGGATTATGAATAAAGTTTTATGAAATGAAACTAATACTATTGTAATGAACAAGAGAAATATGGAAACTTGTTTGTTTGCTTTTATATGCAGATCAGTGGGCTTGCTGGTGAAACTGCTTTAAGATCTTTGTTGATATTATAATATCAATATGTATATATTTGAAAGCAAAAAGTTTATTGAACTATTGTCACTCATTCCAGGTAGGCAATAAAAAGTTCTACTGGATTCACTTTGTATTCGTCTTTTTCCTGCTTTACAAAGGTAGGCAGCAGCTTGACAAAGCCATGATGGCAATTATTTTACATCCAAGTAGTATTCAGTTCTTCATATATACACACACATCAATTTCAAACAGGTGGTATCGGCCAATAATGCACAGCCAGGTATCTGGTATCATATCGGGGCCAAAAAATGGCATCTGTGCAACACTAATTATAAACTTTTCAAGTTAAATTTCAAATTCTGTCTGACTTTAACGGTAAAAGTGAGCTTTATCAGAGAGAAATAACTCTTAGTTTTTAAGAAACTAAATGATTCAGACTGCAGAAAACAGATGTTTAACATTAACTAATTTAAGCATCTGAAAAAAGTTGAAAAAAGTTTTACATTTGATTTCACAAAATTTAAAATTGGAGTTCCTCAGGGTTCTTTTCGTGGGACTCGTTTAATTGACTCCTTAAAATTCTTGGCCGGCTTCAGATTGCTGGTGTTGCCACATGACCACAGTCTGAGTAGCTAAACGAAACGATTAGGATGTAAACCAGGTCTAAGTGGCTCAGGGCTCTGTTAAAGTTCTGACGTCTTGTGGGGAAACTTTGATGAGTGGGAAGGTCCTAAATATTACCGACCCGGTTCTGTTCTGCAGTTTTTTATTTTGAAAGAAAGTGGAACCAGATACACTATATTGCCAAAAGTATTTGCTCACCTGCCTTGACTCACATATGAGCTTAAGTGACATCCCGTTCCTAATCCATAGGGTTCAATATGACGTCGGTCCACCCTTTGCAGCTAGAACAGCTTCAACTCTTCTGGGAAGGCTGTCCACAAGGTTTAGGAGTGTGTTTATGGGAATTTTTGACCATTCTTCCAGAAGCGCATTTGTGAGGTCGCACACTGATGTTGGACGAGAAGGCCTGGCTCTCAGTCTCCGCTCTAATTCATCCCAAAGGTGTTCTATCGGGTTGAGGTCAGGACTCTGTGCAGGCCAGTCAAGTTCATCCACACCAGACTCTGTCATCCATGTCTTTATGGACCTTGCTTTGTGCACTGGTGCACAGTCATGTTGGAAGAGGAAGGGGCCAGCTCCAAACTGTTCCCACAAAGTTGGGAGCATGGAATTGTCCAAAATGTCTTGGTATGCTGAAGCATTCAGAGTTCCTTTCACTGGAACTAAGGGGCCAAGCCCAGCTCCTGAAAAACAACCCCACACCATAATCCCCCCTCCACCAAACTTTACACTTGGCACAATGCAGTCAGACAAGTACCGTTCTCCTGGCAACCGCCAAACCCAGACCCGTCCATCAGATTGCCAGATGGAGAAGCGCGATTCGTCACTCCAGAGAACGCGTCTCCACTGCTCTAGAGTCCAGTGGCGGCGTGCTTTACACCACCGCATCCGACGCTTTGCATTGCACTTGGTGATGTATGGCTTGGATGCAGCTGCTCGCCCATGGAAACCCATTCCATGAAGCTCTCTGCGCACTGTTCTTGAGCTACATGAAGTTTGGAGGTCTGTAGTGATTGACTCTGCAGAAAGTTGGCGACCTCTTCGCACTATGCGCGTCAGCATCCGCTGACCCCGCTCCGTCAGTTTACGTGGCCTACCACTTCGTGGCTGAGTTGCTGTCGTTCCCAAACACTTCCATTTTCTTATAATACAGCTGACAGTTGACTGTGGAATATTTAGGAGCGAGGAAATTTCACGACTGGATTTGTTGCACAGGTGGCATCCTATCACAGTTCCACGCTGGAATTCACTGAGCTCCTGAGAGCGACCCATTCTTTCACAAATGTTTGTAAAAACAGTCTGCATGCCTAGGTGCTTGAATTTATACACCTGTGGCCATGGAAGTGATTGGAACACCTGATTCCAATAATTTGGATGGGTGAGCAAATACTTTTGGTGTAGCTGGACTGAGGAGAACTCTGCAGGAGGACGGAGGACCGATGAAGAAGTTGTGGGATAAAGACTGCAATGCTGCTCAGAAGAGAAACTGTGAGAAATATATTCAGAGGAAGTTTGTTCTTTAGCCCAGCTGATCTTTTGCAAGTGTGGATTTCCACTGAAATACGCCTTGAAATCGATTAAAACACCTTGTGGTCAATTCCATTCATGACTCATCATTTTTTGCATTAAATAACTCACAGTAACTAAGTAAGTTTTACTCAAATTACATTTTAAATGAAGTAATTTTGTACTTTTACTTGAGTAAATTTTGAGATGGGTAATTTTACTTTTACTCTGGGAAGAATTTAGGCAAAGTAAAGATACTTTTACTCAATTACAATGTTTTAGTACTCTTTCCATCTCTGCTCAAAAGTTCCCAAACTTTCCTGATACATCCAACCTGAATGTAATGAATGAAGCAGATCTTTGAGAACTTCTGAGATGCTGAGGAGGGAGCGCAGCCTCAATGGCTGCAGTTACTTTTATCAGAAAGCTAAAAAATATTCATTTAAAAAAAAGATTTTAATATTCCTGCTTTGCAGCAAGGAGGTCCTTGGTTTAAATCCTGACCCACAGTCCTCCTGTATAGTTTGCTCTCCTCTCCTGTGCTTTAGAGGGTTCTCTCTGGGTACTCCTGCGTTTGGTGCGGTCTATTAGTCTTAAGAAGTTAACATTTTTTACTTCCTCCTGAAACGTCCTTAAAAGACGGAATTAAGAGACAGGAAGATGGTGCAACAGGAAGGTAACCGATTTCCACATTCAAGAGGGAAGTCTCTCACATGAACAGCAGTTAAAATTTCCTACTTTAACAGTTTGCAGCAGTTCTTTACAATGCAAAGATGCACTGCAAAAACGATCTAGAAACGTTCATAAATTAAGTGTATTTACCCTTAATTTGAGTAGCTAAATAAGATGATTTGCCAATGGAATGAGTATTTTTACTCCTAAAATAATATAATTAGATAATATACACTAGAAATAAGCCAATGCAATTGTTTTTTCTTATTTTAAATGCTAATTGTCTTATTCCATTGGCAAAGTTTCTCACTTACCTCCTTAATTAAAGAAAAATGACTTATTTAGATTTCAATTTCTTCCAGTGTGATTAGATCAGTTGTTCAGATACTGCTGGTGTTTAGAGGATGACATGTTTGAATGAAATGTAAACGCGCAGAATACAGCATGTATCCTTATCATGGTTATGGTTGCAACAGCGGATGTAGTAAGCATGGAGAATACAAGGAGCTAAGAGAGGGAAACTAGAACACCTTTGAGATAACGTCACTCCAACTCGTTAATTTCACTGGAGCGGATCGTAGCTCCACTGGTTCGCCTGCAAATTAAAGCCCCAGTCCGCTGTGAAGCACGGCGGCTGAGGTATCATGGTAAGGAATGGAATCGGCATTCATCTCACCTCAGGGATCGTGGATCCGGTGGAAGTGAAGGCTTGAGAAAACTCGGAGAGGTCATGTTACGTTCGGCAGAAGAGAAAACGCTCCGACGTAAAACATTGTGGGTAATATTAAAGAGAAAAAGTAAAAAACTAAACCTTAAACATGTCCTCCTGTCCAGTATTATAAATGAGATCCAGAGTTCCCATTGCTTTGTTGTAGAATTTATCGTAAATGGAGCAAATATAGGAAGATAAATGAAGGAAATATTAAATAGAGACTCACATTCAGAGAAAACTGAAGTCCACATAAATCAAAGGTATTGATTTGTCTTTTTCTTTTCTATTTTTCTAATGGTCCTTTCCGAAATAAAGCAATTCAGTTATTCATCTGTCTGTAAATAACTAATATAACTACTAAGGACTTTATTGGCTTCTGTCATATGAAATCTTTAGAACAAAACCTGACATTACAAGACAAATATTACAGGTTGACATAAAAGTTTGTTCAACATCCAAATGATCCTTCGGTCTTTCAGAGATCTTGTGCAGATGTTAAAGGAATAGTACACCCAAAACATGATTAGCCTTCATTTTCTACTCACCCCCATGCTGAACAACACTCTGGAGTACTTTGATATCTCAAATGCATCTGGAGATCTGGGAGGCTTCTTGCTGTCTGCTGACATTCAAATAATGGAGGTCTATGGCGCCCGAGGCAGAAAGGTCCATAAAAATCCACAAAAACGTGTCAATATTCCTCCATACTGCTCGTCCAATGTATTCCAAGTGTCCTAAGTGGGTAGCATCCATAATTTACTCGAAACGAAGTCATTTAGAATGTTTTTAGAGCATAAACAGTAGTGTATAGGATTTCCTAAAAGCGCGTTCACGACGCTACGGAAACCGCGGCAGACCAAACCAGACGAAAGTGCGCATTCAGCGTCTGCTCTGCCAATAATGCAAGCGTAGAAGAAGAAATGTGCTGTTTACCTCTGAAAAGAAAGAAACAACGAAAGAAAAATGTCTGAGGACTTCAGTGTTGTGTGTGGCTGCATAAAAATGTCTCTTTTCTTCCCAGGCATCCTGCTATGTGTGGAAAGTCTCCACATGTGCAACTATTACAGATGATTCAGACTCGTAAATACTTTTTCTTTTAAGATATTTTATTAAAAATGAGAACAAACAATAGAAAACATACAGCTATAATCTAAAGACAGGTGGTTAGAATAACCAAGATACACATAGATTGCTGCGGTTCACCAGCATCAGGACCCCAGGACTCGTTGAGGATTAGACAATATCCCAAAATATCAAAACCTCATACCAAAAAACGGCAAAATATCATGTTTTGGGTTAATATTTGAGCTTCCTTTCCCAAACTTCACTCCTGCAGCTACATTAAAATCGTTTGGAGAACAAACATTGTTTGACTCCGCCCCCCTCAATCATCACAGTCTCAATGCAGTTTGGGATAATGAAATACTTTATATAATCCTTCCTCAAATCTGATTCATATATTAGTGTAAACTGCTTAAAAATGGTCTCAGAATTGTATTTTCCCCAAACAGAGAAGGCAGATCAGTATCCTGCATGTTTTAGATTTATTTTTTTTTATACAAGTGATCAGGTAAAATAATAACAGAGTTAATCCGATCATTTGAATCGGGTATTTTGGAGCAGACGTTTATCTAAACCAAGCAGGAAACCAACCAGCATCACTATCTTTAAAGATATTTGATCATTTTCATTCATCTTTAAAATCACAGGATTTCTGATTTAGGGGGGATAAAGTGGAAAAAGATCAGTCATTGTTCTGGGAACTTAATTCTTTTGCATAAATCCAGATCTTTAGTGTGGAAATCCATCATTTACCTTTCAAAAAAAATAAAACACAGAAGACTTGCGTTCGCTGAAATGTTAGGAATCGTAACACGTGGAAGGAAACAAACCGTATCAATAAGAAGGGTTTAAACTATTCAGCTCTGCATCTTTCAGGGCCGCAGAGACGGTGTGCATTTGGAGATGTGCAACTCTTGCTCAGAGTTTAGGAAATGGGATTTTTCTGCAGCTCAGCACAATGCTTTTCTGGATTACTGAGAACAAGTTGTAGTGAACGTTGAAGTTTATTTACATTTAGACCAGCGGTTGAACCAGCACTAAAAGGTCACTTGGGTTCTCCCCATCAGTCAGAGTCTTCTTCGTCTTCGGGTTGAAAGGTGGGGTCAGAAACCGCCTGCTGGTCTTTCTTGGTCCTGAGATGCAGCTCTCTGACGGTGAGGATGCGGGTCAGCATGGATTCCATGGTGACGTCGTCCAGAGGAGTGGAGGAGAACCACAGGGGGCTGTTAGGGACGCAGCAACGCTCAGGATGAAGGTAGAACATGTTGGTGCGCTGCTTGACCGACTCGGAGCTAAAAGAAGGAAAAGAATACAGAAAAATAGAGTAAGGCTTTGAACTTGTCGACCTGGTGAACGTGGGTTCTTTCAGGTTCCAAGTATATTCTAGAGTTTTTGGAACTGGACCTTTTATATTTGTTTTCAGAGGATTCCTTTGAAGCAATACTATAAATTTACCATTTGATAATTGGTGTCAAATGTAGAGAAACGGTTATTTTCACAAAGTGCAATAACTATATATATATATATATATATATATATAGTTATTTTCACAAAGTGCAATAACTATATATATATATATATATATATATATATATATATATATATATATATATGTGAACATTGATTGATTTATTACCAAACCAATTGATGATTATTTCAATAATCGATCCCATCAATAGTTTCAGTGCTGCTGTCATCCACTCACCATTTGGAGAGGTAAAACTCATAAAGCCTAACTGGGCAGCGGAGCGGGTTCTCAGTGTTCTCCATCATCTCCAGGATTTCCTCCTTACTCTCCTCTTCTTTGCGTCTCTTCGCTGGAACGGCGTCTGGATCTGAAAAACATTTTACTGTGAGCTGCTGGGAGGAGGCGGGGCTAAATTATCCACTGATGACTCACTTTCCCACAACTAAAACTCAACGACTTCTAATTTGTCTTTGTCTTCATTTTAAGACTATTCTTAAAGCTAGAAGGTCCATCCATCCATCCATTTTCTCCCTTTTTATCGGGGGCCGGGTCACGATGGCAGCAGCCTAAGCAAAGACGCTCAGACTTCCTGATCCAGACCCACCTCCTCCAGCTGCTCTGGGGGGGCGACACCAGGCCAGCTCAGAGACATAGTCCCTCCAGCGTGTCCTGAGCCTTCATCGAGGCCTCCTCCTCCTCCTCCTAATGGGACATGCCTGGAACACCTCCCGAGGGAGGCGACCAGGAGGCGTCCGGAACAGATGCCAGAGCCTCCTCAGCTGGCTCCTTTCGACGTGGAGGAGCAACGACTCTCCTCAGAGCTCCTCCTGGTAACTGAGCTCAGTTATAGACAGAAGTTGTTAATTTACTTTAAAGCGTTGTGATGCTATCGGCAACCTTGGCAGCTCAGTGTAGCAGTGGCACTGCTGCCTTAAAGCAAGAAGGTTCTTGGTTCGATTCCCGGCTGGGGGCCTTGTGCATGGAGTTTGCAAGTTCTCCCTGAGCATGCGTGGGTTCTCTCCGGGTACTCCACCATCCTCCCACAGTCCAAAAACATGACTGTTAGGTTAATTGGCTTCTTTACAATCTCCTTAGTGTGTGCATGAATGGTTGTTTGTCTCTGTGTTGCACAGACGCTGTGATGGACTGGCGACCTGTCCAGGGTGGACCCCGCCTCTCGCCAGCTGGAGATAGGCACCAGCACCCCTCATGACCCCAGCAGGGATAAACGTGACGGAAAACGGATGGAATGGAATTTAGAAACCATAAATATGAAACTGTCTGATGCCTTTCTTTCATTTTTATTCATTAAAATGTAGAGAATTTTCCAGCAGAATTTTCTTTGTGGGAGCTTATGCTAAAAAAAAAAAGCCAACAACTTTAGCACCTGAGAAATAACCTGTTTTCCTAATCAATGAATGTTTTCTGTAAAAAAGTACAGTAGTAGCCATTCAAAATTTCTCCACTTTCCTTGGCTGGAGCCCTTCAATTCCTTTTTAAAACATCAATCTTTGTACTAAAACATTCTTCCTGTCATGATTTGCGGACATCAAGATCTAAAGAGAAGCATCATCTCCTGCTCAGACCCTGTAATTCAGTGAAAGGTTGGAGTCAGAGTAAAAAAATATGCACATCCTGAAGAAGTAGGGGGGTCACTCCAGTGACTGGAAGCTGGAGGGGATTTTGCTGGGAGTTGGAGGGAAGTGGGCTGCCATTCGGCTGGCGTTTGACTTCGGAAGGGCCATTCTGAATGGCTGCTACTGCAGCTGTTCTGATTATATAAACTGTCTGGTTTCTCCATCTTCCTGTTTATTCCGTCATTCATGGATGATTCCTTCACCTGAATCTGCTGAAGGTTTTTATAAACGAGTCTCAGTTTTCGTAAACATAACCAAACCAAGTGGGTTGTTACTGGTGTGAAATGTACCTGACTCGGCTTCGTTTATGGGAATGGGCGGGTAGAAGCGCAGGAAGGTGGTCTTGCTGTTGTCCGGGTTGGTTTTGGTGCAGCGCATGACGTGTGCAAAGGACAGCTGGCGGTGCTGCTCCACCGTGGTGAAGCCGAAGTACTTGCAGCAGAAGAAGAGCAGAGTGTTGAGGAGGACGATGGGGGAGTACGCCCCCAGCTGTTTGCACCCCCACAGGAACTCCTCCTCCACCCGGGAATGGATGTATCCTGTGGAGGAAACGGGAACGGTGAGGAACCCCCCTGATGATTCCCTACCAACTGTGACTGTAGCGGCTAGCGGTCAGCTCACCTCGGCGGGTGACGGTGGGTTTGAAACTCTTCAGCATGTTGGTGAAATCTGAGGAGAACTTGCAGTAGAATCGATCCATGAAGATGTTTTCCACACGGCCGTTTTCAAACAGATACTACAGATAAAAACACACAAAAAAAAATGTTTCTGTAAAAGTAAAACATTTGATCAAATTCACATCAATTAGAATCATTAAAGCGTTGGACGAGGTTCTGACATGGAGAAACTGAACTACAGTTCAGACTAGAGCTGCAACTAAACATCTGTAGATTAATTTTATTATTTCAATAATTATAATAGTAATCAGATATTGAAAGGTTCTTTAGAGAAGATTCTTTTACAGAATTAAACCAATAAAACTAAATCTTTTTTCACTTGAGGAGCTCTGGATGGTACGGAAGAGGATGAGGGCCACTGAAAAAAATAAAAGTTAACTGATTTTTACATTTTCTTTCAGTTTAAAATGGGAAAAAATACAGAATTCTGACTTTTTCCTCAGAATTCTGACTTTTTTCTCATAATTCTGACTTTTTTCCCATATTAAACTGAAAGAAAATTTAAAAATCAGTTAACTTTTATTTATTTTTTTCAGTGGCCCTAATCCTCTTCCGTAGATAGAGCATATTTACAGACGAAAATGTTTTTTTTTAAATCTGAAATATATAATATATAATAAACATATCTAAATATGTATTTTTTACATTTTTTTATTTTACGTAATTTTATTTTTTATTTATTTTTTTATTGCGTTTTACAGGAACACTTATGGTTGAAGTGAATAAAAAAAAGGAAAAGAAAATAAAATAAATGCGTACTGCTCTAAGTGGGTTGTTCAATTACTAAGATAGTTGACGATTATTGAAATAATCGGATTAATTGTATCCGCCCTTCATTAGAGCAATTAAAGTATTTTTTTACTTACTAAGTTATAATAAATCGTACATGGCCTGTATTAGAAACACTGATGGTGGTGAGTTACATTGTAGCCTAAGATGCCCTGGGGCTCAGTGAATGTCCACGCCGCCGGTCACCATGACGCTGAAAGCCCGCGCCGTGCCTGAACCGACACATCGGAAGCAGGTTTTCATTTTTAAAAACATTGACCCCAGTTACATTTAAACTCCTGCATCTGTTTGGATTCTATCGGATCTATAAGGAAGCCTCACCTTCCACTCGGGGGGGGGGGGGGGGGGGGGGGGGGGGGGGGGGGGGGGGGGGGGGGTAGGTCACTAAAGGACAATAACATCATGGAAATTCCAAAAAAGTTAAAGACAATCCACTAGATTTTGTCTCCAAGTTTGAAGACGTTTCTCTTCCCATCCAGGAAGCTTTAAATCAAAATGTCAGAAATAGTGTTTTATTTATGTTTTATACAGTAACCCAACAGATCCTTGTTTTTGTTTAGAAAAGATGTAAATAGAAACGGATGAACGGCTCCATCCTTTGGAATGGGGGTCATTCGGCTTCTTTTGTTAGCCTAGTTTAACGATCCCCCCATTCCAAAGGGTTGGACACAAAAACAAGGCTTTGTTGTGCTACTGTATAAAGCCTGGAACTCAACGCTATTCCTATTTTGAAATAATAAAGTTTCCTGGATGGAAAGCAAAACATCTTTACACTTGGAAACAAAGTCCAGTGGATTGTTTTGAACTTTTTTGGAATGACTGACCTGAATGACTGAGAATCTTCACCAGCATCATATTGGAAAGTTTGAAATCTTTGAGGTCCTTTTGAGTGCCTCCAACTTGAGTCGTTAAGGGTCAGCTTCCTGAAACCTTTACAGGCGTCTCCGCTTCAACAAACCAGAATCAAGTAAATAAGCCATAAGCAGGACTCTGCTGCATTTAATTCTAGGGCTGGGCGATAATTCAATAACGATATATATCGATCGATAGACGTGTGGCGCAATAGAAAAAAATAGGGTCGATAAAAGTTCGATAAAAAAACGCAGTTTTCCTTCCTTCTCATTGTAGCCGATCATGCAGGTTTATGCTGGTCACTGCTTCCTCCCAACCAATCACAATCGCGGACCCAGGCACGCCGTCACCAAGCGCCGCCCTCTCAAACCACAACACAGAGCACATGAAGATGTCGCAGCAAGGAGAGGCGGAGGAAATTGTTTTTGTAGTTCGCCAGTTTGGCAGAATGTCGGTCAAAAAACAAACAACAGTCTGTAAAATTTGTAGGGAACCAGTGAAAACGAAGTCTGATAACACAACCAACTAGTTTTATCATCTCAGCCGCTCACACCCACAGGAGTACGAGCTGCGTAGGCCCCGGCGCGGCTCTTCATCGTCCTCCGAGGAATCTTCGGGAATTTAATAACATAACTCGGGCCTCTTAAGTTATTTTTCTTTAAAACAATTCTGTTATGGTTAAAAAAGTTGGTTGAATAAAGATTTAATTGGAAGTCTGTGTTTGTGTTCTTTATTAAAATTAAATCATCTAGCAATATCATAAAAAGTCCAGGCAGAGCTGCACATAAAATATTTTTTCAAATCTTTTCAATAATTATCGATACTATCGATCAATATGCATTATTTTTTTTTTATCGATAAGCTTTTATTTAATTCACCATTTAATTCAGGTGTGATGGACCAGAGACACCAGAGATGTAAACAATCAACTTATAATTTATTGTTGGTAACTAGTTTGATTACAGGTGCTGGTCATAAAATTAGAATATCATGAAAAAGTAGATTGATTTCAGTAATTCCATTTAAAAAGTGAAACTTGTATATTATATTCATACATTACATACAAACTCATATATTTCAGATGTTTATTTTGTTTAATTTTGATGATTACAAATGACAACAAATGAAAATCTCAAATTCATCATATCAGAAAATTAGAATATTGTGAAAAGGTTCAAAATTGATGGCCCCTGGTGCCACACTCTAATCAGCTAATTAACTCAAACCACCTGCAAAAGCCTTTAAATGGTCTTTCAGTCTAGTTCTATAGGCTACACAATCATGGGGAAGACTGCTGACTTGACAGTTGTCCAAAAGACGACCATCGACACCTTGCACAAGGAGGGCAAGACACAAAAGGTCATCGCTAAAGAGGCTGGCTGTTCACAGAGCTCAGTGTCCAAGCACATTAATAGAGAGGCGAAGGGAAGGAAAAGATGTGGTCGAAAAAAGTGTACAAGCAAGAGAGATAACCGCACCCTGGAGAGGATTGTGAAACAAAACCCATTCAAAAATGTGGGGGAGATTCACAAAGAGTGGACTGCAGCTGGAGTGAGTGCTTCAAGAACCACCACACACAGACGTATGAAAGACATGGGTTTCTGCTGTCGCATTCCTTGTGTCAAGCCACTCTTGAACCACAGACAGCGTCAGAAGCGTCTTGCCTGGGCTAAAGAGAAACAGGACTGGACTGCTGGTGAGTGGTCCAAAGTCATGTTCTCTGATGAAAGTAAATTTTGCATTTCCTTTGGAAATCAAGGTCCCAGAGTCTGGAGGAAAAGAAGAGAGGCACTTCATCCACGTTGCTTGAAGTCCAGTGTAAAGTTTCCACAGTCAGTGATGGTTTGGGGTGCCATGTCATCTGCTGGTGTTGGTCCATTGTGTTTTCTGAGGTCCAGGGTCAACGCAGCCACATACCAGGAAGTTTTAGAGCACTTCATGCTTCCTGCAGCTGACCAACTTTTTGGAGATGCAGATTTCATTTTCCAACAGGACTTGGCACCTGCACACAGTGCCAAAGCTACCAGTACCTGGTTGAAGGACCATGGTATCCCTGTTCTTAATTGGCCAGCAAACTCTCCTGACCTTAACCCCATAGAAAATCTATGGGGTATTGTGAAGAAGAAGATGCAATACACCAGACCCAACAATTCAGAAGAGCTAAAAGCCACTATTAGAGCAACCTGGGCTATCATAACACCTGAGCAGTGCCACAGACTGATCGACTCCATGCCACGCCGCATTGCTGCAGTAATACAGGCCAAAGGAGGCCCAACTAAATACTGAGTGCTGTACATGCTCATACTTTTCATGTTCATACTTTTCAGTTGGCCAACATTTCTATAAATCCTTTGTTTTTATTGGTCTTCAGTAATATTCTAATTTTCTGATATGATGAATTTGAGATTTTCATTTGTTGTCATTTGTAATCATCAAAATTAAACAAAATAAACATCTGAAATATATGAGTTTGTATGTAATGTATGAATATAATATACAAGTTTCACTTTTTAAATGGAATTACTGAAATCAATCAACTTTTTCATGATATTCTAATTTTATGACCAGCACCTGTAAATTGGTTCCATCTTATTTGTTGTGATGTTACGGTCGTCCACTAGAGGGCGTAGATCCTCAGTGTTAAATTAAGCCTAACTGCTCTTCCCAAGAGAATTAATACCAGAGCGGAGGTTTGTCTAAAAAACTTCTGTAAGAAGATTTTTCTAAACAGCAGAACCAATGATGCGGGCCAGCTGAAGGCCGTTACCAAGGCAACAGCTCATCAGAACCTCTGGCTGGAGACCGGACCAAGATGTTGTTCAGCACCAGAATAAACTGTTCAGTAGGAGCCATGTTGTACCTGCTGGATCCCGAGGCAGAGGTAGAACAGGCTGTCGGGGGAGTACGGCTCCCCGTTGGGTCGTTTCACCTCAGTGATGAAGCAACACAGACCGTAGCTGAGTTCGGCTGTGGTGCAGCGGAGAATATCCTCCTTCAGCTCCAGAGGGCGCGCTGAGGACGAGTCGGATGGAATCAGGGCACAGAAACCAAACAACTCAGTGTTTTTAAAAAAAGCAGCGTCTGGTTAAACTTACAGCCGAAGCGACGCTGCTCCAGGTTGGGCTGAGTCTGCCGCCACTGGATCCAACGCTTCCACGCGTCGATCCCGTACTCGCTCTTTAGCTTCAGGATTTCAGCAGAAATGGGTTTCTTGGACGAGGTTCTAGGATGACTCTCTTCAGTAGCTTTAGACGACCGCTGCGATTTACGACCCTGAAAGTAGGAGAGCGGAGAAACATGAGGCTGCGTCTGTTGCTGCGATAGAAGCTGAGCAGACGGCGTTCCTCTCTTACCCTCTTGTCCCTGGCTTTCCTCTGAGCTTGCCTCCGTTTCGGCACAGGCGCGGGACTCGGGGATTTGTTGCAGTGCTCTCTCAGCCGGGCCATCCGCTCCAGGGTTTCTAAATAAAACAACTCGGATCATCAGAGGGAGAAGTCCAGCTCCAAGGAGGATCCGGATCCGTGTTCTAATCTCACCGATGGAGAAATCAGCTTCGATGTCCATAGGAGGCGGGCCCGGCGGCGGCAACGGCTCCGATTCTGGTTCAGAAGGCGAAACAGCGGGGACGTCCATAACTGGGTTCAGCTTCTCAGAGGCGAGCTGCCGGCCGGGGAGCTTCAGGGCGCCGTCAGAGGAGGTTTCCTCCCAGTTGTTCAGGAAACTGGCCAAGTCGTCCGTATCCAGATCGTCGCTGTAGTTACTGATGTGATCTGAGGAATAAAGATGAAAGCAGCGTCTCTTCACTTCGTTCTGCATCACGACACTTTGCTTCCAAACAAGGCAGCTTAACATGCATGGAGGAGCTGCAAAAACCCACCAAAGGTTTCAGAAATGGTTCAATACGTTTAAGGAGAAGCCAAACAAAGAGCTGTGCTCCCCCCTCTGCCACCTGTTGCTGTGCCTCTTCACTATTTTTTTTATAAAGAGGATGAAAACCAGGTAAGGAAACTAGGATCGCTTTTATGAGGGGAATGTTCATTAGCTGATTGATATCTCCACTAATTAACAGCTTGTTATACTTTTACCGGGAATCTTTTTCTATCTCTGCTTCTGTCTCCTTGAACCCCAGTGGGCCTCAGCAGATGGCCGCTCACACTGAGCCTGGTTCTGCTGGAGGTTTCTTCCTGTTAGAAGGGAGTTTTTCCTCTCCACTGTCAGTACAAGCATGCTTAGTGTGAGGGATTGCTGAAGAGTCAATCAGTCGATGCAATCAGCTGGTTTTCCTTAGATAGAAAAATTTGAATCAATCTGACTGGATGATCTGGTTGAACTGGAAAGTGACCTAAGATGATATGATGTGAATCGGAGCTATAGAAATAAACTGAATTAAATAGAATTTCCAGTGCAGTCTGTTTTCCGATCTGCACCAGAAATGGGATCCTACATTATTTCCAGGAGCTAACCTTTTCGGCTTTGTATCCAAACATAAAACTAGTCTTAGTTTTAATGTTTTACTTTCGTGTTCACCTTATGGTATAATCTAAAGAAACAACTAAAATGCAAATAAACATGGTTTAATCCTATTTTGCAGGACTGCTCTGATCATATCCGATGATGACATCAGAGAAGCAGTTTATGACATGTTGTGAATTGGAGCTATAGAAATAAACTGAATTGAATTGAAAAGAGAGCTGAGCAAAACAGAGACCAGAGCCAATTTTTTGAAAACTATTTCTAAAAGAACAATTTCCATAAATTAGCTCCAGTCTGTTAAAAAAAAAAAACGAATATAAATAATAAATGAGCTCCTGTTTGTGTTTTAAAAGTATTATTAAATTAAGCTGGAAGCAACCCAGGGTTAATACAGGAATGAGTAAATCTAATTTAATGCGTTTTTATGCTCTTAGAAATAATAATTTAATGCAATCAAAAAGTATTCATGACTCTCATATATACACGGCAAAGTCCTTCGTCAAATTTTCTGTAGACAGGCAACAGCCATGTCCTGAATTTCTCACTTTCCAGCTACTTCTATTGAAATTAGCATTTTCCTATTCTCTTGCTTTTTCTCCGCCTTGAGCTTCTTTTCTGAAAATACGGCTTAACGATCAACCGGAAGCAGTTCCACACAAACATATCAAGATATATCTGACAACATTTTTTTAAAACTTTTTTCCCGCATACGTAATCTAAACTGCAGGCAGCATAATAATAAAAACAAACATATTCTGTCGGCAGGTTTCATTTTAAGTTAATTTAGGTGTTTAACTGTTTCAGAGGAGTGATCATATCGCTCTGCATCAGCAGTGCTGTGTCTGACTCCCTGCCAGCTCCCAGATCAGCTTCTCTGATTGGTTGATGTGGCGCGTCTAGCAGCTAATGTTAAATTTTTCCAAATTTAGCATCTGCTGCTTTCGCTCAGAAGTTCATGATGCTTCAGCTGCTCCTGTTGCTTAAAATTGGCTGCAGGACCTTTTGCTACGACGATGCTCGTTAACCATTGACATTCCATGTTAACTAGCTACCTCTGCTGCCTCTAGCATAACGTAGCATAAGGCCGGTAGCCTCCATTCAAATGTTCCTTTTCTGGCCACAAAGTGGCGTAGCCCCCGTTCCTTTCACTTTACGCTTCCTTGCCTCCATCAGGTGTCTGAGATGCCAACAGATTGGAAAACGTGGGCTTTAATGAGAAACTGCCTCCAGACAGACATCGTCACTTAAAGTAGGATTTAGTTTTTCAATCAGGTTCAATTTCTTGTAAAATTAGTAACTTTATAAACTGCAGAAACATCAATTCTGGAGCTTTAGAAACTGAAAATCTGCTGCAAAAGATAAAAATTCAGGTCCAGCTGCACATCTGGCTTAATCATATCAGGGGTTTAACATCTGGCCACACACAAAAAAAATAGTTGAGGGTTTGAAATAAATCTTTCACGATTTGTTCTTTATTTTGTGATATTTGTGACATTTTACTTTAAGGGGAACTAAATCTAACTGGCTGTTAAAATCCTAAAGAGCTTCTTACCATCCGGAGCAGGAGCCTCTTTACTTTCTGCCTCCTTCCCCGACGCTTTTTCTTTCCTCGTCTCCGGCTTGTCGTTCTTTTCCTCGTCTCCTTCTGCCACCATCTCAGCCATCAGGATGAGCTCCGCCTCGTACGGATCCGACGGGATCTTTTGCTTGATTTCCTGGATGGTTTCCACGATGCGCTCGGCGCTGTTCATCGTCACGGGCAGGAACATCGGCACAGGCAGCTGTGACGGACGGAAATGAGAAAAGCTTTAAGATCATCCAATGGGTGATCAGACACAAACATCCCAGAATACCGGTGGATTTATAAGCAGAGACTGACGTACGGGTAAAGGCACGGTCAGAGGTTTGGGAGCGAACTGGCTGTACATGCTCATGGGAACAGGAACGTAAACTGGAACTGGAACCGGAAGCACAATGACTCTAGGAAGCATGTCATCTAGAGAAAGTAAAAGAAAAAAAGAAATGGTTTAAGTCTTTACATTTCAAATCACAAGCGAAGAAGAAGAAACCCAGAACATTTTAGAACGGAAGCCCAAAAGTGCAATTATGTTGTAAAAGTCAAACTAAATCTATAACTATCAGAAACATAAAACTAGCAAAACATGTAGGATAAAATACAAATTAACTATATTATCAATCATAATATTTTTCTATTCGCAGAATAAACACCTATTGAACTTTGTCATGTTTTATCTGTCAGAAGAGAATAAAGCATTCAGTGGGCGGGGCTAGAAATGCTTCACTGAGCAGGTTAACCAATCACAGGGTTCCTACAGCATAAGGCAAGTTACATGCAAGACTTTTTAAGACTTTTTAAGACTTTTTAATGCCACTTGAAATAAAAATTTAAGACCAAATTCACAAGAAACAAGAAAAACCTGCTTGCGACAACTTAACCCAAAGGTTTATTTTAACATAAACCACTGCACTAATGTTTCACATTTTGAAAAGCTTCCCATACAGGAAGAAAGCTAAAAACACACAAATGACAGATATATTTTAACATTTATTTAACTGAATTCACAAACTTTGTTTTAGCAGGGAACAAAACAAATCAGTTTTAAAGCCCCAACATAACCAGTGCTAAGTCTTTTTTGCAGCTATTTTTCTTTGTATGGTTTTCTTAGTATGTTTGATTTGGTGATAAGTGGAGGCGTTGCAGAGACAAGGGTGGAACTAAACTGAGAAATACCGGCTGTTTCTCTGTAACTCCATTTTGACGCTTTGTGTTTCGTGCTTCGCATGTGCGACTCCACTGCCTTAATTCCCATCGTTCTGAGCTTAAATGACTTCTTGCACTAAATCCACTGAGCCTCATGTATGTTCCCTGGTTTTGGCCATGGAGGAAACTCTTGGCTGGAGACAATTTTGGTTACATTTACACTTGCTCATATTTTCCAGACAAAAAGTAAATGGCGCATCTCCCAAATGTCCCGGCCGCAACAACGCTTTTATTGGTTCCGCTATCGGGACGGAACCAATAATGGCGAGCCGTTATTTTTTTTACATAAAAAAAGTCAAATTTAATGTTTTATTTAGATTGCAAAAATAAATCCTAATAAAAATAATCCTATTTATGATGTTTTAAAAATTAAGACCTACGAAAGACTGATTTAACCCCTTGAACCCTACGGACCCACCGGCGGGTCCAGCTGCTACGTGACCTCGTAATTTTAACAAACCGCCAGTATTGATGTAAAAAACACATTTGGCACAGTTTGGTGACATTTATGGATAAATGTGCCAAAATGGCCCCTCCGCCTAAGAAATTTCTCACTAATACCATTCTAAAATAAATATGATTCATCTGATTGAGTCCAAATTTGGTATATTTTTACACATTTAGATTTAAAAGTCTGTACTACTTTTTTGTGCTATAAATAATATTTTGGTAGTGTTTTGCAATGTTTATTTCAAAGAAAATTTTGGCGAGGTTCAAAAAATGCAAAATATTTTGTATTTTGTCCCTAATATTTCAGGCAGGGTCAAAGCTACAATGGTGCTGACACCAGAAAACCATTCTATGACATCTTACCTTTACAGACGTACCAAAAGTTTCTTCTTAAATCTAATAGCTTTGAGGCTATAAGTTATTTACTTTTGTGTGTTTTTGTCAGGCAGAAATTTATTTATACCCCCTGAGGGTGTAAGAGGTTAAGACATTTTAATACCAATTAAGGCCTTAGTTTTATTTTGAAGAATTCAATGCCTTTTAAGACTTTTTTAAGGACCTTCAATCAGAAGTCTCCACCTCACCCTGCTATCAGTTTATGTTGAATATTGTTATAATATAGTTCATTATATTTTTCATTAGTTAAATAAATAGAATTGAATAAATACAATTACAGGTTACAATTATACTAGTTTAGTTGTACAAGTATTTCTCCACTAGAGGGCGCAGGTGTCATATGTCAGCAAGGTTGTTGCTTTTTTTTCCTCTAAAGGACAAAGTTCTTTTCTATGTGAATGTGATTGATGCTGCAGTTCGGACGTAAAATTACGTAGAACGAATTTAAATTTTGGGTCGTTTTTTCATCAAGATGGGACGTTTCCAGCTAAATCTACAACAGTTTCAAATCTGCTTTGAACTGAGGTCAATACTCTGGGATAAACTGTTTTTTATTTTCAGGTGATGTTTAATGTAGGGCTGAAACAACTACTAGGAATATTTGGTTTAATCAATTATTCAAATAATCGTCAACTAATTTAGCAATAGATGAATCGTTAACTGGAGTATAGAGACAGGAAAACCTGACAGAGCGACACACTTAGAGCAGAAATTATATCAAAATGGAAAAAAAATGTATATATTTTGCACTCAAGATAAAAAAAAAAAAACTCTTTTTGTCAATATTCTCTATCCAGAACTCATCAAGTGGAAAAGCTTTACTGTCACCTGGTTTAATTTCGTAAAAAATCTTGAGTAAGGAACCTTTGGCTATCTGACTATTAATAGAAAAATAATCGGCACATTAATCGATTTGTAAAAGAAGTTGCAGCCCTAGTTTAATGGTTGCCCGTGTTTACCCGTCTGCGCCTCCACGCTGACCGTCTGTGTTTTGCAGGAAACTCCCTTGTTCTGCACCAGAGGTTTACACAGCAGAGCTTTGTTCTTCAGTAACTTTGGAGCCGAAGCGGCAGGAGGAGGAGGAGCAGCGGGCTGAGCTTTGGGCGAGTCCGTCTGGACGCTGATCTACACGAAACAGAAACGCCACAACTCAAAACTGCTCCAGAAACTAAAACAACAAACTTCATTTTAAGCTTTGTAGCCGTTTCTGTTTCTGCTGTTTGGGTTTGTTGGCTTCGCTTACGTTTCCAGAAGTCCTTGACTTTAACCTGGAGCCTGTTGGAGACAAAATAAAAACATTTAATGAAAGAAGAAAAACAAAGACTGGCGAATCTTTCTCTGTGGTTCTGTACTTGGCTGGGCTGTTTTATCTGCCGAATTGGATTTTCCAGCTGATTGGTCAGCGAGGGACATGACGCTGGCGATGACGGGGGTGGCCTCACCTGTAGCTACAGGAGACAAGAAGCACAGTCAGAACCGAGTCAAGTAGTTAAAAGTCCTTCCAGCTCCAGTTTTCTGCTCCTCATGGTCAAAGATTAAGACCTTGTTTAGTTTTAATTCTCATTTTAAAAGTTAGTCAGTCCTTTCTGCACATTTACCTCTAACCCTTAAAACTAGATGACATAAACCCCATTTACACGACCCTCTGAAACCAATCCGCCCCAAGCTTGGCTCCTTACAACTGTTTACACACCACGCTAGCACGGTTCCTCGCCTCCTAGTGGCGATCTACAGTACTACTGCTCCCTGGAGGTAAACAAGCAAACCGACATGGCGTCACAAATAATACTGGAAGTTTGTGGAGAGTCAGGCAAAGAAGGCAGCCTTCAGTGAATTTACTTGACAGAGTCGGCTTTTGGGAAGTGGATACGACAAACGTTAGTCTAATCAGGGCTTCCAGACGCAGGAAACAACAACATATTTTGAGGTTCATCACACTGCCAAGCAGAATCACCACTAGGAATCGTGTGGCACGGTAGGTAAGCTAGGATTTTTATGACTGTCTGAAATATTATGATTTCGGAGGCTGACTGTGAGGAGATGACGCGGTCTGCTCATGCTAGGGTGGCCAGATGTCCGGCTTTAGGGCGGACAGTCCGGATTTTTGTTATACCATTTTTTGTTATCCGGCTCTTTGTTATCCGAGAACCAAACCCGAACTGATCCAGAACGGTTCGGTTCAGTTCTGCGTATCATTTACACTCAACAGTTATCTCTGTTACCGTGCTCGGACTGATCTGGGCACGGTTTAAAAAGGGAAGTGTAAATGGGTCTATAAAGACGTTAATTGGCACGTAATGAAAGCTCTCTTGTCTCTGCAGGTTTTCCTTCCTTTGAGCTGCTGCTCTTTAATCCACCATCTGATGTTTGCCAGAGGAATCAAACGTGTATCAATGTAAGGTGAAGCCTGAGGTACATGGACACCCAGAAGGCATCATGAAATTAATAAATGCATCATTAAAATAGTGACAATTAATTATACAATCAGAAAATATAGAATGCATCAATTAATATACATTTTAATTGATAAAAATCACATAATTCCATGTCCTTTTAGGGAAAATCAATTCATTTAAAAAGTGATATAATAACTTGCTTTATATTTTGGGGGTTGGGAGTCTCTGGGGTCACAGGTTGAAATGTTTGGGAAGAGCTGATCTTCGAGAAAACAAAAACAGGATCAGCATCTTCAAGCCGTCTCTTTAGGAAAATAGGGGGGGTTCAAAATGTGACAGAGAATTCAAAATTATAGGAATTTGATAAACGCTGACGGTGAAGCTTCTTTCATCCCAGTAAACAGTTTTCTCTGTGATTCGCAGCGATTTTAAAGAACCGATCGTTGGTATTTCTAACCAGCAGGTTGATCAGCATCGGTTCATATTCAGAGCAAATGTTTAAGGTTTTCTAAACATGCATTTAAAACTGTAACACAGAATTAAATAGTTATTCAATAAGTTAAATCATGATTCACTATGTGCTTAAAAAAAAAAAAAAAAAAAAAAAAAAAAAACAACAAAAAAACACAAAACTATTTTTTAACTAGATTTTTTAACCATCACTGGATCAAAGACGTTCCCAAACGTTTCAGCTTGTGACCAACGGGTGATGCAGACTGACGACGCCCTTAAAATGCAGTCATGTCAAGACATTTATTAATAAATATAGATAGTTTAGTTATGCAATTTAATGACATTTCATATTTTCATAATGGTAAATGCAATTTTTAATATTTAATGGGGAATTAAATTCTTAATTTGTGCATTTTTTTTATCCAATAGTATACATGCATTATGTGAATAACATTACATTTAATTACTTCATGGCTTAATGCTGCAGTTTGGCCCTCTATATAGCCCACCCCCCCTCGTCCCGCTCAACTTGGTGTGTGCCGACCCACAGGGGGCCCTGGCCCCCATGTTTGGCACCTCAAAATTATGAAAAAAATAAATAAAATGAAAATACAAATCCAACCAACCACAAACATCAGACTTAGTCCCGCCCACTGATCCTGATTTGCCAGGTGGACTAGTGCATCTGAGATCGTGAGGTAATTAAAATTAAAAATATTCAAATATTCTTCTATTATTGAAGCCATGTAATGATTTTCTTTTCATTTTTTATCAGATAAACCAAAATATGGAGGATAATTTCCATAATTTTAGAGGTTCTAGTCTTTTATAACTAAAAACATGCATATTTTTATCCTGTGCGGGCAGTGCTTTTATTTTATTTTATTTACTTTTATTTATTTTATATATTTGACCTTTTTTGTGCAGCACTTTGGAAACCTTGTGTTTATTGAAATCGTGCTATATAAATAAAGTGGATTGGATAATTTAATATGTTTTTAGCGCGTCTTTTTTCTTCATATAAAAATGAATGATTCTTTAAAAAAAATAGTCAAAACATTGATGAAAACCAGAAATTTTGTATATAGCATCTAAATTTTGTATTTAGCATACAAAAAGATAAAAGGTTGTGTTCAGGAGATGTGGAATAACAGAAACTGATTCGGACCTTTCGGGACCTCCCCCTGAGTGGCCGCCTTATCGCAACAGAACCTCAGCAGACAGCTGATGCCACAGAAATGTTTGACCTCTCCCAGCAAAGGAAGACTCTGCTTCAGCTTCCCTTTACGCCCGCAGCTGTCGCACTTTGCTACCTGAGGAAGAGGAGGAGGAGAGATGAAGCTTCATCGTCGCTGCGAAGCAGAGAACAGATTGGAAGCGAGTGGAGAACCGCTGGCTTACATGACAGAACAGCATGGTGTATTTGGACCTGCACTCCTCGGAGCAGAACTCCTCGATGGAGCCTCCGTACTGCGCCGTCACCAGCTTCTTGGAGGCACAGTGGCAGTAAACGCAGGAGTTGCAGTGTTTCCCCCAGTTTTTACTCAGCTCGTGTCTGAAGAGGAGCTTACAGCCTGGAAAGGAGAACAAACAGCAGTTCAGATTCAGGACTTTCTAGGATATTTACTGGATTCACACACGTTTCATTTCAAATTAAATTTAAATATTTGTTTTAAACTTTGTTGGTATTTGACCAGTGAGTAACCAGGTCTCATTTGTCATCATTTTATTTCCAAACTGGGAGCAGAACTGCTTTTAACACCAGAGACTGGAGCATCTTAGTACGGAAGAGGATTAGGGCCACTGAAAAAAAAAAAGTTAACTGATTTTTTTGAATTTTATTTCAGTACAGGTGCTGGTCATAAAATTAGAATATCATGAAAAAGTAGATTGATTTCAGTAATTCCATTTAAAAAGTGAAACTTGTATATTATATTCATACATTACATACAAACTCATATATTTCAGATGTTTATTTTGTTTAATTTTGATGATTACAAATGACAACAAATGAAAATCTCAAATTCATCATATCAGAAAATTAGAATATTACTGAAGACCAATAAAAACAAAGGATTTATAGAAATGTTGGCCAACTGAAAAGTATGAACATGAAAAGTATGAGCATGTACAGCACTCAGTATTTAGTTGGGCCTCCTTTGGCCTGTATTACTGCAGCAATGCGGCGTGGCATGGAGTCGATCAGTCTGTGGCACTGCTCAGGTGTTATGATAGCCCAGGTTGCTCTAATAGTGGCTTTTAGCTCTTCTGAATTGTTGGGTCTGGTGTATTGCATCTTCTTCTTCACAATACCCCATAGATTTTCTATGGGGTTAAGGTCAGGAGAGTTTGCTGGCCAATTAAGAACAGGGATACCATGGTCCTTCAACCAGGTACTGGTAGCTTTGGCACTGTGTGCAGGTGCCAAGTCCTGTTGGAAAATGAAATCTGCATCTCCAAAAAGTTGGTCAGCTGCAGGAAGCATGAAGTGCTCTAAAACTTCCTGGTATGTGGCTGCGTTGACCCTGGACCTCAGAAAACACAATGGACCAACACCAGCAGATGACATGGCACCCCAAACCATCACTGACTGTGGAAACTTTACACTGGACTTCAAGCAACGTGGATGAAGTGCCTCTCTTCTTTTCCTCCAGACTCTGGGACCTTGATTTCCAAAGGAAATGCAAAATTTACTTTCATCAGAGAACATGACTTTGGACCACTCACCAGCAGTCCAGTCCTGTTTCTCTTTAGCCCAGGCAAGACGCTTCTGACGCTGTCTGTGGTTCAAGAGTGGCTTGACACAAGGAATGCGACAGCAGAAACCCATGTCTTTCATACGTCTGTGTGTGGTGGTTCTTGAAGCACTCACTCCAGCTGCAGTCCACTCTTTGTGAATCTCCCCCACATTTTTGAATGGGTTTTGTTTCACAATCCTCTCCAGGGTGCGGTTATCTCTCTTGCTTGTACACTTTTTTCGACCACATCTTTTCCTTCCCTTCGCCTCTCTATTAATGTGCTTGGACACTGAGCTCTGTGAACAGCCAGCCTCTTTAGCGATGACCTTTTGTGTCTTGCCCTCCTTGTGCAAGGTGTCGATGGTCGTCTTTTGGACAACTGTCAAGTCAGCAGTCTTCCCCATGATTGTGTAGCCTATAGAACTAGACTGAAAGACCATTTAAAGGCTTTTGCAGGTGGTTTGAGTTAATTAGCTGATTAGAGTGTGGCACCAGGGGCCATCAATTTTGAACCTTTTCACAATATTCTAATTTTCTGATATGATGAATTTGAGATTTTCATTTGTTGTCATTTGTAATCATCAAAATTAAACAAAATAAACATCTGAAATATATGAGTTTGTATGTAATGTATGAATATAATATACAAGTTTCACTTTTTAAATGGAATTACTGAAATCAATCTACTTTTTCATGATATTCTAATTTTATGACCAGCACCTGTATAGTATGGGGAAAAAGTCAGAATTCTGACTTTTTTTCTCAGAATTCTGACTTTTTTCCCATGTTAAACTGAAATAAAATTTAAAAATCCGTTTACTTTTTTTTTTTTTTTCAGTGGCCCTAATCCTCTTCCGTATCTTAGTATATTTATTTCAGTTTAACATGGGAAAAAAGTCAGAATTCTGAGATTATAGTCAGAATTCTGACTTTTTTTATTGTCAGAATTCTGAGATTAAAGTCAGAATTCTGACTATAATCTCAGAATTCTGACTTTTTTCCCATGTTAAACTGAAATAAAATTTAAAAATCCGTTTACTTTTTTTTTTTTTTTCAGTGGCCCTAATCCTCTTCCGTATCTTAGTATACATATTCTTTATAAAACATTCTGTAATTTGTGTTTCCTATATTTCATGAGAAAGAATGAATGAATGAATGAATGAATGAATGAATGAATGAATGAATGAATGAATGAATGAATGAATGAATGAGGAATTAATTTCAGACAATATTTGTGTTGGGATGATTGTGTATAAAATACTTAATGTTTGTTCTTATGATGTATAATGTGTGACATATTACTGTTCCAGAGAGGTGTTGCACAAGCAGTAGAGGTCAATTCTCAGGAAGTTTTGTCTAAGCTTAACGAAACCAGGAGGTTCTCGGACCATTTGACCGCAAGACATTTAAATGCAAATTAACCTGTTCACTGAGGCTGAAATTGAATTGTATTTGTTGTTTCCTATTCCTTTAGCACAACCTCAGCTTGTGTAACTAGGGACCCCCCCTCTAACTTTAATAAATAGCGAGGAGAAAGCTGAAGACCGGCAGAGTGGGGTGGAGATTTGTAAACTCTGCAGTCTCTTCCTAGCCTCGTGAGACCATCCTGATCTTGCGAGCTTTCAAGGTTTCACTCGCAGATCAGTCTGTCTACTTTCTGTTAAAGAAAATTTGGAGCGAACGTCCAATCAGCGTTGGCTTTGAGGCGGGTTGAGGTGTGACGCAATGAGAAGCGCGACAGTTCAGTCTAAAGACCATGGCGGCTTCAGCCGATGAAACTAGCGTTAGCGTGGCTATCGAGCAAGTTTTATCGGAATTACAGAGTATTTCTTCTCCCGACTGGTTTCGGCAAGAGTTTGATCTATCAATTGGCTCCTCTTCGTCGTCGCTCTGTTAGTACGTTATATGCTTCGTTGATCTGATTGGTTTATTTGGCCCGTCTATCACCAACATAGGCCAATCAGCTAACCAGTATTTTCGCCCCTTCCCAAAATTACTTCAACGGAAGGTTTCCAGATGGATATGCGGAGCAAATCCATCTGGCCGAGAGAGGTTAGTCTCTTCCTACTCTCCGCGTGAGTAAAACTAAATTAATTGTCTCTGTGCCTTCTTTCTTTCCATGTATGCATGTATGATGTTTTAGGTGCTTAGATCTGACAATTTGACAACCGACAACATCAATGAATCAACCAAAAGCACACAGAGGAGACGGGTTAACATCAAACCAAATTCACCTGAACATAAATGGAAACAAAACCCTCCACCAAATAAAAGGTCGGTACACAGTACAGACCAAAAGTTTGGACACAGCTTCCCATTCAAATAGTTTTCTTTATTTTCATGACTATGAAAATTGTAGATTCATACTGAAATCATCAAAACTATGAATTAACACGGATGGAATTATTTACTTAACAAAAAAAGTGTGAAACAACTGAAAATATGTCCTTTTGCTTTGATTACTGCTTTGCAGACTCTTCCATTATACAGTAGCTGTAAGTTAGAAACACGTTCAACGCTTGTCTGGAATACGTCAAGTATGCTTTGGAGATACGTTCTTGATAAATTACGCACAAGTACTCATAGGTTTTGGATAAGTTAGACGCCACATCTTATGAGTAAATTACACTTAACATATGCCAATGATCAGATAACCTACCTGTTACTTATACTCCTCATGTGGCATACGTTTCAGCGTGCTCATAACTTTTACAAAACGTACCCATAACTTATCTGACGTATGCCAGAGTTTCGGCCAGGTTTTTCGTAATTCTGGCATATATGGTTTAAATGGTTCAGGTGGCTTATAGGGGCTTAAACAGAAGGCTTTGTGGGGCGCGGCGCCTACCGTCGCTGCAGAAGTAGCAGTCTTTGTTGTTGATTCTCTTGGCCTCTCTGGTGATCTTTTCGATCTTGCAGTATTCACACAGACTCATCACAGCGTTGACTTTCTTGTACTCCATCGAACAGTCAGAACTACACAAGAAAACTATCTTGTCCTGCAAAAAACAGACAAATCATCATACTGCGGGCTTTATCGCCATCCTCTGCAGCTCAAGTTAAACCTCAGATGCTGGTTCATCCACCCCGCCATGCTAACCTACCTGTATCTGGATGATCTCAGGCTTAGACGTGATGACTTGGCTGCACTGGAAGCAGTTGAGCTTCATGGCATCGACCAGCTGTGTTGGAGTGGCGATCTTGGACTGGGAGGATCCGACCGGTAGCTTGGTGAAAGCATTCACCTGCGTCTGATTCTTCTTGAACTTGTCCTGTGAGGAGAAACAACGCAGTTCTGGGTATTACAGCCCGAACAAAGCTCTACACACCTCTAGTGCAGAAGGCGTGTGCCGTGGCATCTCTACCTGGAAAGTCATGACGCACGGCATGCTGCAGAAGTTCCTGATGGAGGTATCTGACATGGCCAGGTGATACGAAGGTACTGTGTTCTTACCACAGTTATCACAGTTCAACCGAGCTCCTGCAGAGGCAAAGAACAGGAAACAATTAAAAAAAACCTGCCTAAAAATTAAACTCCATTGCCCAGCCAGGACCACACAGGGGAGATGCAACGTAACGTCAGACACTCCAGAGGGACGACTTTGTTCAAACTTCAATAGAAAGAAAAGGATGTCAATGAAAGACCAAACAGAACAAGCTGTCTGCATCTTTCTGTGATTCGGGGAAAGACTCCGATGCTACGTTCAGACCGCAAGCACTGGAAGCAGCCAAAATGCTTCTGGTGCTTTTTTTTTAACCTACTCCCCATTAAGGTCAGACGTCCAGTAAAGTGTCCAGATGATTCTGATGCTTCTGCTGCTCCTGTGTCCAATGGCAGAGAGCGGCTTTGCTATATTTTCTGTTATCAGTGAGTAAAAAGTAGTTTTAATATGTTTTTAAGTGAGAAAGTCCACCTGAAAACTTCATCTGTCTGACTATCGGGACATACTGAACGAGCACAATGACCAAAACAGTGGCAGAACTACTGAGGGAGGCTGCTGCTGCTTTCTAACTGCGTTTTCTCTTTGATTATGGCATAAATTGTGCTGTCTTAAAGAAGAAAATGCAAATGAAAATAGGATGATTGATTACTAATTTAATTTATGAGTCAAACAATGCAGCCACAAAAGCATTTCCAGAAATGCTTTTTCATTTTTCAAATTTTACATTTCAAATTGAATTTTGGTGTGTATTTGCTGGGGTACATTTTGAAAAATAAATCTCAAATGTCTTTTTCTTTTTCATTTTAAGTAAAAGGATGAGAAGTGCTAAAGAAGAAAATGCAAATGCAAACAGGATTATTGATTACTAATTTTATTTCTGAGTCAAACAATGCAGCCACATTCTTTAAATTTGAAATATGGTAACAATTTGCTTCCATGGGTCGCCTCTTGGGGAACTTCCACTGCTGTTCGCGGCGGCGGAAGGCGTTTTTCATGTACGTAATCCAAACTGTAGGCACCAGAATAATAAAAGCAAACATATTTTGCCCGCAGGTTTTGATATTTTAAGTTAATTTAGGCCTTGAGGAGCGCGTCCCGCGAATCCGATGCTCAGGAGCTCATGACGCGCCGCTTCAGCTACTCAGACGTTCTGCTCCTGCTGTTCAAAATACGCTGCAGGACCATTTGCTGCACCTTGATGCACTTCAACTTTTGCTTGTAAACTAGCAGCTTCTGCTGCCTCTAGCGAGTGCGGTCTGAACGTAGCATGAAAGCAGAGGGTGAATTAAATTCCTAATGTCTCTACATGTTAAACCAGGAGGAGAAAATCCTTCAAAGTGACTGAATTGTGGGTTTTATCATCAGTGAGTGATATTTAAATCTAAAGGAAATAAAGCTGATGAAGATTCTCAGTCATCCAGGTCATAGTCATTCCGTAAAAGTTTAAAAAACAATCCACTGGACTTGGTTTCCAAGATTTGAAGACGTTTCGCTAACTCTCCAGGAAGCTTTCACAGTCTTCTATCTCTTCTTCAATTTTCTCAAGCTTTCTTAAAGGAAATAAAAGCTTAATATTAAAACTCCACGTCTAAATAATCTATGAAAGCTTCAGTTTTTGAAATGAGGGAAAATTAATGTTTAACTTATATAAAATTCTAATTTAATGGGTAATTTGGACCCTCTGTGGATCACAGAAAATAAACTCCTAGTTTTTGTGCTCATAAATCTAGGTGAAGCTCTACACTGCAAAAACGATCTAGAAATAAGTAAAATTTTCTTAAATTAAGTGTATTTACCCTTAATTTCAGTAGGTAAACAAGATGATCTGCCAATGGAATGAGTGTTTTTACTCTTAAAATAAAATAATTAGATAATATGCAATTGAAATAAGACAATGCAAATGTTTTTCTTATTTTAAATGTAAATTGTCTTGTTCCATTGGCAAAATGTCTCACTTACCTCCTCAATTCAAGACAAAATGCACCTTTTTTAAGAAAAAATTACTTTAAATAAAATTTTTTGCAGTGTATGTTCCTTCACGACGAGGACAAGCAGATAACATAAGCCATTAGAAGGAAGCATTGCTGCCATACCTGAAGAACTGACGCTCTGGACCTTAAAGGCCATCAAACAGCTGTTGCTGCAGAACATGTTCACGGACTCGTCGCTGTTTTTGTTGCTGGTCATCTGGTGGAGCATCTGCGGAGTGCGGCACATGGTGCACTGCAAAATCACCTTGGTTTTCTGGCAGGGAATCAAAGAAGGAGAAAGTTACTCTTTAAGTTTCATCAGTTAAAGGAGGCAGACGTCACTGAGCAGATCATCATTAAAGCTTTCAGGTACCTCCTTATATTTGGCCAAACAGTCCATGTTGCACAGTGTTTTGCTGCTATCGTCTAGCTTCAGCATGACGGGTTTGCTCTGGCAGTATGAGCCACAGTTGGCGCAGCCGGCCATGGTCAGGTTGTTGAGGGTGCGGAAACGGTTGAAGCAGGAGTCGCTGCACATCTTGTGAATGGTGCCCCTCAGTATCACCTCGTGTTTGCTCTGCAGAGAGTCGGGAGAAACGATACTTTACCAGCGATCGCTGGGTGAACAGAGGCCGGCGATGGTTCTGTGAGCTGCAGCTGAACTTACGGTGCTGAATCTGGAGCACATGCTGCAGAGCGACTGGGTCTGCGGGGTTTTTGGCGGTGCATCTGCGGGGCGGAGGCTGAGCCCCTGTTTCTTGTAGTTGAAGGAGTTCATGCAGCTCTGGCCACAGAACTCCTTCATGGTTCCGTTTGTGTCTGAAGCTAGAACCACATCCTGAGGCCGAGTGATCGACCTGAGAGAAAAAAAACAAGTCAGGGTTAGCTGAGCGAAGGAGTAGCTCACTAAGTAGATTCAAGGCGGATTCTCAGAGTGCTGAGTCATGGTTACTTTTGGCAGTTGTTACAGAGCTTTGATCCTCCTTTGGATGGAAGCGACGAAGTGAGGCAGGCGGTGGAGCAGAACAGCGCCGGGGAGCCCTTCCTCTGGAAAGCCGTCTGTCCTTTAAGCAGGTTCTTCCTGCAGTTGCAGCAGGACATGTGGACGGATGAAGGGCTGATGCAGGGACGCGTGTCTCCAGATGGAGTCACAGAGTACACCGAACCGATCCTCAGGTCATCCTGTCAAAAAGAAGAATGACTGGATTAATGGAGGACCTAGAATAAAGCAAAGTTCTAAACCAGGAGGCTGGTCTTCAGGTCAGAGAATTAGCCAACAGTTACTACACTTTGTGATGCAAATATAGTCCATGCCGATATTCATGTTCCTACAAAAAAAAAAATCAGCAAACGTCAGCGGGTGAAGAAAAACAAAAAAAGCCTGAGGAACTCTGTTCCCCTGCAAAACAATGATACGTTCGCTGCCTTTAAGAGATGTGGACCATGAGGAGTAGGGGTGTAAATCACATCCATCATGGCGATTCGATTAAACATCGATTTCCTGACCCAACGATTTGATTATTTTCGATACTCAAGAATACACCACGATACGATTCGATTAATTTATTTTTTTTACCTTACAGGCTAGACAATGTTTCAAATTTGAAATAAATCAATGAAAGCTGTAATATCGTTATGCATTTTGTTTGAGAAACAACAGCAAATAACAGAAGTAGAAAAGTTGCACTCCATAGATTCTGAAAGGCTTTGAATCATAAAATACTGCACAAAATCAGTGCAATGAGTGCAATTCAATACCTCGGCTCCAGACGTCCCGCCCCTCCACAGACGCTCCGCCGCTCCTCTCCCAAATTGTAGCTGACCGCAGACAGTGCCGCAGACAGGAGGCCGGCTTGTTTTGTTTTTATGACCGAAATTGCGTAAAACGACTCGTGAAGTTTGACCAGCTAGAAGAGCGAGGTACGCGAGAACGCTGGAACCTTTCTCCACCTGGATCTCCGCTCTTTTTGCCCCTCATGTCCCTCCGTCGTCGGACTAAACTCGCCCCCTCTTCCTCTCCGCCTCGGCCGTATCTAGACCCACAGTGTGTAGCACAGACCACGCTTCAATATTGACCATAAATCAAAAATGTCTGCATCAAGCTCACTGCAACACACTGCTGTAAGAGTATAACCAGGAAGCGAGGTAGGAGGGCAACATAGATTTAGCGCCACCGCAGCACGGGAGGAGAATTACGCCCAGGAGCAAATAGATAAAAATAGACCGGAGGAAAAAAAAACATGAAACGAATTCTCTTGCAGACGTATCGATGCATCGGATCGTCAGCTGTTGGATCGATGCATCGATACAAAACCATTATTATTTACACCCCTAATGAGGAGGAGAAAAAAATCTTCATCACCGGTGGATGGAGGGCAGAGCAAAAGGTGGAAGGGACAGAGGCGCGAACCCCAAAGAAAAGCGTGTGACTAAAGAGAAGATAAAATGAAGCAAGATCAGGTCCAGAGAAAACAGAAACAAAGTAAGTTGTTTGAACCATGACTGCTGATATTAATATTCTGAAGGTAAAATGTCTAATAGAGGATCAAATAAATAAATTGCTGGTTATTGGAAAAAAAAAAAAAAACCCCAATAAATTAAGTCTGGAGTCTCTATCCATGGTGCTGAACATCTCATCTTTAATAAAACATCTCTAACTTGTTGTGCATGATAAACTAATTCATTGTGCATGTGAACCTACATGAAAAAAAAAGTCTACAGGTTGAAACCACATCAATTACATAATGTGATGTTAAATAAATATTAGAAAATGTGTTAACCATTTTTTTTGGGGGATTTTCAGTGCCTTGTTTTATTTTTTCCACTTGTTCATCCTTTTCCCCGAGGGAACCAGCTACAGCCTGTTTGGGCTACAGAAGCAGGGAATAACAAACGCTGCTTTTGGTCCAAGGACACTTGTGAAAGATAAGGAGGTTCTGGTCCAAAGGGAGGATCTGGCTTTGTTAAGGTGTGTGTTGCAAAAGGCAGACTGAGGAGACAGTGTATCTTTAGAACAGATGAGCTAACCGAGGTGGTATGCTTTCTGTTCAGTCTCTCAGGATACATCCAATGATGAATCAAACAACTCCAACTCCTGTTCATTTTGATTTCTTCTCTCCATCAGTTAATCCAAAACATATAGAAATATTTACATAAATAAAAGATGTAAATAATAGTTTTACAACTTTTGATGGGTCCAAAAGGTATATATATTTACTTCTGGTAATAATACCAAAGTCTACACCAAAAGATTCTGCATCAGTAGGGATAGTAGGTTGAAGTAATGCGAGACGGAGTTCAGGCGTCGCCAAATCTTTGTAGCACATGATAGAGCTGCGAAATGGTGTGAAAATAAATCACAAGATTGTATAACAAAACAAGAAGAGTGCATTTGGAAATCACAACACTGCAATTCTTAATTAAAACAGTGCATTAAATAACCGAGAGAGCACATCGCTCTGCTCACAGGCAAATACAGTTATTCCTGGGCTCTGATTGCAGCACAGTCGAGCAAAACACGCCCCCACCCTCCTGTTTTCTCTTGCAGAAAAATGACGTTTGCTCTGTTTAGTCGGCGTATTTGTCAGTCTGGGCTGTAACTATTCTGACGGATCTGATTGGTTAAATTTCCAACTCATATCGTATCTGATGGCGGGCCTTACGAAGAAGAACCTTTGTTTGGTTCAAAACATGGAACAACAAGCAGGACTATCGTATTTTCACGATTATAAGGCGCATATAAACGTCTTTTTCCCTTAAAATGTGCGGCGCGCCCTATAGTGCGGTGCGCCCTATGTTTGTTGTTACTGCGGATTTTGTTGAGACCACCATGAGAATGTTAAAGGGGGAAGTGTGGGCGTGGATTGGCTGCCATGCAAATGGACAGAAACTGCCGCCTATGGTGATTTTTAAGAGAAAGACTTTGCCTAAAGAGACTTTTGGAGTCGTTATTAAGGCAAATGAAAAGGGCTGGATGGATGAGGAGATGATGAAAGCGTGGCTGAGGGAGGTGTATGTGAGGAGACCAGGTGGTTTTTTTTCCACGCATCACCATCGATGTTCATCTGTGACTCCATGCGTGCCCATCTCACAGCCGATGTGAAAAACAAGGTGAAACTAATGAACGCTGTGCTTGCTGTTATTCCGGGAGGTCTGACAAAGGAACTTCAACCGCTCGACATCGGTGTGAACCGGCCGTTCAAAGTAAGGCTGCGAGCGGCGTGGGAGCGATGGATGACCGACGGAGACCACAGTTTCACGAAAAGTGGAAGGCAGCGCCGGGCAAGTTACGCCACAGTTTGCGGATGGATTGTTGATGCTTGGACTAACGTGTCTGCTGACTCTGTTGTTCGAGCTTTCGCAAAAGCCGGCATCATTTCCGAGGAGCCGCCCGGCACGGAAAGTGACTCTGACAGCGAAGAAGGGGAAACTGGCATGTCTGATTTAGTGCAGCTGTTTAATTCAGAAACAGAGGATGATGACTTTGAGGGGTTTGATTAATACTCTGTAATAAATACTTGAATAAAGCACAATCATACTCAGTTTTGCTCCCGCTCTAATTTTAAATACGCAGTAGAGGTATTAAAAGGTAGTAGAGGATATGTACCGGTATATAAAACCAGCGCCCTATAATCCGGTGCGCCTTATGTGCGTTAAATACAGTAATGGCACACATAACTGAGACTGCGCCTTTTCGTACGGTACGCCTTATGGTCGTGAAAATACGGTAGGTGGAAAACGGCCATTTTTTTTTTCTTTCATTGTATTCCATTTCATTTCTACTGTACTTTTTTTTAATCTTTACTTATTGTTTTCTATTTAATTTTTGTTATTTCCATTGGTGCTGCTTATTTAATTACTAACTACATTTATGTTTGTAAGTTCCTTATGTTTAACCGTGTGACCTACTTTACTTGTAAGCTTAACTTGTTGTATATACTTTCAAAGTTTTGTTCTTTTTTAAGTACCGTATAGAGCAGCAGCCTGAATGTGGGCTTGTATGTATATGTCTGTGAAAAAAAAACAAAAACTAAAGGGATAAACAGGTATTGACTATGGGTATGTTGGTCTGACCGGGTATGCTGTGCGAGTGCGTAGCCGTAGGTGGATCAATCTACCTGGGTCAATCTGGTAGTTTGCATATTAGGAGGAGATCTAAACATGGACATCGCTTCCAAAGATTAAGAAAAACACAAAAGCAGGGAAAATGATGTCAAACTAACGGGTTCGGATTTGATGCTCTATAAAACCTGGAACTCAACGCTATTGCTGACATTTTGAATTGAAAAAGCTTCCTGGATGGGAGGCGAAACGTCTTCCAACTTGGAAACAAAGTCCAGTGGATTGTTTTTTTTTTGAGAATCCTCACCAGCAAAAAAAAAACAAAAAAAAACAGAATAGACAGAATAAAATAAAATGTGTTTACATATTCCCCAACCCTCTCCTGCTTCAATGTGAAACAACCCTTTTATGATCAAGTTTAGCTGCGTTATCCCGAGCTAAGTGGGTCTAACGTTTAAAAGGCAGGAAGAATTTACTGTGGGCACCTTGGCGGGTTCATCTTTGACGCTCGCTGTAGACGTGGAGGAAATCAGCGCCTGTTCGTACTCCTCGTCCACCGGCTCGTCCTTCACTTTGGCCAAAGGAGGCGAAGGAGACGACTTCATCTCTTCAGTCATCCTCACCTGTTTCAGAAACAAAAGCAGAAACATCTGCACTGAGGCTGAGAAGGTCAAACTTCACGATTTAGAAGAAAATTATGTAAAATCTGAGGAGTGTTAGGAAGTGGAATTTGTTAGAAACGGAGGAGCTACTTACCGACTCTAATCTGGGGATGGATAACTTCACCACTTTCATCCCGTTTACCACAGATGCAGGCGAGGAGCTGTCCCTGCCTACAAACCCAACAGTTGTTAAAAGAGGAAACAAAATCAGCCTGAAGAAGTTCAGATATAAAAACTGTTCCGTCTTTTTCGATAAGACATCACCTGTGCTCCCCGCCGCTTCAGAAGACGGAGATGAACTCGACTGCATCAAATCCGAAGCTGTTGGTTTGACATCAGCTTCCTCCTCCTCAGCAGAGTTCTCCTCTTCCAGGGTTGAAGCTAGGAGAGGAAGTCAGAGCAGAGAGATCAATGCGCAGCTGGAGCCGAAAAGAGGTCAGTCCTTTCACAACAGGGTAAAATGTAATTCAAAATGGCCGACTTCCGGTGGGGTTTAGACCATGGCTTCAAGAGGCTTTTAGTTCAGATGCAAATGTGTTCTAAGTTTCCAATATTCTTGGACTAAAAACGGCTTGGGGCTGATGGTTTGAATTTTGTTATTTCTAGGGGGCGCTGTTATAAAATAAAGCCCCGCCCACAGAATATTGCTCTGGATTCCTGTTTGGAGCTGGACTAGGATCATATCTTGTGATTTGGTGCAGATCTGATTATTAATGAGGAAATGAGAGCCAATCGTATTTTCATGGCGAAACACCTGACTTCGCCATGGCGCCACGGCAACACCATTTGACTAAAGCTCTCTGTGGCTAACTCAACGGTGAGTTTATTACCGGCTCCATGATGCTGGTGTTCCTTCAGTATGAGCGCCACAAGCGTCACATCACGTGACTAAGAAAACGTAACGGGATTGGCTGGGTGTTGGACGCCACAATCCATTGCTAACGTCTGTGACCTGAAGTAACCCCTTCCCTTTTTACACTGAATTTAGACGCCGAATTTAAGACAGTGAAATAGAGCCAGTTGAATCTCAGGAGGCTGAAAATATTGAGTTTGAATTTTGAAAGGTTGAATTTTTTTATATGCAGATTTTTTTAACACTGAAACATTTAACTGAAAAATAAGTATTGAAAATGTAATCACTTTGAAATAGTAATGTGAATTTTTAGCTTTTAGAGAAAATAACAAATGAAATTTTAACTGTGTAGAAATAATGACAATGAATTTTTTTTTAAGGTCATAAATGTGTTCTGAATATATTTTAACACTGAAACAGTAAGTTCAAACATACAACATTTACATTTCAGTGGCATTTTTAATTTAATCCAAGCGACAGATTTACTTCCATAGTCGGCAGCACATATCAGAGATCGGTTAAACTGATTAGGGCTGGGTATTGTTCAAAAAATTTCGGTTCCGGTACCAATACCGATACCTTCACTTCGATACCGGTTCCTGAACGCTAATTTTTTCGATACCAGTTTTATAATATCAATTCGAAGAAAAAGAAAATTACACAACATAAAAAAGTACAAATCTTGAGTTTTATTTTAAGCTCTGATTTTTCCTTTTACATTTTTCCTCTTACTTAAAAAAAAATAAAATTCAGTGTCTAATATTCACTGTTACATTGTGAGGACCTTTTTACTTAGCAGTTTTCCTTTAGAAAAATTAACACGTCTGCTTTCTCAGGAGACAAACGAGCCCGTTGAATGGGATCCTACTGACAGCGCACCGCTGGTATGTGGGGGTCTGAGCGGCTCCGAAAGAAATATTGGAAGGCAGGATGAACTGACTGCACTGATTAAGTTTTCCCGGTGGATTTTCTCACTTAAACACATATTAAAACTAATTTATTCCCACTGATCACAGCAAATATAGCTGCAAGGCAAAGAAAGGATAGAGTAGCTCCGCCCAACGCGCGTCAGAGCCACTTTTCGACCGCGCAGCCAGAGCAGCAAAGCTGCTTCAGCCGCGCGTCAGAAGCTGGGACAAGCATCAAAAAGGAAGCAGCAGACGCGATTTTACTGCTCCTGCTGCGTCCAGTGTGAAAGCAGCATGATTCACTCCGCTCTGGCTTTGCTCCGCCCACGGGCTGCTGAGAGGAGGATGGTCGCGCCGGCTGCGGTCCGCTCTTCTTGCAGTCAAACACCGAGCAACTTTCTGCTCTTAAATTGTTTCCGTGCACGATGTATTGCATTGCTCACTATTGGCATCAGTCTTAATAAAGTGAAGCCGCACTTTTGACCTGGGGGGCATTTTAAAGGGGTTCCACGACGCTCGCAACCAGTTCACAACAGATACACATGAACCCTGGCTGTAGGCGTGACCACCTGTGTATTTTTCCTGGATGACGCAATCACGTTAAGTGCTACAGCCGATCACCGAAACTTGGTACCGAAAGACGAGGCATGTTTCGATACTCTGTAGAACCGAAGCATTTCGGTCGGTACCATAAAAGAACCGAAGTTGGGTACCCAGCCCTAAAACTGATATCAAAATAATCGCTATTGGCCACACAAAAAAAAACCTTATCATTTTTAGCTAAAACGGCTAACCTTACCCATGTAGGTAAAATGACAACCAGCGAAACGCGTGTGAACGCCGCTGGCGTTAGACGCGTGTGCTACCTGTGTTTGTGTTTCCAGGTGAACGGTCTCCCTCCTCCTTCATCTGAGCCTCCTGCTCCATCTGATCCACCGTCCCGATGTCCATCATCTCATCCAGGTCGTCCGCTGCAGACGCAACCAGCTTAACGGCAAACGAGGATTTCTTTACCCTGGTCCTGCTGTTGTCATCCTCTCCCGTCCTGCTCTCCTCTCCTGTCCTGCTGTTGTCGTCTTCCGTCTCTCTGCTCTTGTCCTCCTCTGGGCTTCTTTCCTCGTCCTGCGTCCTGCTCTTCTCGCTGCTGTCTTCATCTTCCTCCCTGCTATTGTCCTCCCCTGCCTTGCTGTCTTCGTCCTCCATCCTGTTCTCGTCTTCCCCCACCCTGCTATCTTCATCCTCCACCCTGCTCTTGTCTCTAATCTCTTCGTCCCCCTTCCTGCTCTCGTCCTCCATCCTGCTCTTGTCTCCACCCGTCCTGCTGTCCTGTTCCTCCTCCGCCCTGCTGTCTTCGTCCTCCATCCTGCTCTCGTCTGCACCTGTCCTGCTGTCGTCCACTTCCTTCATTTCATTGTTTGTCTCTTTAATGTCCTCTTTAGGATCAGAAGTTGTGTCCATTAGTGTGTCCTCGCTGACACCTGCTCCCTCAGGTGTCTCCACTGAGCTCTCCACCTTCGCGTCGTCTTCGTTCTCAGGTTTGTCCTCCTCCTTTTTAACCTCTGACTCCTCAATTTGAACCGTTTTCAGCGCCTCCTCAGGGGAAGCTGCCTCTGAGGGAGCTTCCTCAGTTTTAAGCTCATGCTCTGTTTTCATCGCCGTCTCGTTTCCAGAACCATCACGCTCGTCTTCCAGCTCAGACTTTACGGGACAGGACTCTCCTGCAGACTGTGGGTCTCCAGCCTCCTTGGATGTTCCGGGTTCAGAAACAGCTTCTTTTAACTCCCCAACCGATTCCTATGCAGAGAAATAAACAGTCAATTCAGCAAGAAATAAATTAAACATTCCTGGTAGGGATGCACGATATAATCGGCCCCCTATCGGTATCGGCCTTAAAACTGAATATCGGACATCGGCCACCCCACCGATATTTAACCCGATATTTGATCAGCTTCAGAGTTTCTAAAGTCTAAAAAAAAAAATAAATACTACTTCTTCTTCTTCCTCAAAAACTTCTTTTTTACAGACTTAAAAACTTCTAAAGATGAGGGAAAAAATATTGATCCATTAAAATATCCCAATATCTTCATATGCTGATATATTGCCATTTAAAAACACCATATCAATCTCTTTTACTAATGAAATATTGCTATATGTCATCGTTATGCTACGAAATCCCCCGAAAATTCACCAAATTTTGCCATATTTTTATATGTTGATATATTGACGCGGTATCGATCTATTTTACTAACAAAATCTCACAAGAATTTGCAAAATATCACGAGAGTTTGTAACAGAACGATGAAATTTCACGAGATTTTTAAAGTAAAATAGATCGATAACTCGTTTTTAAAAATCTATTTGATATCAGCATATGAAAATATATTTGAGTATATTATTTTTCAAAGTGTCAGAAATGGATAACAAAACTGCTATTTTCAATGACTACTTATTTTTGTCCAGCTTTAACATCAGTATCGATATCGGTTATCGGCTACATGAGTTTTAAAATATCGGCATATCGGACATCGGCCAAAATCCCAATATCGTGCATCCCTAATTCCTGGTGCCTAAAAAACTGAAAAGGACTAAAATCCATTAAGGAACAATTCAACTGATTTCACATAGAATATAATTGAAGAGTATTTATACACTTCTAACCTTTAAATCCACAAATATTGATTAATTTTATTAGGATTTATTATGATAGACCAGAACTTTTTAAATCTGCTTTGGCATCGGATTTTTTGGGCTCATCTCCACCAGCGTTAAACATCTGCAGCCAGCAGCTGAATACTGGAGAGTTTGGATGGAGAACATCTCTGAGCATCTTTGGTTTTGTTACACATCATAAGATAAATTAAACTCCAGCGTTCCTGGATCATCAGGTTGTCTAATGTCCAACAGAGAAACTTAATTCCTTCAGACAAACAATTCCTTCTGGTTAATGAATTTAAAGTAATCTGGCCGGGGGAAAAAAGGGCGGAGAGAATTCAGACTTTTCATCAACGATGAAAATTTCCTGACGAAGCCTTTTAGTGACGAAGACGACAGAGACGTTGCCAGAACATTTTCATAAGGTGTCCAGGCCCTAATCAATGTACACTACGGGTGGAACGGTTCACAAAATTCACGGTTCGGTTCACGGTTTCGTGGTCACGGTTTTCGGTTCGGTATATGTTGATTGTTAGCATGACATGTTGGTCGTGTTGCTGTTAGCATAAACAAAACGTGTTGCACAATGCTTGCACACTGTTGCACTTTTATCCACAACTTTCTTTCCGCCGTCATTGATTTGCTCCGCATATCCATCTGGAAACCTTCCGTTGAAGTAATTTTGGGAAGGGGCGAAAATACTGGTTAGCTGATTGGCCTATGTTGGTGATAGACGGGCCAAATAAACCAATCAGATCAACGAAGCATATGACGTACTAACAGAGCGACGACGAAGAGGAGCCAATTGATAGATCAAACTCTTGCCGAAACCAGTCGGGAGAAGAGCAAAAACATCTTTTCCTCTGAGAAAAGCCTCCAGAGCAGTGTTTTGCTCTTCTTTCAGTGAAGAAATACTCTGTAATTCCGATAAAACTTGCTCGATAGCCATGCTAACGCTAGTTTCATCGGCTGAAGCCGCCATGTTCTTTAGACTGAACTGTCGCGCTTCTCGTTGCGTCACACCTCAACCCGCCTCAAAGCCAACGCTGATTGGACGTTCGTTTGGCGAACGCCTCCAAATTTTCTTTAACGGAGAGTCTCCAGACTGATTAGCGAATGAAACCTTCAAAGCTCGCGAGATCAGGATGGTCTCACGAGGCTAGACCTATAAAATGCTGCTGGCGCGTCTTCCAACTCCTGTTCTTTCCCACTCGCCATACCCACACAATTCTCCACAACAGCTGATTTTTTTCTGCTACACCCGGCTACGCTGCTTCTTCTTGTTTACTACTGGTGGTTGGCTTTGGTCGCAGTACCGCCACCTTCTGCTCTGGAGTGTAAACGCTTCACCTATGAGAAAAAGGAGCAGCGCATGAACCGAACGCAACACACGCGAACCGAACCGAGACAGTCGAACCGAACGGTTCGGACGGTTTTCATGAACCGCTCCATCCCTAATGTACAGTGAGGGGTGGCTGACAGTAGATAGGAACCAGAACCTCGGGGTCAGTCTATACTGATCCAACAGGAAAATTTTCGAGCACAACGTCCATATTTTCTAAATAAAGACAAACTATCTAGACACTGTTAATAACAGGAGGTGAAATGCAGCTCCAGACGAGCTGAGCGTGTGGTGATGTCATCAGTAATCTTCTGCTCCAATTGACCCGTATTTATGCTGCGTGCTCCCGGTCTCCCAGAGTTCAGACTTTCCTGTGTTCTTCTCAAGAACATACTTGCCGAGGAAACGAGTCTGTACTAATGTTCTTGTGAACTGAGAAACAACCTTTGTCTCTATAATAGAACGCTGTCCTGTGATCAGGTGTGTGGATCTATTCATGCTGGTTCTACTGGTTGATCTTGGCTGTGATTAAGGCAGCAGCGGCTAAATTTAATCACTGACCTTTATTGTGTATTTTTAGAGCTAACTGAAGGGATTTGATGAGCTGACGGTTTGTCCATTAAGTTTGGACATGTGGAAGTTCTTAATAATAAAAATCAAGTCATTAAGAGGGAACTGAATGAGACAGAAGCACATGATGAGGAGGGAGAGATTATCACCTGATTAAATGTTTCTTCTGCTTAATCAGCCTGCAGCTTGCTAAATATGGTCATAATCATGAAATCAGGCACATCTTACCGTATATTTAATGACTATCAAGTTTGACCATGCATATTTTACCAATAATTTTACAAAACTTAGACACCTAAGTCTCCAATGAGAAATCGCCACTGATTTACTCAATATCGGTATCAGTTGATTCTAAAAGCTGCAATTTTGGTATTATATTGAAAGGGAAAGAGTTGTGATGGGAACCAGCTGGGTTTACTTGGATGGAAAGCTTTAAACCAATCTGAGTGAATTATATTGTTAATGTATAAAAAGTTTTGCTGTTTATTTAGACTTTTTTATTCTGTTCGTTTCAGGGCCAGTTAATGTTTCAAGGTATAACCAACATCATAAAGCCCCATTATGTTAAACCTCTATCACCTTTCTCCAGGTAAAAACTAACCTTTCTGTTTGCATTTTAACAACATTATCAACACACTTAGGAAGTTGGTCAAAAGCAAAAGGGGGGAGTGTTGGCCCAGTGGTTAGAGCAGTGCGCCTGTGCTCTGAGAAGGTTGAAAGTACTCGGTTTGATCCCCACAGCCTGAACTCTGGGTCCCTGAGCAAGACCCTTAACCCCACAGACATTAGATTTCTCTAAATCGGGGGGGATTTAACATTAGGCAATATGAGGCAGTTGCCTAATTCCCAAGGTTCCTTTAACTTAGACAGATTTGTCATTTTGCAAAAACAAGTGTAAAAAAAAAAAAACGAAATTTTGTTTAGAACAGATCAGTTCCTCAGGGGCCCCTATAAATTTCTGTTTACATACTATTCCCTTTCTGTGCACATTAATAATGTTTTGTTCAAAATCCTTTTGCTAAAATGCCATCAGAACGCTGATAATATTAAGTGTGTCTCAGCCCCCCCCCCCCCCTTCAGTGTCCACCATATTGGATCAGTCCATTTGCTGCACATGTTCAGAAAGGTCCAAACAGACAGCAGCAAACCATTTGAAAACAAACCATGCAAAGAGCAGTGTTGCCAACTTAGCGCTTTAGTCGCTATATTTAGCCACTTTTCAGACCCCTCTAGCACTTTGATTTCTAAAAAGCTCCTAGCGCCAAATCTAGAGACTTTTTTCTGCTACTGGAGACTTTGGAGACAACATCTAAAAGCAGCAAACTCCGCTCTCCAGAGCAAGTAGATTGGTAACCCCGCCTCCTGCTCTCCTCTATCTTGTCTGCTGTCATGATTCATGCAGCTATTATTTCATCCAAATGAAAATGGAGAACAGATAAGCAGATCATGGCTTGTCTACAGTGAAAAGAAGGACTGGGTTATTTACTTTGGCCTTTTTGGAAACGCAGGAAGGAGCAATCAGCTAAGTGAGCTTAGTGCTTGGAAAAAATCTTTCATTCCTTTAGAGACAGCATGAAAAGTCAGCTGAGTACAAAACAGAGAGGAAAACAAGAAGAAAAGGGACAAGAAGAGAGGGACACAACCTAGAACAGATAATGGATGTCTATTCTATTAACATTTCTCTATCTGGAGAATGGGGCTGTTTTATGTGTTGTCTTCTATGCTCAAAGGGCCCCCTGCCTGTTTTTGACTAAGGTCCCAAATTTCCTAAATCCGTCCCTTTAAAATGTAATAATAGTTAAACAGAAATCCCCCATAGCCAAACCGCTCTCGCGAGATCTCCCACTACTTGTTAGAAAACCAACTTTTCCAATGACCAGACGTAACGAGTAAAAAAAAAAAAAGATAAATAAAACACAAGATGTTGCGCAGCGGAGGGATTTCAGAAAATCAAGTGAATAATATGTTTATTTCTAATTGTGGGTTTTTTCTTGTTTCTAATCTCGCGATATCAGTTAGCGCCCCGCTGCAGCAGTAGCAGGGTCTGTTTGAAAAGGTCTTCGTTTATTTTTCCCCTCCCTCTACAAAAAGCATATTTTCTGCTGCCACGTTTGTGTCGTTAAACTGAAACGTGAATCAGAAAGTAGAACCAGCGGCTACCAACGGCCTGCTAAGCTAACCTTCCCTTTGATTGCGGTGTGCCGTTAGCTCCCAGTATCTCCGCTATACG